TGAAATTTAACTTCGGCCCGACGTTTCGGATGTTTGAAAGCAGCAGTCACGGGAAACGTCGGGCCGAAGTTAAAAATCATTTTCAAATCAGTTTAACTAATATATCGCGTTTTAAACCGTTAAAGTGTTTTTTTATTTAAACTATAGACAGAATGATTCCTCTTTAAATGATTTAAAAAATATCCGTGACAAAATATCTTTTAAGATTAGCTTGCAAGAACGTCGGGACGGGACGACGTCGTTTGTATATAAGAATGATTCTTCATTGAAATGATCTAAAAAAATGTCCATAATCTTTTAACTTGCGAGAATGAAGGGACAGGGTCGTGGGTAACAGCTATAGTATATATGGACGAGAACGTTTCCTGACACAAATTTTGATTTCCAAAATAATTATTTTACGCGGGCGAAGTCGCGGCCACAGCTAGTACTTAATAATAATAATATGGCAAAAGTGCGTTTTCCTGGTAAGCTAGCTAGTAAGCTGACTAATATCGACATAAAGTAATCCAGTAGCTAAGTCACATAAACATTGTAATATGTATATTAAAACTTGTTGATCTAACTTGTAAGCTAATTAATTTTATCATATCCCGTCTGTAATTTACGCGAGTACTACCTACACATATAAATAAAACCAATTTAACGGTTTAAAATGCGATATATTAGTTAAACTTATTTGAAAATCATTTTTAACTTCGGCCCGACGTTTCGGATGCTTTGCAGCGTGGTCACGGGGAGAGTAAAGGTGGAGGATGTCTCTGACGTCAAGATAAAAAAGTAAGGATCCGGCCAGTTTCTCCAGATATCAACTTCGACGGAACAGATGGCGCTAGCGCAGCAGTTTTAAGTTTGACATTAGGGACACCCTCCATCTTTATTCTCCCCCTGACCACGACTACTGCATAGGATCCGAAACGAGAAACTAAAGATGGAGGATGTCTCTGACGTCAAAGTTAAAAATTGCTACGCTATCGACATCTGTTCTAAATGTGTAATAAATGCTCTAACCAACACAAAAATATGTTATAGAATAGTTCCTGAGCTTAGCGCATTCAAACAAACAAACTCTTCAGCTTTAATATTAGTAACAGATATAAAAGACTAGCTGGTGCCCGCGACTTCGTCTACGCAGGATTAGGATTACGTAGTATCGCGCATTTAAACTAAGTGATGTCTTTCATATCATACATTACATAATTATGGCAGCGCACGCCAGAATTGCTCGCAGAAAGGTAGGTTTTTTCCTAGTTACTTGACACTTCATGTCATATTTTGGACAGCTCACATAATATCTTTATAAATTATCATGGCCTATGTGTTATTCTGATGTATAAGCTGTATTATTGGAAAGTTTAGTTGAAATCCATTCAGTAGTTTTTGCGTGAAAGAAACATTCATCCACGCATACAAACACTACACCGAACAAATAACTCATAGGTATCCATAAACTGTCGAATCTTATAGACGCCCTTACACTAAGGGGTTGTCCAACAATCACGTGATCTTTTTTTAGAATTTTTAAACCCCCCTCCCCCCTTGGTGATACGTAGTGAGGTTTAAGACAACCCCCCCCCCCTCCCCCTTCTAAAGATCACGTGTATTTTTAGTACCTACAAAGAATCTTAAAATTTTCCGAATATTATCTTAATATAGGTACAGGTATAAACTATAATCTTATTTTATTCTGAAATTAAGGACCATAATAAAAATGTCTACACCGTTTGTTTAAAAATCGCGCGTTTGACGAAAAAATAAATACACGCGATATCTTACTACACCCCCCCCCTTGTGTTATTTTCGTGATTTTTTTAACCACCACCCCCCGCCCTTTCAACCCTTACGTGATTAATGGACGACCCCTAATCAGTACGAACGCACCTAGCACTACGTCACAAACGAGTTCCTACCGATGCACGTCGAACGACTACTTCTATTGTATGTACGGTTAAATGCTCATTTAAAAATTGGCTACTTCTTATGTTTAATTGTTAAAGTTTTTTAATTTAATAACTTCGTTTATAAGCACAATTAGCATGGCATAGCATATAATTTCTGTATCGACGTTAGGACGGACGGAAAAGCCTGAATAGGTTTATGTTCGAAAAAACAACAATATTGTCATGTGTTTTTCAGTAAAATAATAGATCAGATAAATAAATAAATAAAAAATAATAAAAAAACTTTCACGTTTATAATATTACTAGGATTACATTGATTTTATATTACCTGTAAACTAGATAACAGTAACGTCTGTATTGACGTATTCAATAATCTATACTGATAAACAAAGTCGAAGAGTTTGTTTGAACGCGCTAATCTCAGAAACTGCTGGTGCGAATTGAAAACTTCTTTTTGTGTTAGAGTATTTATCGAAGAAGGTTATAGGCTTCAACATTACGCTGTGACATATAGGAGCGAAGAAGCAACGAGAAATGTAGACAAAACGGGGAAAACTATTCAATCTAGGTTTCCATTGCGTGCTTAGTAAAAACGGTTTAAGATACCCAAAAATATATATGGAGTTATGATGCCTCTCTAAATTATCTAAAGAACTGTGTGCGACAGTAAATGTCTTTCAAGGTTAACTTGCAAGAACGACGGGACGACATATGGGTGACAGCTGTAATAAAGACGTAGAGGAGGTTTGCAAAAAGAAATTTTGACGTCCAAAATCACTAATCTACGCAGACGAAGTCGCTGACACAGCTAGTTCTGAAGCCTCTTATCTAACATAACGACGTGGGCGGAAATACAATAGGTAGTAATTACAACAAGATTACCATTATCTAGAATCTAGGTATAATTTGTGCTGTAGAAGGAAATAACGATAAGTTCTCGCAAAGAAAAATAATTGTTCGGATTATGACATCATGAAGTAAACATGGATCTGACGAAGGTGTTTGGCACCGTTGTTCATGAGCAAGATTGTGAGCGAGGCCCTCAAGTGATTCGAGTTTATTGGTCTAATGTATGGCTAATAATCAAAGGGTCGTGAATTCGATTCCCACCGGGTCTAACACGTTTGTAGTCACATTTATAATTATTACGAATATTTATATTATATTGGAATTCGTCTGGGACTCTAGAAAATGGGTGGTAGGTCAAAAGTCAAAAATGATTTATTCGTATGTACACTTATGAACGTCAAATTAAAGAGTCTAACTTTATTTAAATAAAACACTTTAACGGTTTAAAACGCGATATATTAGTTAAACTTATTTGAAAATGATTATTAACTTCGGCCCGACGTGTCCTCCCTCCCCAATCCTCTTCCAGTCTCCCCGTGACCACAGCTGCTGCAAAGCATCCGAAACGTCGGGCCGAAGTTAAAAATCATTTTCAAATAAGTTTAACTAATACATCGCGTTTTAAACCGTTAAAGTGTTTTATTTAAATGTGTACTACTCGCGTAAACTATAGACAGAGTCTAACTTTACTCTTACTACCAGTTCTTATATCAAGGGCGTAGAACGAACGAGAAGAGTTGGCAATAAACTCGCCGTCGCTCCTTTTATCGCCAAGTTTCATTTTAAATTCTTGATTTACTTTTAGTGCACTACATATTTTTCCTTGTAAGTGTCCATTTAAATATTGATTAACGTCATAATAACTCTTTCCAAGCAGTTTTTGTTTTACATACGATTTAAACCTATTTGTTGAGAGTGCTTGCACTTCGCTGGGGATTTTTAAAGTATCGTAAGCAGTTACCTTGAAAAGAACTACTACTTATAGAGCCTTTTGTTTGGTACACTTATTTCGCCCTTATTACGTGTTCTGATGAAAGCTGGGAAGGGAAATCGAAATGTAACAATGTATAACTAATAATCAACGGTCGTTCGGGTTCGATAGCCACCTGGTCCAATATCTTTGTAATAAATTTATAATTCTCCTGAAACATGTTGGATTTCGTCTGTGTATCTAGATATTAAATTGATGGTAGGAATATCGAAATTCCCACTCACGAATCACCACCGATGAAAAAGCCGTAAAGTTTATTCTCTTTTCTGTTACAGTCTGTGGATTTGGAATATCCAAAGCCAAAATAGACCGATAGCGCATCTTGTTCAGATATTCTATGGCTGGGCTATTTCACCTACCATCAAGTGAACCACAGGCTTGTCTGTCTACCATTGATAAATGTGATTTTGTATATAACGCTAGTTTTAAATAAAAGACATGCAGCTTAGGATAAGTAGACATAAAGGGTAGTTAGGTATTTAACCACTGTGGCTTTGATTTATACCCCTTTACATATTAATTTAATTTCGTTTTAGTGTATGTTTGAAGGATCTAGCTACGGGGCATCCTAGTGACAGTCAGACAGCGAAAATTTAGTAACGGGGTAACGTTTTAACCCAGGTGAACCCTAGACGTCAGCCGTGACTTCCGTGGTGGCTTGGGAGACGTGGCCAACAACCGCCCACGCAGGCTGTACCAAATAAATAAAATTCAGTTTATCTAATACGCCGTAATGTAACTTTACGGCGTCTGTTTTTTATACACGCACCTACAAACGCAAAGCGATATGTAATTCTTTAAGTAATCATAACTTTTTTATTTATCTACCGATTGACATGAACCATAGAATACTGTCGCGGATATCATTTTAGATCCTTTAAAGAAAATTATTTCTCCTGCGCTGTGGTCGGTTCTTGGACAAGCAACCACGGTCAAATCATCGGACTTCGAAGGTCCTTTGGAGGTTTAGTAGGTAGTGGCCATTGGATGAACCACAAACTCGCCCCTCCACTGTTACTATGGCCCGGTCGGCGGGGTCGGTAGACTTGCAAGTAGCTAGCCCTAAAAACTTTATAACCACACTCCTTGGTCCTTGGTACACAGATATTTAACTGGAAACAGGTAAAAATAAAACAGACTAAACAAGATTAAAATTTTTTATTTTATTTTGGTAAGCGCTTTGGTAATGGCTAGTGAAATTGGAAAGCGGAAAACTGTGTGATTTATTGAAAATTATCTAATTACTTGTCTCTTTCAGCTTAAAACTCCTCGTGGAAGGGATAGTCCGGGTGGTGGGTGCTGGAAGAAGATAAGACTATAGCATCAGTTTATAAGCGAAGTTATGTCAAATCAAAACATATAAAGTATAAACAATCAACAACTTCTTTTATTGAAGTCGGTTAAAAATGAGAAATAAAAAATTTGCTGTCTATAGTTTACGCGAGTAGTACACATTTAAATGTGTACTACTCGCTGTAACTGTAACGGTTTAAAACGCGATATATTAGTTAAACTTATTTGAAAATGATTTTTAACTTCGGCCCGACGTTTCGGATGCTTTGCAGCAGCCGTGGTCTCCCCGTGACCACGGCTGTCCACGGCACCAAATAAGTTTAACTAATATATCGCGTTTTAAACCGTTAAAGTGTTTTATTTAAATAAAAAATTTAAATTAAATTCCAACAGGGCGGGGTCGTTGATCTAATGGAAGCAATGTATGGATAATATTTAACGGGTCGTAGATTCGATCTCAATCGGGTCCAACGCGATATTTTAGAAATCTGGATATTAAACGGTATATTGAAATTCGGTCGTGGTGCACATGTGAAAAAGCCGTGAAGAATCGATTTAAGTCTGCGGGTTTCCGAATACCGAATATCCAAAACCCCAAACAGGTCAGCAGCAGTGTTCAGATCTTATATGACGATATTTCACAGACTGTAAGCGAAACGTGAAAAAACTTCACTTCTTCACCTGTAGATCGGTGGTCGGACCCGGCCGGAATTTTCCTACCACTCATTTAATATCCAGATTTCCAGACGAAGTCTAAACTGTTTCATAAAATTACAAATTGATTAGAAAAATGTTTGACCCGGTGGGGATCGAACCCACGTTGTTAGTACATTGATACTATTACACCAAGAAGGCCGTTAAACTCTAGGTCTAAGCTGATATGTAAACCACTTCGGTTCGGTTTCAGTCTGTTGATTTCCGAATATCCGAACCCAAAATAGGACGACTGCGCATCTTGTTTAGATGCTATAGGTATTTAACACACCATCAAGTGAACCATGCTTGTCTGTTCTTCTCTATCATTAAAAAAAAAAGATGGTTTATGGTACTTACTCGCCCATGGTGCAAAGACGCCCGTTGCATTCAAAGGTGGAGATCAGCTCCAGGTCTTCGGGAGACAGCTGGAAGTCGAAAACGTCGAAGTTCTGCTCGATGCGACTCTTCGTCACAGATTTCGGGATCACGATCAGCGAACGGTCGATTGCGTATCTGTGGGAGGGTTTTACTTGATTCAAGATGGCGGACGTGTTTCTTTTTTGTTAGCCAGCCAGTTAGTTTCGACGATAGAAGGCAATGTGTTTGATCACTTTTAACTGTTTAAAACAAGAAATGTATTCGGTAAATTATTTACAATAAATTTTAAATATGGCGCGAGGGCCACGGGGTAATTAAAAATGGAGGGTTTCTAATGTCAAAGTTAAATGTGCTACGCTAGCGCCATAAGTTTTCTTGTATTTAGGAAACTAGTTGGGTTCTAACAGTTCTGTCATTTGTCAAAAGGATTCGAAACGTCGGGCCGTAGCTAAAATACGTTATGAGTCAGTAAGTAATACATTTCGCGTATTAAACCGTCAAACGTTAATTTAAAAAATAAAGTACAGAAGTTAATTTAAAAAATAAAGTACTTAATGCCACCGCCAATAACGTGTGAAAAATATTTAAGTTTTTAAACGTTAAAGCTAATTTCATTTTCAATTATTTTCTTGAGTTGCAAAGCATAAGAGAATGAACCTTAGTTCTAAATTAAATGTAGGACACGGTAGCACAGTTGGTTAGAGCAGCACGAAACGCTGCGGTTCCGGCCGGTTCGAGTCCTACTCGATCTGGATTCAATCTAATTTGTGTACTTACCTAATCAAAATCTGTGGTACGGTCTTATTATATCTATCAGCGATCGATTTCAGCCTCTGGTCTTCCATGAGGCTGGGGTCTCCAGGCTTCGCCCAGGGTCTGTCTGGGGAACCGAGAGGCGAGTACGCGATCACCACGATATCATGAGATTTGCAGTAATCGAACATCTTCTGCTGGTTCAGGTAAGGGTGGACTTCGATCTGAAAAGAAAAATAAAATGTCTTTTCAACCATTGTCTGTATTTTACGCGAGTAGTAACACTTCGAAATAAAACACTTTAACGGTTTAAAACGCGATATATATCAGTTAAACCTAGTTGTTGCTTTAAACGTCGGGCCGTTGTTAAAATAATTTACAAATAAGTTTAACTAGCAAATATTGCGTTTTAAACCGTTAAAGTGTCTTTATGGTTTTATTGTTAACCCCCACTGTAGCTGAATGGTTGAAGCATGAGAGGTCCAGGGTTCAAAGACAAATCTAGTCTACATAATCAATAGGTTACAAAGATTCGACGATGACGTGAAGGACACGGTAGCTTAATTGGTTAGAGCAACAGCACGGATCGCTGTGGATGCCCGTTCAAGTCCTGCCCGTGTCGAAATTTTTCTTCAACAAACAACCCATGGGGTTGATGTCATTAAGAGTTGATGACATATAAGGGTATTGCTTTTACCTGCTGCACAGCTGGCTTAATCCTAGCAGCCTCCAGCACCCTATCCAGCTGCTTCTTGTTAAAATTGGAGACGCCGATGCTCCTCACCAGACCCTTGTCGACCAGGTTCTCCATCGCTTTGTAAGTATCTACATAGTCTACTGCCGATGGAATGACTTTTCCGTTCTCGTCTGTTGGGAACGGGTCGGTCTCTTCCTGAAATATATATATTCAGGATAAAAATGTGTTTTCTATTGACGTACTTTTAATAGCATGTATTGTCCCTAAAGATTAGGAATCGTTTGGTGTAGCTTATGTAAGTCGTACACATTTATATTAGCAATACTTTTTAACTGTTTCAACGCTATTTTGAGCGACCCGACGTTTCGTAGTTTTCTAGTCATGCAACGTCTTAGTTGAAATTAGTTAGTTATTCCGCGTTTTAAACCGTTAAAGGTGTTTTATATAAATGTGTAATACTCTTGTAAACTACAGATTAAAATTCAAATTATATTAAAAATTTTTTTCTTAAATTAAGAAATGTATTGCAGACTTTGACAGCTTGAAACAGACACAAAAATGTGTCTGTTTCAAGCTGCCAATTTGAAGTAACAATTGGAAGCAAAGAACAGAATAAAATTTAATTGCTATTACGACGAACGGGCGTGATTTAAACAAAACACTTTAAACTGTTTAAAGTGTGAAATAATATATTTGCAACCGTAGTCACGGGGGGACTGAAGAACCTGTGTCTCTAATGTCAAAGTGAAATCTGCTATTATAGCGCCAGCTGTTTTGTCGTTGTGTCGGTTGCAAAGTATCAGAAGCCGTGATTAAAATAAGTTAGTATATTTCGCGTTTTAAACCATTAAAAGTTTTTTTTTGTTTGAATGCTATTGTATGCTACAGGTAATGCTTTGGTGATTTTTTGGATGAACTTGGTTGTTATTTGATTCTGTATATGTGTATTAGAAATTATTGATTTTTTTGTATCTTATTTTTACGTGGATAATTAGTTTTATTTATTTATGTTAGACAAATTGCTTCTAAATTTTTTTTTAAATTAAAATTTAAAATTGGCTTTTTTAAATATGTATTTCTGTTCTTATTTAAACAAATATTATATCTACACTAATATATAAAGCTGAAGAGTTTGTTTGTTTGAACGCGCTAATCTCAGGAACGACTGGTTCGAATTGAAAAATTATTTTTGTGTTAATAGAAGCAAAGATATAGCGGGAAATGTGAGCAAAACGGGGGAAATATTTCATCTCAGTGGGTTTCAGATGTGAAAACGGTTCAAGATATACAAAAAATTATGTATGAAAGAATGATTTTTCTTATATTACTAAAAAAATTTTCGCGACAGTATATGTCTATCTTTTAAGATTAACTTGCAAGTATGACGGGACCCGAACGATTGGTCTACGCGGACGAAGTCGCTGACGTAGCTAGTTTTTTATAATGCTGAAATTACATGACAAACAAACCCATTTTTTAATTATACTTACTTTGAAAGCCTGTGGCCAGTGGATGAGGTAAAGATCTAAGTACTCCAAGCCGAGGTTGTCCAGGGTGGTCTTCAAGGCACCTTCGACGAGGTCTGGTCTATGGAACGTGCACCATAGCTTTGATGTTATGAAGATATCTCCTCTGAAAATGATACAACGAGACTTGGTACATTTTGTTGTTATAAATTCTTTATTTATCATGGCTTGTAATCTACGGGTCTTGAGTTCGACATGTTTCTAATCGTTTAAATAAAACACTTTAACGGTTAAAAACGCGATATTTCAGTTAAAATTATTTGAAAATGATTTTTAACTTCGCCCCGACGTTTCGGATCTTTTGCAACAGCCGTGGTCAGGGGGACACTAAAGATGGACGATGTCTCTGACGTCAAAGTAAAAAATTGCTACGCTAGCGGCATCTGTTCCTAACGGAACTTCGACAGACGAATATATTGCGTTTTAAACTGTTAAAGTGTTTTATTTAAATGTGTACTACTCGCGTAAACTATAGACAGTATTTAACTGAAGGTCACTAAATATGCAATGTCGTCATAGGTACATATTGTTATCTATGTTCGTGCACAATCAAGGTTGTTATATTGAAATTCACATAAAAACAATCTTGATGGTCTGATAAGAATTTTATAGCTTATTGGTTATAGCTGATAAAGGGGTATGACAGAGAAGAGACGAGCATGCAGCAGAGCTCATGATGGAAGGTTACCCCAGACCCCTAACATCACTAGCTGTGCCAGCAACTTTGCGTAGAGTAGTGATTTGGACATTAAAATTATTTTATTATTTTATCCTTAATTTTGCTTGTCTTTTTTCTTCGCTTCTATTGCTCGCAGCGTGGCGTTTTATAGCTGAAAGCCTTCCTCGACAAATATTATTTTTGTGTTGGTTACAGTAATTGCCGAGGTTAAAACACCGCCCTGTGACTAATACGAAGGTAGATACAGCGAGAAATGTGAAAAGAATTGAGAAAATTTTTTATCTTTGTGTTTGTGTTTCCGTTGCGTACTCTGCGAAAACGGTTCAGGATAACCAAAAATTATGTATAAAAGATTTATTTCTCTTTAAATGATCTAGAGAAATGGCAGCTATATGTCTATCTTTTAAGATTAACTTGCAAGAACAGCGGGAAGGGACGCGACCGACGTCGTGGTTAATAGCTGAAGTTCATAAAAATGAAGGGGCTGGCAAAAACGAATTTGGATGACCGCAATAACAATCCTCACGGAACCCTTACCGCGTCACTAACTTGCACATGTCGGGTGTTTGTTGAGTGTCAAAATCGATAGTACGACCTTAACGATGAACACGAATTGATTGTAATCAAACATCGGATGACAGACAAACTATTTTTATACATACGATCGATGTAAACAGTATTTATCCACCCCATGCCCCCCTTTGGGGTAACGGGCTTTCAGACACGCAATATATAATTTGTTTCATTCCAAATACAGACATGTAAATGCAATCTAAATCCGAATATATTTCACATTTCCCGCTGCATCTTCGCTTGTATTAAACACAGCGCGATGTTTTACAGCCTTCCCCAATGATTGCTTTAACCAAGACAAAAATAATTTTTCAATTCGAACCCGTAGTTCCCGATATGAGCGCGTTCAAACAAACAATTTTTTAAATAAAACACTTTAACGGTTTAAAACGCGACATATTATTTAAACTTATTTGAAAATGATTTTTAACTTCGGCCCGACGTTTCGGATGCTTTGCAGCAGCCGTGGTCACGGGGAGACTAAAGATGGAGGAAGTCTCTGACGTCAAAGTAAAAAATTGCTACGCTATCGCCATCTGTTCCCTCGAAGTTGGTATTTGGCGAAACTGGCCGGGTCCTTACAGAATTGACTAACGGTGTCTTCGCGTTTGCCGGTATGCTGTTTATTGGGATCCAGAGTTTTTAATCATGGGATCCCAGGTGTTTGATAATTTTAAGCCGTCCTCCCTATTGAAATTTCGGTGTTTTTTGATTTCTATTGCTTCGCGTACCAATCTTGGAAAAAATCGACTGATTTTCAAATAAGTTTAACTAATATATTGCGTTTTAAACCGTTAAAGTGTTTTATTTAAATGTGTATTACTCGCGTAAACTATAGATAGTGTTTAAACAAACAAACTCTTCAGCTTTATATATTAGTTTAGATTACTGAGGAAGAGATACACTTTAGTTCTTTCTTGAGCTAGGGGTTGTCCATTAAACACGTGACCTTTTTTAGAATTTTTAAACCCCCTCTCCCTCATTGGTGATACGTAGTGAGGTCTAAGACCACCCCCCTCCCCCCTTCTCAACATCACGTGTATTTTTAGTACCTACAAAGAATCTTAAAATTTTCTGAATATTATCTTAATATAAATACAGGTATAAACTATAATCTTATTTTATTCTGAAATTAAGGACCATAATAAAAATGTCTACACCGTTTGTTTATAAATCGCGCGTTTGACGAAAAAATAAATACAAGAGATATCTTACTATACCCCCCCCTCCCCCACCCCCTTGTGATATTTTCGTGATTTTTATCAACCCCCCCCCCCCCCTTTCAAGCCTCACGTGATTAATGGACAACCCCTTAAATAGAAAAATGTTGGCCCCGGTGGGGATCGAATCCACGACCCGTAGATTATAAGCCGTGCATTGCTACCATTACGCCAACCACTTCAGTTAGAATCTGATTCGTCCTCGACGAACATCAAAAGTCCTATCGAAAAGAGTCCAGCCATTATCTATATAGGCTCACCTTTTTATTTTTCCCTCATCGAATTTAGCTTTCAGCGCTTCACCGACTTCCTTCTCGTTGCCGTAAATGTGCGCACAGTCGATGTGTCGATAGCCTATATCAATGGCGTCTTTCACAGCCTGGGTTACTTCGCCCGGTTTTGACTGGAACAAATTAGAGTGGCTCTTTTAATAACAATAGGAAAAAACGTGACCCTTTGAAAAAGGATTTACATTTAAGGGCAGACATATATTTGTGTCTGTTATAATAATTTGTTAATTGTCCTTTCAATAATGATAGACTAAAACGTTTTTAATCTGTGCGGACAAGGAGGACATCCTACACGCATTTAGTATCCAGATTTCCAGACGAAATCCAACATGTGTTATAAGTTATAACACAATTGATTAGAAAAATGTTCAACGGGTGGAGATCGAACCCACGCCCCGTTGGTTATTAGTCGTACTTTGCTGCCAAACACCAACGAGCCCGTCGATACAGGCACAGATTGTGTCTCTTGTGACTAAGGGCCCGTAAGTCCTTAGATTTAATCCATCGAAATCTGTTGAGTATTTCTAAGCCTGCGTTGAAACAAACACACAGCATTACCCTCTTTAGTTGCAGTCGGTTAGAAGCATTTGAGAACCATGACTAATATTGATTTGCCAATTGTAACAATTAACAAGTTCGGAATCAAGAGTACGGAACCCAATTTTCAATGCCAAATCAATTTTGCCGCGTTAGAAGATTCGGGAATCTTTCCTAATTTAATTTTCAATATTTGTAAAAACAGGGTTCCGTAGTGAAATTAATATTTTTGCTATGTTATCGCACACGATGGCACTATATAAATTAAAAAACGATTTTGAATTGAATTTAACAAAATTCAGGACACGTGCTTGATTTGAACGGGCATCTACAGCGCTCCGTGCTGTTGCTCTAACCAAACTTAGCTTGACGCGCATGAGGGGTAGCTAAGCTCACTGTGGAGCTATTGAAGCTGTGGATATTCGAGAAACCCAAAGCGCTGAAACACTGTGGACGGTGGTTCGTGACCCAGATGGAATTTCAATATTCATAGTGAGTGAAAGCCCCGAAAGAGCGACAGCACGGAACACTGTGGATGCCGGTTCGAGTCCTGCTCGAGTCGTATTTTTTTTTCATTTTTATAATCGATATTTAATTTAGTTAAACTTTTAACAAACTATGTATTGTATAAAAAATGCTTAATGGTTTAACGGTTGAAAACGCGAAATATATAAACTTGTTAACAAAATATTTTTAAACTACCGAATCCGAAACATGGAAGCATAGAAATATTTTGTATACGGGTTTAACTAATCGATTTCGCGTTTTAAACCGTTAAAGTGTTTTATTTAAATGTGTACTACTCCTCGCGTAAACTAAAGACAGTATTTAAAATAATACTTATTTAATGAAGGCTCGTATAAAACAACAGACGATAAATAAAACACGTTTAACGGGTCAAAAAGTGAAATTTTAACTTAATTTATAGACAAGCATGGCGTTTACTTGATTGTAGGTGATCCGCGTCATAATTATGGCTTATATCTTAAGAAGATGTGCCGATATTCGGATATATTTTTATTGCTGAATGTATTCAATAAATTTTAAAGTAAACAATTCAAATATACTTTATTCATTTAACTAAACATATTATAATTCTACTTATAACACATTTGTTTATTTAATTTCTTTATCAATTCGTATGTTTTGAAAACTTTAATATCAAACACTGTCTGTAGTTTACGCGAGTAATACACATTTAAATAAAACAATTTTAACGGTTTAAAACGCGATATATAACTTTATTTTTTTCACATGTTATTGCACAAGATGCTATTATACATATTTGCATCGATTATGAATTGAAAGAAATTCTAAAGAAATAAACATTCGAAAGACTCGGGCAGGACTCGAACTGGCATCCCTAACGTATCGATTTTTAAATTATATATTTTCATTCTTTCAATTATAATATACATATTTCTTGTTTTAAACCGTTCAGACTTATTCGTGAAATCATACATAAATAAAAGGTGGTCTAAAAAGTTTTATACATAAGTATATTTATAATTTCTTGTATTAAATCAAAAAAGGTATTAATATTGCAACAGATGTCCGTAAGTGGTCACGAATTACGGTTGCCCAGTCTGTAAAAGCCGAATATCCAAAGCCAAAAAAGGGCCGACAGCGCAAAAACAAACAAAAAATCCTTTTTTTTTTTTTACCCATCTTGTTTAAATTCTATAGCCGCTAGGGTATACCTACAATCAAGTGAACCGAATGCTTCTCAGCCCTCCTCATTCAAAAAAAATATTTTAACTATCGGTTTTATATACATTCAATATTTTCATCGGAATCTGAACCCAAGACGATGAAGGACGCGTTATAAATATTTTTTTCAATCTAATTAATCTAATAAACGAAATAGGTAACTTATTTAAATAGAACAGTTTAACGGTTTAAAACGCGATATATTAGTTGAACTTATTTGAAAATGTTGTTCAACTTCGGCCGTGACCATCACGAAACGTTAACTAATATGTCGCGTTTTAAACCGTTAAAGTGTTTTATTTAAATGTGTACCAATCGCGGACTGTTGCTCTAACCATTAGAGCTACCGTGTCGTCGTCGAATTCTAGCCTAGGTACACGCATCTCTCGCGAAATGTAATTTCAATGTTTCCATTAATTTCTTCTGCTTAGCAGTCTAAGAGAAATGAAGATAAACCGTTAACAATAATTACAAATACCTTCCAGGTCCCCAGTCCAATTATGGGGCAAGTGTGTCCATTGTTGAAAACCACCAGGGGCACTGTTGCCATATTCAAAAGATATATTTCGTTTATTCGGACCCGAGACGACCGTAGTCGAGTGAATTTTCACTTAGTACTGCGCGGAAAATGTCAAAGTGAATTATTTTTAACGCGCCTAGATCGTAAGGACGCGTCCACAACGGTTGGCTCAGCCGGAATGACAAAAAATCGGTGCCCCTTTTTTTGTTGGGGTGTACTAACCAGTTTTTAGGGCCCGATACGATGTTGACGTAAGGGTGTGTGCAACGGACTGATATAAATATATTAGCTGTATACTGTCTATAGTTTACGCGAGTAGTACACATTTAAATAAAACTCTTCAACGGTTTAAAACGCGATATATTAGTTAAACTTATTTGAAAATGATTTTTAACTTCGGCCCGACGTTTCGTATGCTTTGCAGCAGCCGTGGTCACGGGGAGACAATCTCCCGTTTTAAACCGTTAAAGTGTTTTATTTAAACATATTAGCTGTGTCAGCGACTTTGTCCGCGTAGAATTGTTATTTCTTAAATGTAAATTTGTTTTTGCAAACCTTTTCATCATTATGAATTTTAGCTGTCACCCAAGTTATCAGACATCTCCATCTTCTCCTTCTTCCAAATTAATCTTAAAAGATAAATATATCATAGCATCGCTGACATTTTTTAAATAATTTAGCAGGGAATCATTCTTTCATACATATTTTTTTAGGTTACTTGACCCGTTTTCGCAGCGTAGGTACGCATTGGAAATTCACAAAAACAGTTTCTTCGCTTTTATTAGTCACAGAGCGTTATTTTATAGCATATAGCCTATAATAGAAATATTTTTTCAATTCGAACCAGGAGTTCCTGCGATTAGCGCGTTCAAACTAACAAACTGGTCAGCTTTATATATTAGTATAGATTTGTAATGTTATAAAATATATTTGTTTTCTGTGCTTGTGGCAACTGGAAAAATTCACCATCCCCCAAAATGTGGTCCAGGGGGGTGTAAAGGCGATTTTGGACGAAAAAGACGATGATAAAACGCTACATAGCAATATTTGAATAAATAAACAATGAAAGAGTGAAAATCATGTTTTTGTTATTAGGCCACTCTGCCTCTAGCAGCCTCATATGCAGTAAAGATTTTTTGTAAAACTGGAGTTTATAGACCAATATGAACGTGCCTTAAGCCTAACTCATACTTCATGACATAATATTGGAGGGTGGTCGGTGGAAAATTATCGCGACCGTGAGCTTCGATGCGTCTGCGCATACAAGCAAGGAATAATGGGCTCGTTGTTTATGGAAGTCCCTTTCGTTTCAACTACAAACAGTAAACTGTGTATTTCTATTGTAGTTATATTAAGAAATATTTAAAACAGTATAAAAAGTACTGATTTAAATAAAACACTTTAACAGTTTGAAACGCGAAATATAATCGTTAAATATGTTTGTGCAGCCGCATAACATCAAAACAAAATGCGTTGTCGACCTGTTTGGGCTTTGGATATACGAAATATGAATATTTGGATGCTTGGTTATGATTTAAATTAATAATTAGGAATACAGTGGAGGGTAGAGTGGGAATATCGATATTCCGTCCTGGTCACGAACCACCGTCCACAGATAAAAAGCCGCGAAGTTATAACGCGTTTCAGTTTGTAGATACCCGAAAATGAGAATAGGTCGACTTTATAGCAGATATATGCTATGGGAGAGATGTATTAATATTTTCATAAATGTCAAACAGAAAATTGCTTAATTTAAAAATTCGAAAATAAATTGGAAAAAATTTCGACTCGGCCAGGACTTGAACCGGCATCGTCAGCGTTCCGTGCTGTTGCTCTACCAATTGAGCTACCGAGTCCTACACCTCATCGTCCAATTTTTCCAACTTATTGATACCGGCACCTCTCGCGCAATGTAATATTAACCTTAACACGTCTTATGCTTTGCAGCTTAAGAAATCATTAAAAATGAAAAAACAAAGTTATAACGTTTAAAAAATTTATTATTTCTTACATGTTTTCACATTCTCCACACAAAACATTATCAATAATGATAGAGCCGAACAATTATTTTATTGTATTACATATTATTTTTACATTTAGGATAATTAAATGTAATTCATTTTAATTAGTGCAATTCCTTATCGCTAATTGTATGTACATATACAATATATAAATACTAATAATATATTTTAATTAAAAATTCTGCATAATTAAATTTGTCTGAGTCGTTTTGATAAGCGTGTCTTTCTTTAAAATTAAAACATTTTATCCATAATTAAGTTAACTTATTTAAATAAAACGCTTTAACGGTTTAAAACACGATATATTTTAGTAAAACTTGTTTGAAAATTTAGTAGTAGTAGTAGTTTTGAAAATTATTTTTAACCACGGCCCGACGTTTCGTATGCTTCGTAGTCTCCCTGTTACCACGGCTGCTGCAAAGCATCCGAAACGTCGAGCCGTAGTTAAAAATAATTTTAAAACAAGTTTAACTAATCACATATCACGTTTTAAACCGTTAAAGTGTTTCATTTATATGTATACCACCCCCGTAAACCACCGACAGTATTTTAACCAACTTTTTTTAAAAAAACACCGGGGGTTCAAATCTTTAATTTGCCCTGGGGGGGGGGGGGCCCCCCGGGGTTTTTTTCCCAAAAAAAAAAATTAAAACCCAAAAAAACTGTGGGGGGTTTTTTTCCCCCGGGAAAAAAAAAAAAAAAACCAATTTTTTTGTTTATTTTAAATCGTCCCGGTACTACGTCGCGTCAACTTTCGGTTTAGGTTTATCAAGATTTATTCGAAAAGATTGTATTAAATAACATTAGATTAATTATAAATCAAAATAAAACCCCCCCCCCCCCCCAAAAATTTTTTTTTTTTTTCCCCCCCCCCCCCCCCCTTTTTTTTTTTTTTTTTTCCCCTTTTTGGTTTTTTTTTTTTTTTTTTTTTCTTCCCCCCCCCCCCCCCTTATACACCTTTCGAATGTCGGTTAAATTTCGGCAAAAGGAAGCGAATAATTTGATCTGATTGCTAGTTGATTATTCTGTTGTTGCGTGGGCGAAACACGTCGTGGAAAGATCCATAGGTATTCCCGCTTGTTAATTAATTATTTCGCATGTCACTTGCGCGCGCGCACCGCGATATTTATCTGGTAACGAACTAAGGAAGCATCTCCTGGAAGCTGGCGGGCTCATTGGTCCAATGATAGCAATATATGTCTATACAAGCTGCGCCCGTGGCATCGTCGCGCGGTGGTCACTTTAGCTTTATAATGTATTTATTATGTTCGACAGAATTAGATTTTGCTTCATCTATACTAATATATAAAGCTAAAGAATTCGTATGTTTGTTTGTTTGAACGCGCTTATCTCAGAAACTACTGGTTCAATGGAGAAATTAGTCAACATCGCGCTGTTGCTGACAGTAGCAAAGAAACAGCGGAAAATGTGGAAAAAACGAGGAACAATATTCAGCTCTGTGGGTTTCCGATGCGTACACTGCGAGTACGGTTGAAGGTACCCAAAAAATATGTAGAAAAGAATGATTTTTCTTTAAATAATCTAAAAAAACCCGTGGCGCAAGATGTCTATTTTTTAGAATTACCTTGCAAGAACGACGGGACGCGTCCGACGTCATGGGTTTAATTTTAAAGTATGAAAAGACGGAAACGAATTAAGTGCCCAAAATTAATATTTTACGCGTACAAATTCGCTGACAAAGGCATTAAACTAAAGCGTTGCCCACCGTTGTCCGCGTCCCGTCGCGCCCTTATACTGTCACTACTGGCTTTATCTAAAAGAGGAATAATTTATCGTAAATTTCTGGTTCTATAGTTTTGAAGGCAAAGCGGAGTCAAGTACGATAGATTTATATAACAATAAAACACTTTACGGTTAAAAACGCGTTATAAGTTAGATTAAACTTATTGAATATCGAAAAAATTTTTACTTTTCGTGTTGCTAATACAGTTGCGGATGCAATTTTATAGGACGGAACCCTAAAATGTGGTGTCACTGGGAAAAGACGAGAAGGTTGCTTATTTGTTTGTAGAACAGATAGGTTAAAGCCAAGTGTTTTATTTCAATATTATTGTTAATATTTCACGCTCTGCTACCATATTGAGGTATTTGAAAATTAATTGACGGAAAGAAAAAAAAAAAATACATGATACATGAAATAAATAATATAAAGCAAGGACCAAAGAGTTTGTTGAAACTTTTTATGGACCACCGCAATGTCGGTGGGCACTTGAGGAGCTGGACGTAAGCTACAACGTTATCTGTGATCTAATAACGCCTGTCATTCTATCAATACTTCTGTCAAAACAGTCAAAAATCAATGTCGTTGTGAATTTTCAAAAATAATGTAAAACTTGGAAAATTCCTGTTTATTGGTTTGAAGAGAAAAATGGTATTAATATTCGGTGGCTAGTTATGGGGAATGCTTTGGTAAGTGTATTTTTGGTTGAATCAAATTTTAGTGCTCATAATAGTTTTACTCGGTGCCTCCGAGTGGCGAACCGTGACGCAGGATCGGCGGAAGTGGCGTTCTCTCGTTGTGGAGGCCAAGACCCACGTTGGGTCGCTGCGCCAGCGGAGTAAGTAACTATAATGGTTCTAAGACGGAATCGAAGCCAATGATAGTTTTAAAAACCCGTTTTAAATTATTCGCTTTTTCCTCTATCAATGGATCGAGGTATTAATTACGATTCATGAATGAAACATATACAAAAATATGTTTGACTTGTAAGAGTATATGTTTGAAAGATATGTTTGTTGTTGTTCAAGCGTCTAGTAAGGGAAACGATAATTATCCAGGCACATTTTTGCATCCCTCCATTTTTAAAACTAACATGATTAATATACGCAAGTTATTAATATCGTGACCACTGCTGGCTGCACTGGTCTGCTGCTGTGACGGCTGCTGGAAATCATCAGAAACGTCGGGCCGAAGTTTACCGAACTAATTTCTAAAAAAGTTAACGAATACATTTTGCATTTTAAACCGTTAAAAGTGACAAGTGAGAAATATTATTTATATAAATAAATAATGTTTTAAGTAGTGATGCAACGGATAGTTGTTTGGCCGGATACCGAATACCGGATATTCGGCCTCACGACTGGCCGAATATCCGGTATCCGGCCGCCGAATATTCGGCCAGCCAAACGATACCTATGTATATTTTAGTTTGGCGGCGCGCGCCTCGTGCAAGTTTCAACCTGTTACGTATTGTTCTCTCTTTTTATTTATATATGGTAACTCTTATTTTATTTGATTAAAAATTAACATACGATACGCTACCATTGGTTGAATGGATTTTGATAAGTTTAAATTGTACGTTAAAACTAATAAACGAATGAAAACTTTATTATTTTTTACATATTATTGCACATGAAGGCACTATATAATCTAAAAATCGAAAACAAATTGTAAAATTTTTTGACTCGGGCAGGAATTGAACCATCAGCGTTCCGTGCTGTTCGACGATTTCTTAAGCTGCAAATCATAAGACGTTGAACCTTAATCCACAAGTGTTAAGGTTGAAATTACATTATGCGAGAGGTGCATGTATCAATAAGTTGAAAAAATTCAACGATGAGGTGTAGGACTCGGTAGCTCAATTGGTAGAGCAACAGCTAACAGATGCCGGTTCAAGTTTTGCCCGAGTCGAAATTTTTTTCAATTTATTTTCGATTTTTAAACTAATAAACGAATATTGGTAATTTATCAATTATCAACAAATTATCAATTTTTGTAGTATACATACTAACATTTTTCAAAGTTAAATAGCAAACAGAATCACTATTCGGTATCCGGCCGAATACCGGATAGTTGCGCACTATTCGGCCGGAGTAGTAATAGTAAAATAATGGCCGGATAGCGAATAGTAACCGGATATCCGTTGCATCTCTCGTTTTAAGTCGACTCTCCATATGCCCCGCTTTATACCCCTTAGATTATAGAAGAACAATGATATGCTGAACGATGGCCGCGAAAGCCTTATAAAATTTATTTAACTAAAAAGGTATTTTTTCTGCTCCAGCCAGGTCGTCAGGGACAATTCGGGCAGGTCCCAGATCCTTTTGGAGGCGGTCAGGGGCCGTTCGGTCAAGGACAGGGGCAAAGTCCGTTCGGCCAGGGACCGGGGCAGGGTCTGTTTGGACAAGGGCAAGCTCCTTATGGGCAAGGTCAGCCACCATTCGGGCAAGGACAGAACCCGTTTGGGCAAACGCCATATGGTCAAGGTCAGATATATCTATACTAATATTGTAAAGATGGAGAGTTTAATACAAAAAAATACAATTATGTTTATAGCAAACATTTAAAACATTTTTAAGCGTTTAAAACGCGATACGAATTAACTTATTTCTATCTGTTATCACCAAATGAGGAAGGAGCGGCTGTTGCAATGCTTCCGAAACGTCGGGTCATAGTTAAAAAATAACAAAAATTAGTACGATAATTTTTTTGGCTTAACAAAGAAACATTCGCAGATATACCAGGCCAATATGCGACGGGGGCACAGGGGCAAACCGGGCTGGCGCCCCAAGGGGCAGTCGCCCCTGTAGCTAACGTCAGTCCACCTCCTTACGGCCAACCAGGAATGATGCAAGTGAGTAATGAACTTTGTTGACGTTTCAAACCGTTAAAAGTGTTTAAGTAGAGATGGTTTGTTATGTATTTTTCCAGGGACCTCCACCACCTGGTTATCAACAAGGTTACCCTGGATATCCTAACCAAGGACCCGGTTATCCAGGCCAGGGACCCGGGTATCCTGGCCAAGGATATCAAGGCTATCCCGGATCGGGCTATCCAGGTATTTCGTTTACATTTATTGTATTTAATTGTCTTGTGGTAATTGTAATTTTTTTACTTGTTTATTTAAATTGCGACCCGACGTTTCATTCGTTTTTCGTATAACATCTAAACAAGATGGGCTGTTGCCCTATAGCAGGTGTGAATATTCGATTGAACTGCAACGCGATTAAACTTCACGGCTTTTTCATCTGTGGACGACGGTGACCTGGATGGAACTTCGATATACCCACCACCCACTTTTAAAGACTATATTTTTAGAAAAAGTTTAAACCCAACCAGAAACATGTTGGGGTATGAACCCACGGCCCGTTACCCTTACATTACCATTAGACTACTTTATAAAGACTTAGGGAGAGGAGCGGGATTAAGGGAGATAGTTGGACAGTTTATAATTTCACCTGTGCTCCGAAACCCTTCCAGCACAACCTGGAACAGGAACATCTGGAATAGCTAATATGGCATGTTGTGGCGCGTGTTTGGCGTGCCTATCGTGTCTGCTCTGCTCGTGCTGTCAAGTAATTCATTCGATTCTCATCACATATGGCTAGAGCCAGAGTAGCCTAATAACAAAAAACATGACTTTTATAAGGAGGAAAATAAAAATGTTAACAATTTTCGGTCTATATAATTATATAAATAAGTCAAGACAAAAAAAATGCAGTTCGGCTACTCTGGCTCTAACAGCTACATATTATTTATGCTTTATACTGAGTTTTGTGACACGGTAGCTCAATTGGTTAGATTTAATGTTTATTATTATTTAATGTTTAAACTGATAAATTTTTTACACAAATCGAATACACTAAAATTTAAATAAAACACTTTCAACGGTTTAAAACGCGATATATTAGATAAACTTATTTGAAAATGATTTTTAACTTCGGCCCGACGTTTCGGATGCTTTGCAGCAGCCGTGGTCACGGGGAGACTAAAGATGGAGGATGTCTCTGCAGACAAAGTGAAAAAAACTGCTGCGCTGGCGCCATCTACTCCGTCGTAGTTGGTATTTGGCAAAACTGGCCGGGTCGGTCAATCATTTTCAAATAAGTTTAACTGATATATCGCGTTTTAAACCGTTAAAGTGTTTTATTTAAATGTGTACTACTCGCGTAAACTATAGACAGTGTTACACTGAAATTGTTCTATTGGCAAATCCATAATAACTGGATAACCCGACCCAGGACAGTCTAAATATTCCTTAGCCCGTGTAATTGAGTCTTTATTCAGAATATCAGGATAAGGCGTGTTGGTAATACTGCGGCGCAAGTCGCTGGTCCCACAAGAGTAGAGAACAAATCTTAAATAAAACCATTTTAACGGTTTACATACGCGAAATATATTAGTATAATCTTTGAAAAAGCAGCTATAGAAACGAAAATAACTCTTAAATAAATACTAATATATAACATTAACGCAATAAATTAAATTACACAGATTATTAACCATATTTTTTACTTCTACTTCTGTATAGGGTCTAATGGGTGGAATGCCGGGTCACGACGGAAACAACTATAACGATGGTCACAGTAATGAGGGCCCGACGGACGCCCCCAATGCGAATGTTGAGCCACCTTCGATCCCTCAAGAAGATGAGCACTGACGTGGCGTAAGTTTTGCGTAAAAATATTTAATGACGCATTTTATAACGTCTAACGCTTCGCAATAAACAGTTTTAACGGTTTAAAACGTCATATTATCAACAAAAGCCGCGGAACGTAGAAATACCTTACGTACGTATATTTTCCTTTTTGAACCGTTCAAAATATTACATAGTACAGCAATTTGTTGTAGCACTAACGATAATATTTAAAAGAGAATCAAACTTGCGGCCGATGATAAAGATTGAGGTGTACCGTTATTCTAAAACTAAGCAAGGATTCTCGAAATCCGCTATTAAAACGAAATTATTAATTTAAAAACAATACTATATCAAAACGAACACTCTTAACGGTTCAAAACGCGAAATATATTACTTTATTTCAATTTAACTTCACAGAGATTACAGTGTCCATGGTGATAAACAAAAACATTGCGCGTTTTGAAGCGATAAAAAATTATTTAATTAATTTATATCACTCGTATCAACTAAAGACAATATCTATCGACATAATAATAATAATTATTTGTGTGTATTAATTGCTTCCACAGCTCAAAGATTGAACGTGTAGCATAAGAGGTTCGAATTCCTGAGAAACTAGAAATAATTTCGCGTGGACAGGCATAATTTACATCAACTAGGTACTACATAAACTCGATTAGTCAACGGACACGGGTATAAGTTCGCCCCATACCCCCACAGGGGGCAAAGGGATTCTACTTTTAAATAGAACACAACGTTTTGAAATGCGATATATATTAGTTAAACTTATTTGGAAAATATTTTAACTACGGCCCGACGTTTTAGATGCTTTGCTAACATATTTAAAATTACTCTCAATTAAGTTTAACTAATATATCGGGTTTTAAACCGTTAAAATGTTTTATGTACGACTCGCGTAAACTACAGATAGTTTTTAAATGGATTCTATTGATTGCAGATGAAGTTTTGGCGAGAATTATTCAGCTTTGATGAAGAAATATTTACATCATGCATACAATGTTGTCGGTATTGACAAGTGAATAAATTATAATTCGCAAGAGTTGTCTATGATATAAACCGTTTGTATTACTTTTGTGTTAAATAAAATGCCCTGTGCGTTTTTGGTTTTTATTTCTTTAATACGATTCTATACACTTCACTGCTTTTACATCTGTGGACGATGTTTGAACCGGACCATTCAATATTCAGATGTCCAGACGAAGACGTCCATATGTTCAGAAAGTGGTGAATTATAAATCCCTTGAACCCTGTTGTAATCGTACCCACGACGCATTGATTATTAGCCATTCATACCTACCATTAGACCAATGAGGCTGTCAAACATTAACTTAACTTGTATCTACACCAATATTATATAACTAAAAAATTTGTTTGTTTGATTAAAAATCAATTAATAAAAAAATGTTTTCTCTTTAATTAATCGTATAAAATGTCCGCGACAATCTTTTAAGATAAACTCGAAAGAGCCATAAATAGATATAATGTAAAAAGCTAAGGAGATTTTGGAAACATAATATGATGCCTAAAATAACTATACGCGGACGAAGTCGCGGACACAGCTGGTACTATATAATTAGTATTGAATTTAATAAAGTATCTTTTGTCTGTGGTTTGTTACACGACCACAGGTTACTGAAGAACGTATACGGCTACCAAAAAGTCACGACACCTCCTTACAGCTTTTTGAATCGTAATTTTTAAAAAGAACGTCAAAAAGAAGAATACAAAAATAATGGAATTCCAAAGCCTCACATCTGCTTTTGTTCCCACACAGCAAGCTTGTCCCGCTACCATGGCCAAAATTTTCAAGTAACATTTCAACAGAATATTCAAAATTTCAAGTGAAACTCTCAATCAGGGAATAAAAATGGCTCTAATGTTAAGGAAATCCGTTTTCCCCAAAAATATTTCTTTGTTGAAATGTATCAAGGGACGCCCCATCGTTTCGGCAAGCACTAGGAAAAACCCTGCTATTTTATGTACGTATACAAGTTAAATACATCGCAATTAATCTAATCAATTCTGTAGTTAGTTCATCTTCTTATAGCTTCACAATCCACAATCTTGAATGCTCGAACGGCATATTTCAGTCGCTTCAACTGTACGTAATGTAATTGGATGTATGTAGTGTGTCGTTCGTTACTTTTTTGGGTGATACCAAATTTCTACCGTTCATGACCGCTGTCAGTTTGACAACCGGCGACAGTGGAGACTGCAAATGTTTTTTCATTCTCTTCCGCGCGGTGTGGTGGTGGTAGCCGCTGGTGAGCTTTCGTGTTATTTCGGAGAACGGTGGCCACTGCCTAAGGACATCCAGGCTTATAATACTCGACCGAAGCCGTTCGTTCTTCGAATAGCACTGAGCACCAGCGAGTATTTGTCGAACGCTGAGTATTATATGCGCGGATGTCTTTGCAGTGGCGGCCCGCGGCGCACCAGCGAGCCTGACGTGTGACGCGCGCTTGCGGCTCTGTTACGGCGACCAGTTGCCGATTCGCCACTACAGTGATAAGAAGGATAAGGATGCTCCGACGTGTGGCTGCCCCTGTGGACCCTGTGGTCCGTGCGGACCCTGCGGCCCGTGCGGTCCCTGCGGTCCCTGCGGCCCTTGCGGACCTTGCCGTGGCCCGTGCCCTCCGTGCGGCCCCTGTGGACCTTGTGGGCCTTGTGGACCATGTGGACCTTGCGGGCCGTGCGGCCCTTGCGGCCCCTGTGGCCCGTGCGGACCCTGCCGTTGCCCGTGCCCTCCGTGCGGACCTTGCGGGCCGTGCGGCCCTTGCGGCCCCTGTGGACCGTGCGGACCGTGCGGGCCCTGCGGTCCCTGTGGACCCTGCGGCCCATGCTGCCCGTGCCCTTGCCCAAAGCCCGTAAAGAAATGCGAAGGAGGGGTATGCCCCATGTGTGGCTCGCAAGCCATAGCTATGACAACATCGACGCCACCAGCCGCTGGACCGATCGCTCCGACGCATGCAGCAAAGGGAGAAAGCAAGGATGACAAAAAGATGCCCAGGATTCCAACCTCAATTAAAGTTAATTAATCTCATTGATATTCTATATTTTATGTACCCATATGAATTTTGTTATGCCTATTAAATAAATTAATTAAATGGTGTGTTATCATTTGCTGTTCACTTGTATGCACCCGCAGTAAAGCATTCTAAGGAAAACATGACGTACACTTTACAGCCGCAGCCCTAACCCTACGAAGACTGAGACACAAGTCGTTTTCGTTGGGCCCAGCAAGAGTGAAAAGGAGCTCACGGTTCCCATCACTGACGAGCGACGCCTCTACTAGGAAGAGCACAGACATTCGCCACAGCATATCCAGTCCCAACCTCGCGATTCGCTCTATCAGATGCGTCCCCATGAGAAGCTTTAGCACCACGTATATTCGAAAAGCCAAAAGACCTCTAAGTACAATTCCCGTGTGCCGGGATCAAGTGAATAGTCAATACACGTCTTTAAGATCTTACACGTGCAACGCTGGTTGCCCTTGCCCGTTTCCGTGCGGTCCTTGTGGATGTAAGTCTGGCTGCAGCTGTCTGCCTCCGCCCTGCAACACACCACCTCGTTGCATTCAGTACATGACCGGCTATTACTACTACCCTTATGGTACTTGGTTTTGCGGACCGTACCACGTCTCTGGAACTTGTGTTCCTGTTCCGAAACCTGGTTGTGTACCCTGTGGGAAATGCTGCGCATGTCCCTGCATTTGTCCTGCAGCGACTGTGTTCAATCCTCCAGGATTGGGAATGCCAGCTCAGCAAGGTTCATTTGATGCTAGCCCGTCCAGGCGACAGGGTATTTCGCGACTCTTCCCGAACTTCCCAAAACCCACTGGGTTCAACCCTAGAAATCCCATTCCTCCTATCATCTCTTCTATTGTATGCGATCCTTACATGACACCAAATATGAATTCTCAAACCACAAGACCTCCTATATCTATACCTGAAGAATATGAACCGAAGACTTCGTTACCCCAATGGAAAGTGAATGCATCGTTTGGGAAAAAGTCTTTAAAAAGTCCCATTTGCCATAAACGGTTTCGTCAGAACTACCAATGTCCGCAACTAGATAGGCCGCGCGTCATTTTAAGTAAAGAAGAAAGGGACAAGCCCCATATCAGAGTTAATGCATTCAACTACTCGTCGATACCACAATTTAAAAACCCTTTTCCACGTCCATATGAAGACCTTGAGCGATGAGACATAAATCTTTGGAAAAAAACCTTTTGGAATTTATCGCATCACTTTAGGCTCACCGTTGTTTTTATACAAACATTTTTAATAAACGATACCTTTACTTTGTGTTTTATTTGTTTTCACCAAGCCTATACACTAAAGCTTTATTAGGAACAATGCATTACAGTAAATCATCCTTTCAGCCAACAACACTTGGAGGAAAGTCATCCGAGGTTACTCCCGGAGAATATTTTTTGGCCCAGCATCGAGCCCAAAGGAAATCAAGATCAAACCAAACATCAAGGGCCACCGACTTGTACCGTACAGCAGTATGTCCGCGCCGTGCATTTCGATTAGAACACCAGGAAGGTTTTTGATTCCTCCACTCAAGTCTCGATCAGCTATCTTCGGTACGAAGAAACAGTCGCGGCAGTTTACCACGTGCCAAAACAGATGCAACTCTTCTCCCTCTGCCATTCAAGCTCTGAGTGCCGCGGGAAGCTGCAGCTGTCTCCCACCTCCATGTGATTGTCCCCCGAAGTGCATTCAATACATGACCGGGTATTATTACTATCCATATGGTACATGGTTCTGTGGACCGTACCACGTATCTGGTACTTGCAGCCCATGTTCTGGACCGGTAACCGCGGGCGGACCTTGCGGTCCTGGCGGACCCTGCCCCGGATCGTCATGCGGCCCACCCGGTTTAGGGTGCAAATGTGGTCCTTGTCTACCATGCTGCGGTTGTGTGTTTGAAACAGGTAATACTAATAACTATGGAATGTGGAACCACTGTGCACCATCTAGTTGTAGCATGCCAGGAGCAAACAACAACGGACCGATAGACGTTCTAGGTCAATTTGGATCTAACCATGGTGCAAGCGGATCTGTCAGCTATGGTATTCCTGGCCAATTTCACAATGGACCCGTGGACGTGCTGGGACAATTTGGATCCAGTTTTAATCCTATGGGATCGGACTATCACCCAGGACCGGTCGATTTTTCTGGACAGTTCGGCCCTGCCTATGGTTATCCACACCCTCTTCAACCCCAGTATCCTCAGAGTAATTTCTATAATCAGATGCCGCAATATGATAGCCAGGGTCCCTGTATGGGTCCATGCTTCAATGTACCATGTGAACCTACTGCCGTGGAGCCTTTCATCAGGCCTGAGAATTTTATCCCCCAAGCTACGTTTCCGGAGTATTATCAGAAGCAGCAACAGATGGAAGCGCCAAAGCCAATGAAGGCGAGATGCAACGCGTTTCCATTGTTGAAAAAGAGTGACAAAAGTCAAAACAAAGATGGTAAAGCGGCCGTTGTGTCGTCGGCCGCTGAATCATTCACATCGACGACTTGTCCCCAAAATGTTAAACCAAAGCCGATGCTGGGTCCACTACCATTTAAATTCAACAGAGGCAAGTAAGACTCAACAGAATATAGGAACGTCCGCATTCAATCGATGTTTGGAACAATTGCAGACTGTCACCTATTGAAACCCGTATTTATTTAAGAACCATAACTAAAGGGATTTTTTATTAGCTAGATAAATTTAAGAAAGGCAACTAAGTAAAAATAGACTGTCGCTATTAAAATATAAAAAATTAGTTGTAAAAAAATAATCTAGCATTACACAGATACATTAGGTGAACAATTCAAGTGTACGCAAATTCAAATATAATTTACGCACTGGTTTTGGTATTTTTGACTTTTGAAAATCAATGCTAGAGAACCAAAAGATTATGAAATTATTTTGTCCCGAATTTAAGTACACAATTCGTTCAAAACTGGTTCAGTGTTTTTGTACTTTACGATGCTGACTAACATACACAGGAAAAATCAGTTTTTGTCGGGGACTATAATAGAAATCTACAAATAATTCGAAGGTCTTGAAAATCTGGTATTAACTTATTCAGTACCTACATAAGTCTGTATTAAGTTGTAGACTCGTTTGTTTGGACTTGTCGATCATAGGAACTGCTGGTCCGATTTGAAAAATTCTGTGTAGGTTTGTGTCAGAAAAGGCTTTAGGCTATAAAACATCACAATGCATCAAATAGCAGCGAAGAAACATTAGGCAATATGAAAAAAAAACGAGTAGAAGTATTTATCTTTTAAAGTTTCTAAATAAAATTAGTAACAGCTATAATTTTGAATGTGACAATTTATTTGGAAAAAAATACAGGCTTTTGTTATAGAACAGAGATAATCGAGTTATTTCTTTTCTTTTCCTTTTACATTTTGATCACCACAGACTGTTCTGTGAATTTTAGAAATTCATTTTGGCTAGATTTGATGGCTTTTTCAAGCCTGTTGTTTAATTTCTTTTTTTTGTGTAAATTCCATTTTATTCAGTTAAATTAGGTTTTAACGTGAATTCTTATTAATTTGGTCATCACTAGTGGATTCGATCTTCGGCCATCGGAACGTGATTATGAAAAAAAATGTGAAGTGAATTATCAAACTGAATAGGCAGCTAAATTATTAATTATTATTATAATAAAGTCTATTAAAAAATGATAACGAATTTTCATCCCGATCTCTAATGAATATATCAAACATTGTACATTCTGATTTTATATATCGATACCGGACCGAAAACCGTAACCATAAGTTACGGTTTATCGAAAGCAAACCACAAACTGTATTACCTCACTAATGATGCTAATGCCGCCATTTTGATGGGCCAATGTTATTTCCGCCATTGCGAATGTAAAAGTGCGGTTCCTCATAATATTTAATTTAATATGCTGTATAGTTTTAATTAATAAGTTCTAAAATGGAGGAGGAATATAGTATGGACACACAAGACTCTGTAGCGAGTGACACAAATCGTAATGATGGAAATGATAGTGATACGGTGAAAAGTGACTATGAGTATGGTTATGAAGACTTCGAGGATGAGGAAGGCTTTCGGGGGTCCCAGCGGGGTCGGGGCAATTTCAGGTAAACACTTTTACGAGCTACGCGTTTTTCTACACTAATCTTTTACAAATACACTAATGGGCGTTAGTCCTAACTGCCATGATTTTAGAAGCATTGGTTTTACAATTTTAACTGTTATATCTATTTTTAATACATTTACGTATAAAATTTGCTCTGTTTTGAATATAGAAATAAGTTATATAACAAGCATAAGTCACCTGCTTAATGAATTTAGATTTTTCTGCCATAAGTGTTTGCTTATTATATGTAGTACTTACTATAGCCTATGAAATGCTCTGGTTACTAACAGAATATTTGATTAGTTACACGCCATGCTATCTGTATATAAATTTATTCATACAATATCAAAACACCTGCATGTAAAGAAGTTATAAGTATTGTCCTTGTCCTACATTAAGGCATATGTTATATTAAGAGAAACAGAGTTTTATAATATTAATGTTACAATACTTAGCATAGGCTATTTCTCTTGTAGTAGAATATCTTATCAAGAATTTGAACATCACTGAATTGGTGATGATAACTGGAGCTGACCACTAAATATGAAGACACCTGCTAGTTTCAAACTCTAAGTTCAAACAAAAATGCTTAATACTGAAGTAACATTCCACTGAACCCAGGTATAACCTGGGACCTTGTTATCCGCAGCGAAGTACACTAATCTATTGAATACCCTCATTATTATGATTACATAAAACCCATTCAAACCCTAAAAAAAATACATATTAACTATTAGGAAATAGCAAGCTAACGAGATCCTTTTTCGGATTAAACTTAATTATTTAAGAACTAAACTAACGAACTTAAACATTTCCGCCTCCTTCAGTTATGCTTATTAAGCTCACAAACTATTTATGGATACAATGATCTATATATAGTATTTATTTTATGTTAAAAGTCAATAAGATTACTTATGAGAGATGCACAGAATGCTGCCGATTTTATACTGGTGTCCTGTGAGCAAAATAATACTCAATAAATCCTTTACCAATTTTAATACATTATTATCAATTCTTTATTGTTTTTAATTACGTATACTTCTAATAGCCTAACGCCATCATTTTATGATTTGCCAGAGTTCATCCATCCCATTAAAGATGACTAAAAACAGATTATACATATTTGAAGAATTGTTACACATGCTTCAAATTTTAATTTGTTTGTCTTAAAAGGTAATCGCTTATGTATCCATATTCAACAATTATCTGATTTATAGGTTTTCTGCATTTGTCGAACTTGGATGTACTTCACAGACATATTACAATTATATGTGTAAATAAAGTAAAAATTATACTAGTTTATGACCTTAAGTATAATAAGTGCGTTTACGGTTATTTAAATGCCTTGCGAATATACAACAGTGTCAAGTCTTTATAATAGCAACTAAGAAAAAACCTTTTAATTTATTATTGCCTTTATATGCAGTGAATACCAATGTGTGTATGTTTATTGTAACAACTAGTGCCATAATAGAGTTTACAACCTGTGTCTCCTAGTTTCCTGTGCTCTTCAAACTCTCGGAATCAATTATCATCAATAACTTTGTGGGTATAATTGTTAAAGTACCGTACCATAACAATGTGGTTGGGCAGGGCTCATGGATGCGTCTCTAGTGCTCAGGAGAGGAGACCTGCACAGTAGTTGATAGAGATGTTGAATGTCGGTTCGAAAAAGTATGTGGCATAACAAGCCGGTGCTAGAATAAATATAGGAAAAGTATGTAATTGTAACAAAACGAACATTTGCTATTCATTTATAATGTACTTGTTTGTCGTGTGCCTTGTTTTCTGTTGTACCAACTTAGAGATTGCTTGTATGTTTTACGTACCTAGTAACTTTGTTTACAGAGGTCGTGGGGGGCGCGGCATGCCTCCACCTGGCTGGATGAATGGACCCCCGCCAATGCGCTTCAGAGGTAGAGGCTATGGGCCAGGTGGTCCACCGATGCGGGGTCGTGGCTTTTTCCGAGGTCGTGGCGGTCCCAGATTTGGACCCAACGGTGGTCCTAACTTTGACAATAACTGGGGACCCATGGGACCCCCTCCACCGGGCATGATGGGCCCGCCTCCCTTTGGACCGCCACCACCAGGAATGATGCCTCCGGGGGGACCGATGGGGCCTCCGCCAAACATGATGGGGCAGCCTCCACCTTTTGGACCACCAGGAATGCCACCAAACATGGTGAGGATTATTACATTGTGGAGTACAGTCTCACTACTGCTTGCATTGTTCAAGTTGTAGGTTGTCAAGTTTCAGTTGTGGTGTTGGAATTTTCAATGATTTATATTCATCTTGGACAGACTCTACCGAGGGTCAGACCACAAATTGCCCTTTTGAATAGCCCTTTTATGTAAAAGTAATGTAGTTTGAAAATTGTGTGCATTGCCCCATAAAACAATTCTTTATAACATAAAACATTTCAGCCACCGCCAGAAATATGGGTGGAAACAAAGTCAGACGAAGGCAAATCATACTACTACCACCAACGGACCCGAGAGACGACATGGACCAGACCACAAGAGGGACCCACTTGCAAAGTCATTACACAGGCAGAGATGGAAGCCATGGTGGCAAGCGGTGAGTAAAACAAAAAGAATCTCATCTGTCTCCGTAGTAGTTCATCCTTGACGTAGGAAAAGCGAGTTTCACATTTAAATAAAACACTTTAACGGTTTAAAACGCGATATATATTAGTTAAACTTATTTAAAAATTATTTTAACTTTAGTTCGACGTTAGGATGCTTTGCAGCAGGTCTCGGGGAGGCTGCTTAAATAATTAAAAATAATTTTCAAATAACTAATAAATATAGCGTCGTTTTAAAGTGTTCTATTAAAATGTTTACTACTCGGGTAAACTACACGGTATTTTGGAGTTTCACTTTTATATGTACCGGGTTTGGTTTGCAGTATCTCCTATTCTCCATAGGAGAAGAGTAAATGTTATTTCTATTTTCATAGTCTCAAAATGTTTATCAACAAGCGCACAGTGAAAATCGTTAACACAAATAATAGTACAAATTAATTTTCGCCTAAGTTAATTGCGCGTTTTTATTTTCCTCCATATTGAAAATTATGTTTTTTGTTATTAGGTCACTCTGCCTCTAGAAGCATTAATGACTAATTTATTTCACACATTCCAGGGATAAATCCACAAACAATGGGCATGAACAATCCAATGGGTGGTCCACCGATGGGCGGGCCGCCCATGGGCATGATGCCCAACGGCATGATGGGCGGAATGATGCCACCTGGAATGGGACCACAAGGCGGGGCACCTGCCCCCAACTCTGTCCCGCCGTTTATGTCGCATCCCCCGCCATGGGTGAAGGAAGGTATGTCGAAATGAGTTTAAGGGAGCATGTTTAAGTATCGCCTTTGCATCTAAACTTTGATTAGCATTGCGTTAGAGAGGTACTACTACTGACGTCAAAGTAAAAAAAATCTACGTCCATCTATTCCGTCGTCCGTCCGTCGAAGTTGGGAATTTTTTACATTGACGTCAGAGACATCCTCCATCTTTAGTCTCCGCGTGTATTTTTACGCTGCTGCAAAGCATCCGTAACGTCGGGCCGTAGTTTAAAACAATTTTAACTAAAATATATCGTTAGTGTTTTATTTGACTGTGTGTTATTGTCGAGTTTCCAAATATATAATCATTCTATTGCAAAATATAATATGCGTAGAATTGTTATTTGCACGGATACATAGAGAAAAATTAAGTTGACTTCTCAAACTATTTTTTGCCCACACCAGGTAATAACCAAATGAAACCCGAACAAGCCGAACAGCCCGGCATGGAGATGGACGATCTGCCACCCGGAGAGACAGCACAGAGCAGCCAACAAATGATGGCAAATGGTATGGTTATTTATTTGCCTCAAAGATAAAAGTTAAAAAAAACAGATGCATTCATTATAATAGAAATTGTTCAATGTCGGTTCGAATCCCATCTTCCCCTTGAAGAAGATACTTGTTGAAGATCTAAAACGTCGGATCGTATTTAAAATAAATAAATAAATTAGTTAACCAATTGATTTCACGTTTTAAACAGTTAAAAGTGTTTTATTTAGACGTGTACTCCCGTTAACCATAGACTAAACAGATTTTTTTTACAGTGTGCCTACTTTTGTATACCTATTTAGTGTGTGAGGTGGCCCCTAATCAGACTCGCACTTAACCGTCCTTCTTTATTTAATAAAAGCATGATAAAATTTGTATTCACTTTTTCAGTTGCCCCAGTGACAACGTCGTCCAACGCTCCGATGGGCGCCAACATGGCGTCCGGTCCACCGATGAACGCTGGTCCTATGGGTGCACCGAATATGGGCCCCGGGCTCCCGATGGGTGCGGGGCCTCCCGGTGGCACTTGGGGTCCGTGGGGTTGGGGCCCGCCGCCAATGGTCGCGCAACCGGGATTCCCCGGACCTTCACCTGATAATGGTAAATTGGGTTGATGTAGGAATAGGACTATTGAAGGGGGGTGTTTGCTCTAATGGTATAGCTAATAATCAATGGGTCGATTGGTTTGATCCCCAACAGGGCCGACATGTTCCTAGTTTATTAATAATCTTCTACTCTTTTTCTTGTTGAAATCTGGATAGCTGAATTGATTGTTGAATAGCTGGTCCGTTCCTGTTGACGGATATCTGTATGTAAGAGCCATGAGGTTGAGTCTGGTTTTTAGTCTGTCAAAATAATAATATAGAAATAGGTCGACAGGGCATCATTAGTTTATTAGGATTATGTACTATTACTTATTTGTTAAATCATTGCCATATAGTCTATTATCCAAAACTGGTCAATATAGCTTTGTCTCTTTCGCACGATCGGTAGTTCCTTAAAAAGAACAAGGACAAAAAATGTTCAGTGTACACCACCCTTCCAATTCTCTGTCTCATTTAAAATTAAGTATACAATTGACTAGCTGTGTCAGCGACTTAGTTGTTGTTTTTGTTAACCGGTGGTCGGTCATCCCGTCTTTCTTCTGAGTTAATACTTAAAGATGGACATATCTTTCTCATCATTCTTATAAACATATTGTTTGAATACCTTGAACTGTTTTCGCAGCGCCCTTAGAGATGAGTAATTTTCACCTTCTTTCCACATTCTCCCCTGTTTTCTTCCTCCAGCCTTCCTCGATAAATGCTATATCCAACAAAAAATATTTTTTAATTCGAACCAGTAGTTCCTGATATTAGAACGTTCAAACAGACAGACACTTTAGCTTTATATATTAGTAAAGAAATATGTATTATACAGGTGCTGGACCGCCCATGGGCGTTCAACTAGCTCATGTACCCGGAGACGAGGATTCACCCATTTTGTTAGACGGATCTACACCACCACCGAGCAAGAGAGAACCCACTGTGAGTGATTTGAAAATTATAGTCACTTATATACAGTAAAACCCGCTTAAGACGACGACGTCTCCAAACGATCAACGATAATAAAACGTACGACATATGAGTCTGCTAGAGGCAGAGTGGCCTAATAACAATTAAATTCTCAATAAGGAGGAAAATAATGCGCAATTAACTAAGGCGAAAATTAATTTGTACTATTATTTGTGTAAGAATTATGTTAAAAATTTTCGGTCCCTGTGCTCTTGTGGATTAACATTTTTATACTATAATAATATAAATAAGTCAAGCCGTAAAATTGCAGTTAGGCCACTCTGGCTCCAGCGGCCTAACATTATGTGCCAGACACTAATTTTGGTACAATGCTTTATATAAGTAGTGTAGATGTAATTGCGTTATTTGAAATCAATGTTGGAAAATATGTCTCAAGTTGCAGGGACTGGGATAAAGTGGCGTCTTAAGCGTGATCTTCTTAAACGGGTTCGACTATAGTATTTTACAGAATTTTAAGTCCAACAAGTTACTGAAAAAGAGAAACCTTTTCCAAAACTGTTATTGTTTTATTTCATGTATCAATTGATTCAGGATATTCGCGTGGCACGGTAACTCAATTGGTTAGAGTAGCAGCACTTAACGCTGTAGATGTTGGTCCAAGCCCTGCCTATGGTATCGAAATTGTTCAACCCTTATTTTGATATCCGTCTTCCAGGTAATACCACGAGAATTGGAGGCAGCGGCCGCGGAGTGGACCACCCACATGTCACCAGATGGCAGAGCTTATTACCACCACGCCGGTAGAGCCGAGAGTGTCTGGATCAAGCCGGAGCCGCTGCAGAGGCTCGAGGGTACGTATTAACTACAAGTCCTGGGAAAAAATGTCTGCTTTGTATTCCCAGGGTGTTCACCATCGGTAATAACAAGCAAAATATGTACTTAGAGAATATTGAATTGCCCATAGTCAAAAATCGTTTAGTCACGTGAGTAACTATGTATGCTTACGAACGTCACGCCAGAGCACATACACATACAAAATTTATATATACTACCAGTTCTCAAATCAAGGGCTCAAATCTGAGAAGAACTGGCAAAAATCTCGCCGCCACTGCTTAAAGCTGCTTGCTTTTTCAGGCCAAGAAATTTTGGTTTTAAGTGCCTACATTTTTTTTTCACGTATTTTCTGTTACTCCTTTGTTCACAGAGTTAAGAGCGAAGATTGCTTTCGAGAAGGGCGAAAGCCTAGACAAGAAGAAGGAACCGATTATCCTCGATGGTGGTAAATATACCCTCCAATAAGATTTCAAAATAAAATACTGCTAATGAAAACTTAAGTGCTTGAAGCATCGTTATTCATATTAACGGTTTAAAACTTCGGGTACTTGAAAAGAGCTTGACTTATTTATCATTAGTTTGAAATTATTTTATTTATTATCACGAGTATTATTAACCGTAGACAAGGTATTAAAAATACCAATATTTAAATTTAAGAAAGCAATATTGTTATATTGTTTTTAGCATTAGACATTTTCATTCACAGTCATTGATGTTGACGAGCACGAAGAAGCGTTAGCAGCGGCGGAGGCGAACGCCGCCGCGGAGAAGGAGCGCGCGGAACGCGAGCGTTTGGACCGTGAGAAAGCGGAGAGGGAGCGAGAGGAGCGCGAAAAGGCAGAGAAGGAGAAAGCCGAGAAAGAGAAGGCGAAGCCGGATAAGACTAGGCCGGTTACCAGTACGCCCATCACTGGGACGCCATGGTCAGTCGAAGTAGTTTTTTTATGATAGAGGACGACAGATAAGCGCGGGGTTCAGTTGATGGTAGGTGAATGTCCCAGCCACATAACATCTAACGAGATGGGCTGTTGGCCTATTGTGGCTTTCGGAGACATTCTGAGATCCACAAAAAATAAAATAAGGAATAAAGGTAATAAAAACTGTTGGCCGTATGCAATAATTATTACTCATTGCTTGTACTTTCTCTTTTATACTTTTTCTTCTCTTCTCTTATCTTCTTCTCTATATCTTGATTCTGAAACAAAACAATAATATTGAATTTGTGTCAGGTGCGTCGTGTGGACGGGTGATGGCCGCGTGTTCTTCTACAACCCGACAGCGCGTCTATCGGTGTGGGAGAGGCCGGCGCAACTGCTCGGTCGGAAAGATGTCGACACGGCTGTGGCACAGCCACCGCACTTGCTTGAGCAGGTACGTCTATGCCCACGGGCGTATCTCCTATTTCAGGAACTGATGATCAACAAAAAAAAAATGGGCAAAATCTCTTATATAATTTAGTTTATTTATTAACACTTTATTGCACAATAGAAAACAAAAAGGTACAAACGAGACTTATGTACTAAAAATATGGAGTGCCATGGGCGGCCTTATCGATAACAAGCAATCTCTCGTAGGCAACCCAAGATGATGTAAAAATTGACGGGTAGACGGTGGAATGGAAGGTAGGCGAAACAAAAATATGTATCTTAAAGATATCAAAACAAAAACTTATCTAGGAGAATTCAAACTAAATACGAATGCGAGAAATGAATAAATAGAAATATGGGAAGACAATTTAAAAGTGCGAAGATGTTTTAAGAAAAAAGAAGAAGATATCGAGTCCTACTAGGACTCGATATCTTCTTCTTTTATCTTCTTTTTAGGTATATAGTTGTAAATTGTTTCAATTTGTAATCGATTTTTAATTTACTCCCTACTTATTGTAATTATAAAGTTTAGTTTGCTATATTCATGCCACGGCTTTCAAATACTATTTCATTATTGTAAATATACCAAGAGAAGTAAATACTGTCTATAGTTTACGCGAGTAGTACACATTTAAATTAAACATTCTAACGGTTTAAAACGCGATATATTAGTAAAACCTTCTGTCGTAGTTAAACTGTCTCCCCGTGACCACGGCTGCTGCAAAGCATCCGAAACGTCGGGCCGAAGTTAAAAATCATTTTCAAATAAGTTTAACTAATATATCGCGTTTTAAACCGTTGAAGTGTCAAGACAAGTATTTCATTTAACACAGCCGTGTAAACTGACGTTTTTTCTCGTTTAATATCAAGCGGTTTTGGGGATAAAGAAACGGTCGAATATATCTATAATAATACTTACAGCAGCAACAGCAACCCCGTAAGGAGACAACAACGACACCAGCAGCGAGTGCGAAGAACGCGAATGGTGAGCTGAAACGCAATATTGACTCGGACACAGATTCCGACAGCGAGGGTGCTAAACGGGCGAAGCAGCAAGTTGAGGGTGAGTCTTTGAATTTTTTAAATAAAAATGTGACATAGGCCAAAGTTTAAAATAAAAGAACCCGTATGCAATGTATTTTTTAAAATGATTGATTGTTACTCATTTATAATTCTATGAATATATCAGAAATAATATAAAAATTTATGATATCCACAAAGGGAGATTTGAGGGGGAGGTGAGGAGGTGGCAGACAGACTCGAGGCTTAGGTTTAACGATGTCTATGCCAAATGATATGCATTGTCTGTAGTTGTACGCGAATAGTACACATTTGAACAAAACACTTTTAACGGTATAAAACGCGAAATGTATTAGTAAACTTATTCACAAGTACAGACATAAACAGACATTTCGCGTTTTAAAATGTGTCTTCATAATTCTTGTTCTAAATTATGACGTCAACGATGGTTGTATGGAGGGCATTACAGGTCATATCAACGAGTTTTACAAAAACAGAATAATTTAAGTCATAATATATTTCGAAAATTCTACAAAAAAATAACGAACGAGACGCCCCGGCCAACTTAGCTAACATATTCTCAGAATACAATTTGTCCGTAATTTACTCAAGTGAAACACAATAAACGTTTTATTAATTTTGCTCTTTTAAACCCTTTTAACGGTTTAAAAAGCGAAATGTTATTTAATAAATAACTACCTTAGAAACATCGGGCCGTGGTTAAAATCAATTTTTAAGTAAGTATAGTTTTAATAGTATATAATACATTTCGCGTTTTAAATCGTTAAAAGTGTTCTATTTAAATGTTTTCCCTGAATGTGCATCAAAATTGTTTTACTGTTCAATATAGTGATCGGTGTAACGACAAAGAAGGCCATCGACGCGAACGCGGACGCCGCGGTGGAAGCGGAGATGATAGCTGCTCGCAAGCGGGTCGTGCTGCCGTTTGAGCAGCGCGTGACCGCCTTCCTGCAGCTGCTGCGCGAGTCTGACGTGTCCGCCTTCAGCCCCTGGGAGAAGGAGCTGCACAAAATCGTCTTCGATGACCGCTATCTGCTCCTCGAGTCCAAGGAGAGGCGTCAGGTGAGAAAGAAACGTATTTATCCCCGCCGATAGATGGCCAGGTGACATAAGGAATCGTATGGCTTATTATTTGGGCTGTTCCCACTATCGTAATATATGAAATCAGTGATAAGTATAGTCTTAAAAAATACTTTTGTAGTCTTGGAAACAAAAAAAAATGTTTAAAACGCAGAGTATATTGGTAAAGTTAGTAGACAACTAAAACACAACCACTTGCGTAAGCTACGGTATTTAATGATTGTATTAGCCTAAATTATATCCAGTCCGAATGTTCTCGTCTACAGTCACAAGTTATCTGTACACATTTTGAATAAATAGCTCTGCCGTCTGCATTTTTAAGGTTAATTGCGCTACAGTTAAACGAGTAGTTATGTCGTAAGGGGGCATGGGGCATATTTTATTCCTGTATATGTTTCACGGCTGCTGCAAAGCATCCGAAACGTCGGGCCGAAGTTAAAAATCATTTTCAAATAAGTTGAACTAATATATCGCGTTTTAAACCGTTAAAGTGTTTTATTTAAACCGTGTACTACTCGCGTAAACTATAGACAATATTTTATTTTTCACTATTTATAGTCAAGTTATTGATCCCACTTCTGTGACCAGTCCGATCAAATCAATTTCGCAACCCCGGTGCGACACTGTCACGTTTGCAAAAATGCAGTTTCTCAGAAGAAGCATTTTAAACTTTGACACCTCAAAGCAATGACGCTAGGAGGTATAGGCGAGATGAGTTGCTCATATTAAAACGTGAACTCCTAGCTTTAAATGTGCCTACTACAAAAGTAGCCTTATCGCACCAAGTAAAGGTATTAATTGTTTTGCAGGTGTTCAACAAGTACGTGCGCGACCGTGCCGAGGAGGAGCGCAAGGAGAAACGCAACAAGCTGCTGGCAAAGAAGAACGCCTTCAAGACCCTCATGGAGGAAGCCAAGCTCCATTCCAAGTGAGTGACCTCGTCGTGTATTTGTTCTCTGGTGTTGTCTTTTCCCACAATCACTTACAAAAATCTAAAACACGAAATGTATTAAACTTCCCCCCCCCCCCCGCGCCTACGAGGGGCGTGGTCATGGGGAAGGAGGAATGTGCCGTTGACCTATTTCGGATTACGATATTGGGATAATCCATTACATATGAGAGATTCATACAAATTATAAAACGCAGAATCATATTGCACCCGGTAGGAATTGAACCCCCTACCCGTGTATACACATTGCCAGCATTGGATCAACGCGACTTCGGCTTATTTTTTTATTATTATTACATTCTGTATATTGCCCTAAATATATAGATAAAAAAATGTCTGTAAAAGTCTTCTCCACATTGTGACTTTTTCTTCTGTATTGCGTTAATGGTTCCTTTATTAATTTGTTACTGTCAAATGCTCAAAGCTGACTGAAAATGGACGCTGTTGCTTGTCGCAAGTGTTTCAGCACAAGCTGTTATCCTTTTCCTAGCCTACTTTAATTTGTAATTGTATCTTTTTTTTAATAAATTTTTATTTTTATTTATTTACTTAATTTTCGACCAAAGGTCGTCGTTCACCGAGTTCTCGACGAAGTACTGCCGTGACGAGCGCTTCCGCGGCATCGAGAAGCTGCGCGAGCGCGAGACGTACTTCAACGAGCACATCGCGGAGCTGCGCAAGAAAGAGAAGGAGGAGAAGGAGAAGCGCAGGGAACAGGTGAGTGCGAGCGGGACGGACGGAGCGCGCACCTCCGCGGAGTACTCTTGTACGCATAGAGTAATGAACAAACCGGAAACCGTAGACTCCCCCTACGGAAGCCGATACAAATTGGAGTGGTGGGATAGACGAATATTAGTCCATGGGGGGGGGGGGGTCGCTAAACGGCTAGGGTAGGCTATGTTATAGACTATGTACTTATGAGTAAGGAAAAAAAACTATTAATATATAATTATTATACAAAGTACATAATTTGCTAATAATAAATAGAGATTATATAAAAAGGGCTGTCGTAAATTTTTTTAGCTTATAATCAATATATAAAAAAATTTGCAAAGCTGACAGTGCGCTTCTGGTTTGTTCAGTATTCTGTGCTTGTTGGTTAACGGCCGAATACTGAAACTTATGAGAAATAAGGAAGCAGTCTATGTTATGTCTCTTTCTTTCGAGTTGTAAATGATATTTGTGTGACGAAGACAAAAGATAGTACTTTGTGACAGTTAGATACTCTTGTCACATGTAACTTAATATAGCAGGAGTCTTCTATTACAATAATAAGCTTAGTGAAGCGTGTTTGGTCCTGGGTTCGAATCCCGGGGAAACGTAAATCTGTCGGGCCGGGGGCACAAGTCCTATCAACTGCTTGATTACAAATAAAATCGATATCAATTGGTCTGCCCCAAGCCCCAAAAACATCTTTAAGTTCCCACAGCTGGGACGCACGCTATACATGTAAAATCTTCAATGGTGACGTTACGGGATATCGAACCACGACCCATCACGATTCTGTATTCACGTATTCGGTTTAATAACTCAACATCGTTGAAAAATGTTCTTGCCTTAAAAGCTTAATTTTGTATTGCTTCACTAACTTCAAAGATTTTCATCAAAATTGGTTGAGCTGTTTCGATGCAAATTCTGCGTTACAAAAATTGTATGCTACTTTTATCGATTGTTTTTTATGTTTGATTTTTAGGAGTTCTTTGGATTACCTTTAGGTTCGAGTCCTATCCAATAAATACAACAACTTTTGAACTCCTCTTGGGTTCGATCCCCGTTCATCAATTGATGGCGGGTTCGATTCCTGCCTCGCGATAAATAATTTTTCGTTCGTTATCTAAAGTATTTGCTAAGCGATTGCTTTTATTTATTCACCAGTGTGGTTTTAATTGAAAATTTTAATAATTTCCTTGCAAGATTTAGCCATTTATGATATAGTTTTCGGAGACTACCTTATTGTTTAAATATTGTTATTTCATTTTAACGGTTTAAATCGCGATATATTAGTTGAACTTATTTGAAAGTTATTTTTAACTTCGTTCGGCCCGACGTTTCGGATGCTTTGCATCAGCCGTGGTCAAGTTTAACTGAAATATATCGCGTTTAAACCGTTAGTGTTTTATTTAAATGTGTGCTACTCGCGTAAACTAAAGACAGTATTTACCTTATTGCTTTTAAGTAATTTGAACTAAGTGCTAAAACTATATCATGGATGTATGTTGAAAGTTTTCCCACGAACGTAGTTTGGAAAAACGGATCGCACTCAAGCAATTTTATACAAAATATCATCTTGTCTCTGTCTTACACATGGTATTTCTCCAAACTACGCCATTTTGAATTTCACATGTAACGTCCAATTAATTTTAAGCGACTGTGTTTCATGATTGGGCCGTTAGTAAAATTCATTAAAATATACTCACTTCGTTACGGCGATCACGATAACACGGTCGTACTTAAGGCGAGATGATAGCGGTTCAACTGCCCCAGTTGCCCCAGCCGCCCCAGGCCCACCTGCGCCTAGATTGCATCATATTTGGAGATTCCTCTGTCAACCCACGATTCTTTTGTAGAGGGGGCGCGGCTGACTGCTGGCTGAGGAAGCGCGGCGCGCGCCGGCGGTGGCCATTTGAATTTTTCACGTGTACGTGCGCGAATAAGGGGGAGGGGGAGGGGTAGGGGTTGTGAAAAAAAAGGTAGAATGAAGAGGGTGGGAGCTAGAAAACATGGGTATTAGGGTTAATTTAGGGGTGAACGAGGGTCAGATAAAGTACCTTTTACTTTCATAGTTAATAGAACATGCGATAAAATTATGGGGGTGAAAATAAAAGAGGATTAAGTAATGCGGAACAGATTATTTTTAACTAATACATTTCGCGTTTCAAACCGTTTAGTGTTTTATTTTAATTTTTCCGCGTAAACTAAAACTGAATACTTCATATTTTGGATTTAAAAAAAAAACTTTTTTACCACCATTTTCAAAATTAACTTTCCCTCAAGTGGCCACCCCGGTTTGCACCAATCTTTATAAGGTTAGACATAATTTTAAGCTCTAAAACCCTAAAGTACAAGACACCGCGCCTAACGTGGTAAGTCAGTTATGTATAAAGATAATGTTGCCATGTGCAAAAATGTGGCGACGAGAGAAAAAATGTTGTCAGCATTGAAAAATGTAAATTGGTTTGCGAAAATGTTTGTAACAGAATAGAGTAACTCGCTAATTTAATTTTTTTTTTCAGGTCCAATGTGTTTTTTTTTTTTGTGGAAAAAAAAGTTTTTTTATTGAAATTACATGAACTACTGAACCGATATAATAAATGACGAATTTAACCGTAAAATATTAGTAGATTTTGATCGAGATATAAAAAAGCTTTTTTTAAGTAGAAAAATACAAAATTAATTATTTAAATAATTAAAGAGATTTAATGTTCGAAATTTAAAGAATGTAAATTAAAGAACAATAGACAAGTAATCTTTGAAGCGGTCTCGTGGACAGTAATCTCATATTTTGGGACCTGGGTTCGATCCCCATACAAATATTTTTCAACATTTTTGAAGGTAGAAAGAGATTTTTTTTGCGCATTAGGACACTGAAATAAGAATGACCGTCGTTATAGCTCAATGTAACGCCCAACCAATGCACACAGAAAATGAGAGGACTGGGTTCGAATCCCCGGAGTAGCCATAAATTATTTCGGTCGAGCAGGGCACAGAAGTCTTATTTGCCCGTAAATAAAAATCGAACGGGTACACAAAAATGTGTTCGCCCCATGCCCCATGGAGAAATGGCACGTAAATTTATCTAAACGATAAATCAAGATAGAACATGATTCCAAACATGTCTGTTTGTCAAAATATGAGATTTGAATGGAAAATTACACAATTATAAATGAAAATGTTCCACTAGGCCGCTTTAGGAGAATTTTCCAAACAGTTCAAAAGAAAACTCAAGTTAGGTAGTTTTAAGTTGTACGAAAGTAAAGGTCTAAGTTGCTAATAAAAAGTTCTATCCATACATTTTACTGCTTCTACGCGTCATTGGTTAAGTAAGGCCCTAGGTTCGATTCCCGGGGCAATATACCATCATAATCTGTGAATAGGCCACTAGAATGGGTCTGCTTCTTAGGTAGAGTAAATCAGAATGTCATAAATTGGCAATAATTTTGATGAATTAAATAAGGGTGACCACCACATTGAAATATATTTTTCTTTTAATATTATAGTAATAGAAATTCAATATCTATTTCGCTGATCATTTGCTGGTAAAAAAATTATCGCCCTACTACACAAATGCTTGATTTTTTTACTTAGGCAAAAATACCAGCATTTAAAAAGTTATTTTCAAATGTAATATAATATTGTTTTTTTAAGAGATTAGCAGCACTAGAAATGTTATGCCCAGAACGGACCTTTACCTTCGTCTTAATTAACCCCCCCTTTTTTTCAGGTTCTAACAATTTTTCTTCCACAGAACTCTAATATATTAAATCTTCTTTTCAGCTTCTAATCTTTTTCCCTTTCAGCTTTATATGTATAGTTTAACGGTTGTGATTGGTTTATCGGTGGAGGGGGACGCTATGCGATTTTTTGGACCTAACAACCCCCCCCCCACCCGTCACCCCTCTTTCCAAAAAGTGCTTTGTTGTATTTCAAATAAAAATTGTTGATAAATTGCTCTAATATAACAATAATTGCATTATATATCGATTTAAATACTGTCTAGTTTCCTCGACGAGTCTACATTTACATACCAACACAACACTTCAACGGTTTAAAACGCGAAATATATTCCTACTAATTCCTCCTAAACTTACAAATTATTTTAACTATCAACGTTACGGATGTTTTTCAACAGCCGTGGTCACGGGGAGTCTTAAAATTATTTGTAAATAGGTTACCAATATATTTCGCGTTTTAAACCGTAAAGTGTGCCATTTATTATAATTATTTATACATTTACGTACATGTAGTTTTTTTTTATGCCCGCTGTTTGGTTGTACTGTCTAAACTAGCAGAAAAAATATTATGGAATCATAGATACATTTATTTGTCACAATACCTTATTTAGTTCTATCCTAAACAGTCCCCTATTTCATTTAAATGGAACTCAATAAACCACCTCGACCTATAGACCAATCTCGACCCGCCACATATAAAAATGCCGGCCAATACATTCGCATAATCGCCCCCTCCCCCATCTCATTATAGGCGAAACAAGACTTCATTCAACTCCTCAAGGACAAAAACGCCGACAGACACTCGCGTTGGGTCGAAGTCAAAAAGAAGATAGACTTGGACGTTCGCTATAAAGCCGTGGAAAGTAGTTCGCTGAGGGAGGACTACTTCAGGGAGTTTTGCAAGGCGCTGAAAGACGAGAGGAAGAAGGAGAAAGATGGAAAGGAGAAGGGTGAGAATATATTCTTCTGAAACTTAGTTTGGGAATCTGTCTATTACATGGGTGTTTAAATAAAACACTTTCATCGGTTTATAACCCGAAATGTATAAGATAACTTACTTACCATTTTTTTACCTACGGCTCCTCCCCCCGCCGTGAAGGAAGGGCTGCTGCGAAGCATTCGAAACGTCGGGCCGTAGTGCAAATATATAATAAGTTAAACGAACACATTTTCCGCATTAAACCGTTAAATATGTTTCATTTAAATGTGTACTACTCGCGTAAACTGTAGCACATTTAAATAAAACACTTTAACGGTTTAAAACGCGATATATTAGTTAAACTTATTTGAAAACGATTTTTAACTTCACGTGGTCACGGGGAGGCTAAAGATGGAGGATGTCTCTGACTTCATAGTAAAATTTGCTACGCTAGCGCCATCTGTTCCATCGAAGTTGGTATTTGGCGAAACTGACCGGGTCCTTACCGGTTTGCCGGTATGCTGTTTAAAAATCATTTTCAAATAAGTTTAACTAATTTATCGCGTTTTAAACCGTTAAAGTGTTTTATTTAAATAATACATACATCGTTCTCAGTCGAACAATCAAGGTACAGTTACAACCGTCAAGGTACAGTTGTAGTTGTTCGATTTTAGCTTTTTGGTTGTACGATGTCGTTGACGGTTCACAACTAAAAATGGCGCCTCCGTGTATAATGACGGTTGAATTACTGTCATTGGCAATGAGAAGCAAATTAAGAAGAAGCCTTCCTATGCTTATAACTGTAAATACTTCTCTAATACCTAAATATAAGTTTTTCTCAATATCTTCAAATTAAGTTTTGTTTCTAGAACGTGATCGAAGCAGCAGAAAGGACAAGAAAGAGAAGGACCGCGACAAGGACAAAGAGAAAGAGTCGAAGAAAGAGAAGAAGAAGGACAAGAGCGAGGTAAGTGGTGCAAGAGTATGGAGTAACTCGGACGATGTAGTTTTTTTTTTTGTTAGTCCCGTTTCATTTATATATGGGATCATCTGCTGATTGAAAAATTGCGTAATAGTATTTAAATAAAACCTTTATAACGGTTTTTAAAACGGGAAATATTTCAGTTAAAGTATGGTCACTTTAACTGCGACCCGTCGGATGCTTTACGTCTCATGGGCGTTTAAAACCGTTAAATGTGTTTTTTGATATTGATGAGGTGTACTCTATGAGTAAATAATATATAATACTTGTATGTATAACAAACATATGTATTACGATACTAAACTTAGTGTAAGATGTATCTTGTAAATAAAGAAACGTCTTGTAATACCATTTGGTTTAAATTAACCTTCTTATGTGGAAGAAGAATTATTATAATTTTATTAAACTTGGTGTTCTCCAACCGTTTGGTTGACAAAGCAAATCTGCCCCGGACACTTGTGCGAAGTTTTTCGCGTCGCGAAGTTGCGCGCGCGCGTGTGTGAGAGCAGAATCCGACTGTCATAATCTGCGGGGGGTCGCCCCCCCCACTCTAACGGTAGCGGACGGCGAGTAGTAGTGATTTTGTGTTTGCAGACGGACGGCCAAACGGAGTGACGGTGAGATGTACGGTATGGGGCGGCTACACGGCTGTGTACGAATTTAGTGATCGTGGGGGCTAGGTGGCGCCACTTTAGTGTTTCAAACAATACATTTTTTATTTCCATATAAATCTAAAAAAGATAAAACGTTTTGTTTAGGAACCGTGTAGCGTCTGTTCCGCGGCCATATTGTCTGTATATCAGGTGGGCGAGGCTTAATTTTGGAAGCTTCCAAGGTGGAAAATTGAGTTCCATCTTTTGTGGCCTGAGAAGAGTTATAGTCACGTTTAAACCAATTTTATTTTGATATTTAAAAGTAGTGACGCCATCGCTAAACCCACATCACGATAAATTACCGGATTCGTACGAAGCAACGAGTAGCCGTATTTAACAGCGAACCCTCCATCGGACACGACACCCGCAGACTATGACAGGCGTCAGAGCGCGGTCACATCTCCACGTAGGACTAAAACGAAACTAGAGGGCGCTTTAATAAAAACACTTTTAAGTAGTCTCAAAAACATACGACATGAATAAAACGTGCGGAGTCTTATCATAGGCGAAGATGTGGCCGGTCTTTTACGCTCTGAATTCATGTATTACCGTCCTAATCTGTATTATGAACTAACTAACATAATAAGATGCTAAACGCACCAGAAGTCAAAGGTTAGGCATGCGATAAGGTATCTCTTGCACAGAATACGACTCGAAACGCCAGGTGTCCGATGCAGGTTCGCTTACCCCATCTGCTCTGCTCTCACCCGCTCCGTTTGCCCCACAGAAATCAGACCCTCCGACGGAAGACGAAAAGAAACAGCCCACCCCACCGCCGGACCAGTGGGCGGAGATCCTAGGGATCCCCGGGGAGGAGGACTCCAAATCCGACCCCTCCTCCAAATCGTACAAACCGTCTGAGAACAGCGAGACCTCATCCGAGAACCAGGTGTCGCCCAAAGTGTTGCGGTCCTCGAAAAAAGGCACCCCCACCTCAGAGAAGTCCCCCCTTAAAATCGCCGATAGCCCAGCACCCCAAGAAGCGGAAACAAGACTTCAAATCGCCGGAAACTGAGAAGAAAAAGAAGGAGAAGACGGAGAAGCGGAAGAGGAAATCGGAGAAAGAATAGTGTTTACTCAACGTGTTTAAACGCTCGCTTCTAGACAGGCGGTAGGCGTTTAGCGCTTTGACGTTTAGTTTAGTGATTGTGCTCAAAAACATTGACATTGAAGAGTTGTGTCCCTTTTTCACAGTACGCGAGGTTATACAAACAGTGATTATAGACATATATTGCATTAAACTAAGATTTGATACGACACAAAGACAAACTACATTGACACGACTTCCGATCATCACTAAGTAGAATGTGCTAATGCGTGTGCGCAGACTATAACGACAGGCGGACAAGAATATTGAATCTACCGCCATCTCGTTTTCTTCGACGAAATCAAGAACTTCAACTCGAAATGTTGAGTCAGAAACTCGATACCTGGTTTTAAAAGAAGTAAATAACTAATATAAGCCAGAATTTACCAGCCATTACAAGTATTAGAACTAAATATCCATGAATTTCAACACACTTGTCAATTACATTCGTGGTTGACTTGAGTTGTGAAAGAGATATGTGGGTAGTTTAACGATCCAACACAATTGTCTAGATCAAGGTTGAGAAACGACTCGCCCGAATGCCAATTTTGCGCGGCCCGCTTATAAGTTTTTAATTTCAAAAAAATGTTGCTCACCCCGGGTCTAGATTTATTTGGGTTTAAAACTAATCGCAAAACAAATGGTCTATTAAGCAACAACAATGGAAAATATCTGTAAATAGTTTTGATATAAAGTCAAACTTTTTTATTTTGTATAATAAAACTGTATAATATCTTTATTTACTAGTAGTATAGGTAGACTTTTAAGTAACTATGCAGTCGTCGCCTAGATGTACTAGCGATAATTCAAGTTTATTTTTTCGTAAAGCGAGGGTAGACTTATATTTTGCTAACTTTTTATGCATTTTATGACTTGAGTTCGTTTTCTTATGATAAATTAGGACAAACGCGCTCGGGGGGTTTCGCTTGATGGTAGGTAAAATATTCCACATATATAACATCTAAACCAGTTGCGCTTTTGGCCTATTTCGGCATTAAAACCGAAACGCAAACAATCACGGTTTTTATGGAAATCCGGATATCAACTGCGTGGTAGGAATATCGAAATTCCAACTGCATCACAAACCGCTTTCCACGTAGATTTCTAAATGTCGAAAGCTAAAATGGGACGACTGTGCATCTTATATAGATGTTATATAGCTGAATTATATCACCTTTCATCGAGTAAACCAAATGCTTGCCTGTCCTCGTCTGTCATTAAAAGAAAGAAAAAAAGACGCATGAGTTTGTCTCATTTTATTAACATTTAGCGTTACTGCATATAGGCGACAACATCAAGAAAATAAGATTAAGACCTAAACTCCTTGATTGTGAAGGTTATATAGATCTATCCTTTTCTCTCTCTTGCAATCAGTATGTGTGCGAGAGGGACGTCTATGTAACTTTCATAATAAGGACGACACATGCAAGGCGTAAATTTGAAGACGAGACAAACTAAGACATCCGCCTTTGATATATTATTTTACGGAGTTAATTAGAAATATATTTTTAGTGTTTTTTTTTTTATGAGAATTGTTTTTTTTTTCTAAAAATTCTAGACATTGCACGTTTTGAATGGATGCTATCGTCTTAATTCTAAAACTGTATGAGGCTTTTGTGTTGTAGCCAAATTTTCCACCTGATCCGTCGTAATCTAGAATGTTTCTTCACGTTTCGCCATCACTAACCGATTTCATCATCAGACGATGAGCGTTATCCACTAATCGAAGACTGATGACTGATGCCACCCACTCGTAATAGCGATACGTCGTAATATTCTCAATTACGACGGTCGAACATGTCGAAAAGTGAAATAGAGTTTAAACGCACTCTCGTTTGTTTAATTTTGGAGCATTTCGTACAGCCACTTTGGTTTTCAGTTCGTTAATTCTTTTGAAGTTTGTTTAAGCACAATATTATAAATTAACATGCGTTTTTATATATCTATTTAGAATAATTGTATCATATAACTAGTTACTAAGTGTGTTATTGTCAGGAAACAGACAGAAAGTCATATATGTATATATTTATTTATAATCGGTCTAAACGTCTATAGGGTGTTTGGTTACACGCGATTTTATGAGCTGTATACAGTATTATATTTAAATGGAGCATGCCGTACCTGTTTACGAAATATAAAAATGGTCATATTACCGATAGTATTCACCTTTTTAAAAACATCCATTATTAAAAGTCTTATTTTTTCAAACACCCTGTACTTTTACGAAACGCCAAAAATATATTAAAAAGAACATCAATGTTTTCTTATATTTTAGAATTAGTTGTATTTTTTTTAGTACAGTTTTCAATTGAAATAAATTAAAAAAATTTTTATATCCGTTTGAACTTGTATAGACCGCGGTCTTATATTTTGTTTTGTTTTTTTTTTATTTAAACACAATTTTTTTTCTATCCGAAAATTGTGAACACATCTTTATTAATATATTGCATTTGATGCTGAACTTTAGTTTTCTCACATTTGTAAACAAAACAATGTATTTAACCAAGTTATTTACACATTTGAATATTTTTCTTGTATACTTTTCGCACGTACGGGGGGCAATTTTAAAAATAATGCCTTATCTCCGAAGTGATAAGTGACGTACAGCCTAAAACTCGAATTATAAAAATATTGACGACTTTTCATACCCCTAAAGTGAGAGGGGTAGCCCCCCTTTTTTTCTTTTGTAGTAACCATGAGATTTCAGCAATGATGCTGTCTTTACTGTCTAAAAAATTTAATCAACTACTTGTTAAATACTACTTTAACGGTTTAAAACGCGACATATATATTTGTTAAACTTACTTGGAAATTATTTTAACTACGGCCCGACGCTTTGCAGCAGTCGTGGTCACGGTGAGTGTCACCCGAGAGTATCCGAAATGTCGGCTTGTGGATAAAATAATTTTCAAATAAGTTTAACTAATATATACATTGCGTTTTAAACCGTTAAAGTGTTCTAGTTTTATGTGTACTACTCGCGAATACTGACACAAAATTTTGACATTTGACGCGTCTCAGATCATGGGCAACCTTTTTAACGGATAAATACTGCGCGTTTATTTGAAAATGCGTCTTTTGAATGACAAGGATTTTGAAGTTATCCTGGAACAATGGACACGGGGTTTTGAGTGTACCGAGAATTGCCCCCCGTGCCGGAGACAATTTTTTTTCTTACGACTGTAACCATACAACACATATACATAAGTCTTATATTTGTATTGTCTGTGAATAAATCGTATGGTTGTCTTTGGTTTTTCGTTCTTTTCTGCTTTTCCCTTTGTACATTTTTAACGGTAAGGCGTTAATTTTATCTTTTCGAACTTCGCTATGCGTTTAGAAATGTTACAAATCCTACTCGGCATTATTTAAAACGACTTAAAACATTTTGAATATTAATACAACACTTTTAACGGTATAAAACGCGAAATGTATTAATTAACTTAATTGCATTTTATTTTAACTACGGCCCGAAGGTCTTTCTTAAAAGTTAACTTTTAAACCCGTTAAACAAGTGTTTTATTTAAATGTGTACTACTCGCGTATACACCAGTTCAAAATTTGATCATTTTGATCTAAACATGTTGCATATGAAATACTGTCTATAGTTTACACGAGTAGTACACATTTAAATAAAACACTTTAACGGTTTAAAACGCGATATATTAGTCTCCCCGTGACCACGACTGCTGTAAAGCAACTAAAACGTCGGGCCGAAGTTAAAAATCATTTTCAAATAAGTTTAACTAATATCTCGCGTTTTAAACCGTTAAAGTGTTTTATTTAAATAAGTTGCATGTATGAATCTTTATTACTTTTCATCACTTCTGCCATCCAAAATGTATGCTACATTTGTGATTATACAAATGTTGAACGATATCCGAATCGAGTAAATTTCGCACGGCACGAAGTCCGATGTACTACTTGCGTATAAATTTAATCGATCTGGGACACTTGGATGAGTCGCGGTTGTGGGGTAAAGTGGCATTCTACAATTCACAACGTATGAATTGGTGTTTCAAAAGCAGCCAGAAACCAGTGCGGAAGAACCAAAGACAGAGCCGGAGGCAGTGGAGGGGGAAGCAGCAAACGAGGAGGAGGAGGCTGCCAAGGAGAGGGAGAGGGAGGCGCGCGCGCAGGCCTCCATCAAGGAGAGGGAGAAGCAAGTGCAAAAGGCGCTCGCGACTAGTCTTCGGGATAGAGATAAGGAGAGGGAATACCACAAACGAGACGAAGCTATGCAGGTGACTTATAATTGCTTTTGCTAGGGGGCTTTTTTTGACGGGCTCCTTGTTGTTATGGTAGTGATGTATTGCTAATGGTCAACGGGTCGTGGGTTCGTCCCCACCGGGTCGAATGTTTGAACATGTAGGACTTAGAAATATCGAAATTCCGTGCGGAATGAAAGTGGGAGTTAGAGTAGGAGTGATGTGAGGTGAGAGTGTTGCGGTAAAGTAGCAAACATAGATTGGCTGCCTTAAATGCGCCCTTACATAAATTAACAAACAGCCATAAATAATTAATAATTCTACCCCAAGTCACAAATCCACGCGGACGTATTCGCGGGCACAGCTAGTTAGGCTTTTAAAAACATTACGCTGTTAGTAATAGAAGCAAAGACGCAGTGGGAAATGTGGAACGAACGGGGAAAATTAACATCTTTGAGAGTTTCTATGATATTATTATTCCCCCTTAAACGATCTAAAAATATGTCCGAGACTATACTATAGATATGTCTTTTAAGCTTAAACTGTAAAAACGACGAGGCGCAGACGATGTCGAATCATAGGTTCCCGCCATTTTGTAATAGTAGCTTTTACAAAATGGCGGGAATGTGAGTGGGACTGGTCTTTTATATCGACAGCACTTCAACGCACTCCTGGCTGACCTCGTTCGCAACGCGGACCTGACGTGGCGAGAGGCCAAGAAGCAGCTGAAGAAGGACCACAGATACAGCCTAGCCGACGACCTCTCCAAGGAGGATAAGGTTTGTCTCTTTTATATATGTTTGTACCACTTGAACCTTCGAATCTACTTCACGAGGCGATTTTGCTTTGCGAAAATGGGTCATGACTCGCCCCCTGGAGCTGGCTCCAGGACTTAGCTTACAAATGATTATTACAGTACGTTTACCTGTGTACATTAATAAAATACCTACTTTTCTTGTATGTTTTCTCAACAAAACGAAATTAAAGGTCTCCCCGTGACCAGGGCTGCTGCAAAGCATCCGAAACGTCGGGCCGAAGTTAAAATAATTTTCATATAAGTTTAACTAATATATCGCGTTTTAAATTGTTAAAGTGTTTTATTTAAATGTGTACTACTCGCGTAAACTATAGACAGTATTACATTTCCTTTTTTCAAAATGGAACCAATAGGTCCCGTCGTTAGCTCATTCAAACAAACTCTTCGGCGTTATAATATTATAGATCTTTCTTTTTGTTTGACAGGAACGCCTATTCAACCAGCACACGAGTACGCTATCTTTGAAACGGCGCGACAAACTGCGTACGCTACTAGAGGAACTGAACGTCACGTGTACAGCGCACTGGCGAGACGTCCGCAAGCTCATCGCCCAACAGCCGACGGCACCTACCTACCGGAGTGCTGCACAGGTGAGATTTTTTGATTATTAAAATAGTTATAATTTATGCTAAGTTTTAAATTTATATACTTAGCGGTATAAAACATGGCGTCTCTCCCACCTTTTGAATATTCACATGATGTAGGATTTTTAGACGATATCATGATGGTAAGAAGATAATTTTAAACAAAAAATAAATAAAATATAGACAACCCAACTTTAAAGACAATAAACATTCTATATACTACCTATAAGTTTTATAGTAATTAAGTTTAAATTACAATTAACCCGCGACCACAATTCGAGTAATTAATGTTGTGCGTTTTAAACGGTTATAACTATCTTATTTGAATTACTTCAAATTGCAGATGGAGCGCGAATTCCGCGACTTCCAGCGCGACAAGCAGATAGCAGCGAAGACCGCGCTGCGGCAGCTGCTGCAGGAGACAAGGGCGATAACACACCGGAGCCTCGCTGCCACCAAGGAGAACCAGGCGGCCATGACTCAGATACATGATTCTCTCAAGATCGACGCCAGGTGAGAGACAAGAATTTGAACCTCCAATGTAGAAAATAGCGCGTCAATTACTGTTATCAGTATTTTGCAAAAACAAATTTGGATACGCAATATAACAGTCACATATGCTAAAAATAATAATTAATTTAAATAAAAAATAACTGTTTAAAACTCCTTTCATGTAACACAAAACGCTCCCGATTGGTCGGGCTTGTGACGTCACTTGCTTAAGTCACCGTGATTCCTAGTGTCAACACTGTTCTATTGTCTAAATTAATCTATACTAATATATAAAGCGGAAGAGTTTGTTTGTTTCATAGTTTCTGTTATATATGCATAATTTAAAATAAGTAACAGTTGTGTGTCTGTCCTATGTATATCATACATAGTATGCTTTTCCACCTTTTGAGTGGATGGTATGTGCAATTGAAAACTCGGCACAGAAAGCTTCTTGCTTACTTGAATTTATGACTTGAAGTCTTATTATTGAAGCCAAAATTACCTTTGATATCTCGCTTTACAGATATTCAGCCCTGGAACACATCCCCGACGAGCGGGACCAAATAATAATGAGCTATTTAGAAGAATTAGAGAAGAAGGGCCCCCCACCACCTCCCACGGCGACGGAGCCCACGCGACGGGCCAAACCATGACCTGGTAAGTTTGTGTTATAGATTGGTCTCTTGGTGTAAGGCAGGGGTGGGGTGAGCAGCCTTTTTTGTTTGACGGGGTAGGGTTACATTTTAGGTTTTAGAATTTACATTCAAACATTTAACAGCTTCAAACCAAAATAAAAAAAACGACCGTTTAAAACTACTAACTTTCAAGCAATTTGAAACGACGATTCCTTTGAAGTAGCCGCAGTCACGTGCAAAGCATCAAAGATTTAATTAAAGAGGGGGGGGGGGGCAGGAGGGTTAACGTACAAAAAGTAACTTTTTTTGCGTTCTAAAAAAAAGGCAATTGATATGACTAAAACAGGCTGCAATATCAAATGTATGAACTCAATCCAATGGTAAAGAACCCTTTGTGTGCCGACTCACTCTTGACCAGCAGTTGTAGTCTGTTAAAGAAAATCGTGACATAATTACCATACATTACATTTATATTGTTTTTAATTCAAAAATATTTTAATTTCAGGCGCTGCCAGTGCTAAAGTTTGATGATGTGAATAGATGTCGCTAGTAAATATATGAATTTTGACGAATGTAATGAGTAAATGAATTTGTGGTTTTACCCCCCCTTTTTCATTTGCATGCACGACAACCCCCCTTTTATGACAGAGGACGGACAAGCTTGGAGGTCGCTTCAGAAGTAAAATACCCCAAGCCATGTTACATTACACGATGCGCTATCGACCTATTTTCATATTGGATATTTAGAAATCCACTGACAAGGGAAACAACTATTTTAAAATCAGTCGTCCAAAAGGATATTGGTTCTTAAAAATATATTGACTACGATGGGGATCGAACCCTTTTGACTATATTACTCCATATGTTGATTAAAGAGCCCGTCAAACAAAACTATTAATACATGGAAGTTCTTGGGTTTGCATCCCGGGAATAAAATTTGTTTCAGTCGGGTAGGGCATAGAAGTCTGATCAATTATTTATTTTTTATATATATAATATTACTTTTTGTTTAAATAGAAGTCTGTTCCTGCGTAATACAAAACAACGATTTAAAACACGAAATATATCTGTTAAATTTGGCGTTTGAGATACAAATTTTCACCAAGTGTTTTGCGAACACAGCGCAATGCGGGTAGAATTATAAAAATAATGTTGATTTGTAAAGTGTTTGAACTTGTATCTTGTTTGAGAAATAAATGTATTTAAACCTTGAATTTGATAACAGATCACTTCGCGTTTTAAACCGTTTGTTTTATTTTAATGTGTACTACGCACTTAAATTACAGACCGTATTAAGGCAAATCCAATAAATAAATAAACTTTATTATAATAATGAACAGATAAGCTAAAAGTCTAAATCATCGGCCGTCATCTTGATGCGTCGCGTCGGTACCTCCCAGATGCGCAGGCGCCCCTCCGCGTCACCAGCCGCGATTCGGCACGATCTGCTCCATTGTACATATATGAAATAAAATAATTAACGGTTATAAGAGTGAAATTTATCACAATACGTATACTGTTCGCGTTTTAAACCATTTAAAATTATTAAAACGTAGGTCAAGAAACGAATATATAATTGCATTTCAAACCGTTTAAAAGTAATGTTATGTTCATTAAACCTTTTAAAAAATAATTAAAGAAATTAATTTATTGTCGGGTTTAAACGCTGCTAAAAGGTCATTTAAAAAAGCAATTACTGTTCCCGTTCAGAAGCTACATAAACTAATACTGTTCGCGTTTGAAACCGTCTAAAAGTTACTAAAACGTAAGTAAATAAACCATTACTTTTCGTGTTTGAAACTTCAGTAAAGCGTAAGTAAATAATATAACCGTCAAAGCCTTACCCAACATGGCTGACAGACACAGAAGTGACGCACACGTTCCCACTAAACCCTTCGACGGGCACCTCTTTACCCGAAGACACGTTGTAGAGTTTGATGAGGTCTTCCTGCGTCAGACCCATGACCACACACGGCATCGTGGGCAACCAGGTGAGGCAGGATACGGGGTGGTCAAGAAACATCACCTGGGTAAAGTTTGTTAACTACCTAGGCAGATTATCACAGGATTGCTTGTATGAGCCAGAGATTTGCATTGCAGGGGTGAGCAACCTTTTTGATAGAAATGCGTCAAAATTCTAAATGTGTGTGTGTGTTTGAAATATTTAAAGTCAAAGTGAAAAATCCATTTATTCCCGTGCGCAGTAAAAAAGTAAAGACTCTAATTTACTTGGTACAGTAGTGTTAGCAGCGAACGTCGCACACCAAGTAAAAAATTAAAGAGTCTAAATTTATATTTTGTACAGATCGCGCACGCATTGATTGGAAAAGGTGGCTGTCTCGAGAAGCAAGCGGAGCGTCTTTTGGTCCGAGGACAAACGACTTGAAACCAATCGACGCTAGCGCACACGAAGTTCATTCGCCCGGCGCCCGCTTCCGTCCCTTCGATACCTTATTTTTGACTTCTGCGCAGGATTCGTTCAGCGCTAAAGATCCACTGCCACGTACTTATACACCGATTTAAATTATTTAGTACCAGTTATACTCAATGCATAAAAATATTCTCTTCTACTAGGGTCTTCCCCCCCCCCCCAAAAAAAAAAATTGGGCTCAAACGGACAAACACCTTATTACAATAGTTCAGCCTCTTACCCTAATAGGTCCACTCTGCAACACATCGTGCACTCGCACCTCCGAATCCATGGAGACGGATACAAAAATATTGCACTTTTGCATACTGAAGGCGACGTCCAGCACGCACGTCCTGTGTCCGTCCAAAACTTCGTAAACGGGATCGCTGCTCTCCGAGCTGATCTTGCAGAGGTACAGCCTCCCGCACTTGGAGCCGACCACGAAAATGTCGTCTGGCAACCGGTCGTTGCTCGACCGTAAAGGATAGGATTTTATATAGTCGAAACAGGTGATGTCCGGTGTTGTTTTGCGGGTAGAATTGATCTGGTACTTCACGATGCTTTCAAACACTTTGAGATTGGAGTTCACTTGCCAAACGTTTATAGAACCGTCGCTGCCAGACGAAGTAAGGACCTGCGTTTTACACTTAAACTGATTAAAAAATACTGTCCATAGTTTACGCGAGTAGTACACATTTAAATAAAACACTTTAACGGTTTAAAACGCGATATATTAGTTAAACTTATTTCAAAATGATTTTAAACTTCGGCCCGACGTTTAGTCTCCCCGTGACCACGGCTGCTGCAAAGCATCCGAAACGTCGGGCCGAAGTTAAAAAATTTTCAAATAAGTGTAATAATATATCGCGTTTTAAACCGTTAAAGTGTTTTATTTAAATGATAAAAAAAAGTTTTTTATTTATTTATTTAATACAGAAGAGGACCTTGGACTCCAATTCATTTGTTCACCGGTGGTTCGTGATCCGGGCGAAATTTCCAGACAAACCAAATGTTTCGGAAAAATTATAATATTACGGATAATATCCAGGGTACTTCACCTGATCCGCGGCACCACGTCGTTTCCCGTTGTTGTGGATCTGCATTATCAGGTACCGATTAGCCAGTGGCGCATCCGCCCACTGGAGGGCGGAGACCCTCCGGGAGTTGTGGCAGTCACAAGGAGATGTTAGCTGAGTACCTTTCAAACAAAACACTTCATTTGCGACGTAACTGAAAACTCTTGCGGGTTGTGTAATGGTAGCAGTTAACGGGTTGTGGCTTCCCCACCGGGTCCAAATTTTTCTAAACAATTTACTAAAATGGGAGGTAGGAATGTCGAAATTCCGTCCGCGCCGAATGAAAAAGCCATCAAGTTGAGTCGCGTTTCGGGCCAGTCTGTGGATTTCCGAATATCCATTCACGAGTTTCACACGATGAAGGAAATACCCCAGAAACGCTATGTATATTTCAATAACATAAATAATAAATCCATGTAACAAAAGATCAGTGATTTCGGAGATTAGCAGAGACAAACGGACAGATATTATTAAATTATTTTAATTATTAAGTCGAACTTTAAAAACATACTTAGTATTGTATAAACTTATTATAGCTGTAGTTATTATTATTATCATGTATTATTGTAAATTTCCATTTTCAAGGTTGCCTGGAAGAAATCGCTTTTTAGCGATAAGGCCGCCTTTTCTCGCTACTTTTTGTTAATTTTTTAATTAAGTTTCTTTTGTAACATTGTGGTGAAATTATATATAATGTATATATTTTTTGTTTGTTTTGTTTGTTTAGATAAGAATATCTTCTTAATTGAAAAAAAATATTCTCTAATCTGTCACTAATTCTTTTTAATTTTTCTATTTGTTTTATCTAATAGCACATCTGTCGTTGTGTTTGTGCGAAAACTCCACGAAAACGGCTAAACCTATTTTAACAAAATTTTGTTTATACGTTTGTTAGACCTGAGAAGAATAAATGAGTTATTTATTTACATTTAATCATCTCTTTATTTAATCTCTTTTGCACACTTAAAATAAGTTAGTTACTTGTTTCTTCAAATATTACCTAGGATTATTTTATATGGCGGATCAGGTATTTTAGATGATTAGTACATTTAAAAATACCTTCTTCTAAATTCCCATTCATCAGATTACAAAGCACCACCTCTCCAGACGTAGTCCCATACGCCAAAAGGGCGGCAACAGATGGGTGATATTTCAGCACAGTCACGCAGTTCTTCTCAGTGATGTCCAGGCTGTGGGCAAACTTGTCCCCACCACTTCTTTTCAGAGTGTACACCTTGATCAACCCGGAATTTTGGCACCAGGTGTCATGCTGTAATTGCCCGATGGACACAGCTAGCGAGTTACCAGCACTACTCCACGTCACACCTAAAACCGAAGACTGGTGGTCTCCAGAACCAATACCATCTTGAACCTTCAGTTCTTGAAATAGTTTAGCGTTCAGTACATCCTCTTCTTCGGAGTCTGACGAGTTATAGCGATATTCCAGGTCCTTCTGGTCTAGCTGTTCCATCATACCTGGAACCACCTTCCGCAGGAACTCGTTGAGACCAGGTGGCGTGGTGTGTGTGCTTTTTCTGTCGAAATCCTTAGAGGAAGCTGTGCATCCGATATCTGTGGTGCTATTCGTTTGGCAGCCAACACCGGAATTGGTGTAGTTCGTCTGGGTGCCACAAGTGGTTTCCGGTTTCTTTTTGGACTCGATGCTTTCGAAACCAACGGCTTCGCTATCGTAACCGCTAAACGTAGACATCACAGAATATTTCTACAAGTAGGATCGCTTCAAAGCGCGTTTGTTTTATTCTTGTTTATTTGGTTTCTCGTTGCTATGGCAACGATAAAAATTTAGTTTTTCATAGATAGGACTATCTTAATTTGAATGGTGACGGGCGATGTCACTGGGGAAATACTTGGGTGAGGTCTTCGGAAAACTTCCATCTGTGTAGGACGGTGGGGGGGGGTATTTTAATTTAAACCTGTCTATAAATCAAATATATCACAAGGTCCCTTCAAGATGTACCAGACTTACCACATCGGGCCTAGGTAGCAATGATAATAATGTATATCGCCTTTTAAATCGTTAAGGTGTTTTATTCAATTGTGTACTCGCGTAAACTACCGACAGTATTTGTAATTTAGTAGAAATATTTTTTTGTACACTTAGTAATTAGAACAAAGGAGTACCAGAAAATCCTAAATCATCTTTTATCGTAATCATAACGTACTCTCTTTGGAAGACCCAAGTAGTTAAATGTTTAAATCCCTTACCCCAACATGGAGGGACTTCATGTTTGTCTCTTTCATTGATCTAAAAATAGCAAGAATTTAATCTAGTCTTGTTTACTTTAAACTGAACAATAATTTTTTAAAGTCCTTCGTTTCGGATTCTTGTAGCAGCCGTGGTCACGGTGGGAAGGAACCGTAGTAGTCCTTATAAATGTGAAAGTAACTCTGTCTGTCTGTTATTCTTTCACGCCAAAACTACTGAACGGATTTGAAAATTCTACCCCAAATCACTATTTCACGCGAACGAACTCGAAGGCACAGCTAGTTAACAATAAAATAAATATAACTGTTAAGGTTGAAATTACCTTCCTAGGTTTGAAGCTCAATTTATTAGAAGAACACGGAAAGCTGTGGTTACCGGTTCAAGTCCTGTCCGAGTCGTTTTTTTTTTTTTCAATTTATACTAGATTTTTAATTTATATAGTGTCACGGTGTGTGAAATGTGAACATGTGCAAAATAAACTTTTGAATAGTTCATGTTTTAAACCGTTAAACTCCCTGTTCTTTATTATTCATAGAGATATTGCTGAGGGCACAAGAGGCACAAACAAAACATTGTTTTCCAACGAATCGTATATTTTAGTAACATAATTACAAATACAAATAATACTTATATGGCGTGAGAAACGATATCAGGTTCACCGCACACAAGGCAGTATTCGAGTTCATTCAAATAGCAAATAAGAATTTACACGCACCCCTCGAGCGTAAGACGTAATTTTTTCTCGATTATTTTCGATTTTTAAATTAAATAGTGCCATCATGTGCAATAACACGTGAAAAATATTCAAGTTTTCAAAGAAATAAGTATTTTTAATTACTTATGAATTCATTCATTCAGATTACATCTGTAGTTGTCATTAGACGCGTTTAAACGGTTTTAAACGCACTCTCTGTTAGTATTTCCTAACATACTCGTTTCGCATTTTTAACCATTATGTATTTCTTTACTCTTTCGTTTAAAAACACTTTAACGGTTTAAAATATAAAATGTATTAGATACTTTATTCAAAAATCATTTCAATTACAGCCCGACTGTCTCGCCGCGACCACGGCTGCTGCAAAGTGTCCGAAACGTCGGGCCGCAGTTGAAATGTTTACATAAATATGCACTAGTCGCGTAAACTACAGACAGTATTTACACATAGGTTTAAATAAAACACTTTAACGGTTTAAAACGCGATATATTAGTTAAACTTATTTGAAAATGATTTTTAACTTCGGCCCGACGTTTCGGATGCTTTGCAGCAGCCGTGGTCACGGGGAGACTAAAGATGGAGGATGTCTCTGACGTTACACACCTTAACTCAATTTATAATAACATTAAGTTTACAATGGAACAGGAGGACAATAACACACTACCTTTCTTAGACATTTTAGTAATTCGTGATGAACACGGTAATATTGGGCATACCGTCTTTAGAAAAACAACCCATACAGATAGGTATTTGAACGGTGACTCACATCACCACCCCAGCCAACTTAGTTCTGTCGGAGTATCTTTGTTTCAGAGAGCCCGCCGTCTCTGTGATGCTGCCCACTTAAATGAGGAGTTACAGCATGTCAAGCAGGTCCTATGCAAGAACAAGCTGAGAGTCCCTCCGCAGCATCCCAGGAACAGGAACAAGCCACCCACAGTCAAACGTCAGCCCGCCTACCTACCATATGTGAAGGGAGTTACAGATAGAATTAGCAGAGTCCTAAATCGAGCTTCTATTGACACAATTTTCAAGCCGCACAAGAAGATTCAGCAATTCCTGAAACCAAGCAAGTGTACTATCCCTTTACAAGATGCAGGCGTTTACAGACTGGATTGTGATTGTGGCCTATCCTACATCGGCCAAACAAAGCGTAGCATCTCAAACAGAATTAAAGAACACGTCGCGGATATAAAACATAAACGTCTCTCCAAATCTGCGGTATGCCAACACTCATCAGAAGGGCCCAATCACTACATTCGCTTTGACCAACCAAAAATCCTCGCAAAGGAGAGTCGATTTTTTCCAAGATTGGTACGCGAAGCAATTGAAATCAAAAAACACCGAAATTTCAATAGGGAGGACGGCCTCAAACTATCAAACACCTGGGATCCCATATTAAAAACTCTGGATCCCAATAAACAGCATACCAGCAAACGCGAAGACACCGTTAGTCAATTCTGTAAGGACCCGGCCAGTTTCGCCAAATACCAACTTCGACGGAACAGATGGCGCTAGCGTAGCAATTCTTTACTTTGACGTCAGAGACATCCTCCATCTTTAGTCTCCCCGTGACCACGGCTGCTGCAAAGCATCCGAAACGTCGGGCCGAAGTTAAAAATCATTTTCAAATAAGTTTAACTAATATATCGCGTTTTAAACCGTTAAAGTGTTTTATTTAAATGTGTACTACTCGCGTAAACTATAGACAGTATTTACACATAGGTTATTATTATTTTTTTATATTATTTTAATTTTAAGTCCAAAAAAAATATATTTTATATATATTAAATTTTTTATTAGTTTTTGGGCTGATACCTTGTGCGCAGTGAATCTAAATAGGGTTGACAAAATCTTTGAATATATAATAATAGTGTATAAAAAACAAATTCAAAGTGTAAATTCGCTTTTGTGCTCGACTGTCCAATAATTATAAATTATTTACACGAGTGCTACAAATTAATTAAAACAGTTTTTAATGGTTTAAAACGTAACGTGGACGCCAGTACTATCTTAAACCGTTAAAACCTGTTTTATTTAATGTTGTAGCGCTTTTGTACTTATGTTTTATATGATTTTTAAAGGCAGCCTGCGTGTATTTTTACATTCTATTCTCAAACCCACTATTCGATCGTCAATTCTTCAATATCTAAAATAGAGGGGGATTCGATCCCGCCGTCGTCATCCAGTTTTTAAATGTATATAATAACGATTTATAGCACTATATCTATAATTTATAAATATATTTTTAAACTTTATTAACAATAAAAAACTCTTAAGGCAATATTTAGAATTCTCTGTGAAGCAACGTGGCCAAAGTTGAAACTTATAATACTTTAACATTATAAAAACAAATGTATTCGACATGTAGAGGCACAGAATATTGAACAAAACAGATGCGAAAACAGTTAAGTGAAGCTGTTATTACTCCAAATTGGAGTAGTCTTACGTCCTGTTGACTTAGTCCAGACGGTGTAATGTCTTATTATAAGAACTACTGATCAAACACAAGTAATTCATACTTCAGCCATCATCGACCTTTTTCGGCATTGAAACATTCGAAATCCCACAGAAAGTGCAACATGATTTTAACGGCTTTCCACCTATGCACAGTGGTTTGCGTACCAAGAATAGAAAAGCGATTTACAAATTCGGTAAACCCATGGGTTTGAAACCGCCGACCCATTACCGTTTGAAGCAAATGTGCATGTCCCTTCTGATTTATTCTCTATTCTGTGTATCCTTCGTATATCCTTAATCTAACCATAAATCACACAAGTGCGTCCTTAAACCAATGTTATAAATAGCGCCATCTCTTATTTAAAAGGCGAAAGTTAATAAGTTTTATTGATGCGAAGATAATAACTAAGACTGTAACAAGAACGTCTCATTAATAAATATCTACCTCATGTTTCACATTATGGTCCTTCGAGCCGGATCGCATTGCGTTAGAATAAATTGCTTACGATACTGATGCCGTTATCTTAAAATAAGAAAATATTACGCCTTGTTACAGGTATTTCTCTCTTGTTGCTTAAATTAACGCTTGTTTTATGCACAGTATTACTTATTCTGCCCAGTCATCACCACCGAAGCTCTCCGAGAAGGACACAACTTGCGGTTCCTGTTAAAAATAAATCAAAAGTTTCTCTTGGGGCATGTCGCACGCTTAGTATTAGAGTGACCTAATTCAAAACTTTAAGTAAAATTAGATAAATGCACTGGCATTACTATAATAACGCCATCATCATAGTTTTATACGATTTGCCAAAAAAAGTGTTTTTTTTTTTAATACGGTCACTGTAACTACCGGTAATACTAAGCGTGCGATGTGTCTCTTTCACTTTATGAAAGAAATTTATCTATTTAGAAGAAAGTTAATAAAACTGGTCCTTCCTGACCGGATCTATTACGTTTTTCCACGTATGCAAACCCAGCGCCTTTCGTAATTGACGCTAGTCCATATATAACCTTCTGGGTGTACCTCTATAAGTGTTCTGGGTTCGAAACTAGGCAAAAAGTATTAGCAGCATAGTTAAAGATATTAGTGATAATTAGGTAATTCTTGTTTCCTTACATCGCGCGTAGGACTATCGCTGCTAAAACCACCGCCCAGCGCGTATCCGGCTAACCCACCAGCGGCCAACGCACCCACTCCCAACCCCACGGCCGCTCCCGTGCCCAAACCTTGGCGCTGCTGATGCGCATAAGTCGTGTCATAACCCTGAAAGTCAAATTAATTATTTATCTTAGCATATTAGTGTAGCTAATAAATGCTTTTTGAATTATGAGCCCGATGGTCGCAGGTTCAACTCCCAAAGAAAGAAAGAACAATCTGACATTCGACATAAGGGGTATTTAAGTGTGTTCCCAAGGCTCTCTCAAAAGCACCGTAGCGGTCTGCTGGAGTGCGATTTACCCCCACTCCCGACATCACTATTGCAGGACGTAGGCGTACATTGGCATTCACACCATCAGTAAAAGGGGGGGGGGGGTATTTAAGTAGTACATACTTTAAGAATACAAACATACATAATTTAAGAAGAAATAAATTAATTTATTACCATAAGCAACACTAGAACTGCTGCTAGATGGTAGAATAGGATCTTACTCAGCTTATCTTTTGTTGACCTGTAACTGGTTCTCAGTAGGTCCTTAGAGGGTAAACAGGGTGCCACACGCATGTTAAAAATAAAAACATAGCAAGCTTGTATATTTCGTGTTTTAAACCGTTAAAAATGTTATAGACGAAAGAGTACTTACTCCTGCGCTCACTGGCATGCCGGCTTGAAATCCTGAAAATAATTCGATGCACAATATATATTGATATCTACTATATTATACCATTAATAAAAAAATAGATGATACCGGTTTTGAACCCTAACTCTAGTTATCACCTAATCAAATGTGATAAAACTTTGCATAGTATTGAACTCGATATACTTCGATGGAGGGTAGTACAATAAAACTAGTTTATAAATAGCGCGTTTTTATTCAACCATAAAATATACATGTTCATAAGCACAACAAGACAGCGAGAATAACAAAAAATATATATTCTACAGAATATCACACATTAAGAAAAATGTATAGAAGTGTTCAAAACGATGTTTTTTTAAATGTAGATAAACAAACCAAAACAAAATAAATACCGAATTCCAAAGGAAATATATATTCGCCGATTTAACATAACAATATATCCCAATAAAACACTTAACTGTTTAATACGCGGAATATATTACAATGTATTTTATGTAACGCCGGACGTTTCGGATGCTTTGCAGCAGCCGTGGTCACGGGAGGAATGAAATGCAGTTCTGTTAGGACCGGAATATCAACGACAACAAAACAGAGGCCAGTACAATGACTCCGACAGGGAACACTCCCCCCCCTCTCCGTGACTACGGCGGCCGCTGAGGATTCGAAACGTCGTAAATAAATTAGTTAATTTTCGCGTTTCAAACCGTTAAAAGTGTTTTATTAACACATATACGATATTTAGTCTTTAAATTTTTAACAGTGTGTTCGTAAGTTCAAAAGCACAATATTATTATCCTTATGCTAACTCTTTGATTTTCTTCATCTACAAGGCACCTGAAAGGAAAAAATAATGCTTTATCATTTATTAACAAAATATTAAAAAAAACACAAACATTTTTTTTTATGAAAAAGAGCCAACCCTTATTTTTAATCTTACTCTTACTAACTCTGTATAAAACAACAAATAAATACGATATAATATTAAAGGTAATTAATTGACTCAATTTTGATCGATTTTGAATTGGTTCGCGGTTGAAAAATGGTCATCACCAGTGGATAGCATTTTTTTAGAGGACAGATGATCACTTGATGGAAGGTGTAATACCCCAGCTACCACTACTAGCCACCGACCTATATTGACTTGTAATTCGGAAATCCACAGACTGCAATCGAAACGTGATCAAACTTCACAGCATCTGAGAATGCTGGTCTTATCTAGACGGACAAAAACAGTTTAAGACATGGACGAAACGATTTTCTTTCAATTTACGACTGTGCAGGTGAAATTTCAGAGCTTAATGTTTTTTTAATTATAAATTAATTAGACACATCTTGGTCCTGGTGGGGATCACTCCCACACATTTTTTTATTACAAACTTTGCTATGATTAAACCTTCCGCTTATCTACTAAATACGGCTTTAGTGGTGGAACATGAGAACCATTTTTCAACCACGAACCCAACAGTAAAAACACCAAACATTTCAAAATAACTACGAAAGCCTTATATTATTAAAATTAAGATCTCAAAATTACCTGCAACTTTCTGCGTCTCTGTACTTTCAGTAAAAGCCTGCAAACAGAAAAAGAAAACTCAAAGAAAAGCGAAAAGAAAAAAAAAAGAAAACCAAAACCACAAAGCAAGTTGCGAATAGCGCCATCTACACACCAACGCCTGTATTAATTCTGTTAAATTGTTAGTAAAGTCTTGTTGAAAGGGGACCGGAAAGTAAAGATTTTTTTGCGCTATACAGTTTTTATTAAAGTCCCACAGCTGGGCACAACGAGAACTCACATAGGAGATGGTACTAAGACCCACCAGGCCGCTTTGGTGCAACGTCATATTTGAGAGTAACGCGAATTCGACTGATCAGGACTGGAATTAAAGAATTCGGAGGAAAAGGGTTCTAAGCAAAGACAAAGATGCTGCCGACATTACTCTCCGGTCCCGTCCCCCCTTTTACAAATAAACAAATTCACAACGTTTTATTATAAAATACTTTAGCTCAAACTTACCTCACAAAATATAAAAGATACACTCGCGTTCTCAAAGCAACAAACCATACAGCGTTTTAATAGGACTATTTTATATTTTAATTAAACCGTGTTTATATATAAATATATACTAAATAAATAATATATAATAAAAGAATACGTTTTGTAACTGTTAATCGTACTTAATACAGTTTAAAAAAGCGTATGGGGCAAGGAACAGACATTTATGTGTCCGTTTCGCTTCAACTTTACTTACACAATAAAGTGCATAAAATGAAAACTTTTTCCCCTGCATGGGGCATGGGGCAAACGTTTCTAAGTCTGATTTCATTTTATTTATTCAATACAGTATTAATAAGTGTTTAAAATCCAGTTACCCCTGTATGGGGCAGACATTTCTATGCCCGCTTCGATTCAACTTTTCACAAGATACAGTATAAAATCCCGACATTTCTGTGTCTGTTTCGAGTTGTTAATCTGAAACTTTTATTTTCTTGTCAGGAAGCAAACCCAGTGCCTCTAACCTTTAATGCGATGCGTTTAACCACTAAACCATGGAGGTTAGAATTCTACAAACTAAATACGATGCATTATTAGTATGTTATTTATGCTTACAAGTTAACATGCAAAAAAACTACAATGACATTGTAAGTTCTATTACCTCTGAAATAGTCAAAAAAGTAATTTGACTGTTTTAATAAAACACTTTTTTCTTTTTAAAACGCGAAATCCACTACGGCCTGACGTTTTGGATGATTCGTCGGGCCATAGTTAAAATAAATCGTAAATAATTTGACTAATATGTTTTGCGTTTAAACCCATTAAAAGTGTTTTATTTATAAATTGGTGCTACACGCATAATCGACAGGCAATCCTAAATTATGACTGTTTGAAACGCGAAGTACATATTAGTTAATATTATATTTTTAATTTACCGGTCGTTTCGTATATATTTCGCGTTTTATAGTGTTAAAAGCATTGGCATATATATTCAATAATTACAGACACTCTAAGAGTGCTGCCCCAATGTGTCTGTACTATTTACAGACAAACACTTTACAAGCCCATTGTCGAACACACTATAAAAATATATGCTATTCTTTCGATATTTATATGTAGTCTTTATATATTATAAATAACACATGCATTAAACATAACTGAATATTTTTCATAGATTTAAATAAATTAACTATACGTTTTAGAACACATTAAACGGTTTAAAACCAATTGTTTACTACGACCGGTTTTAAGTAGATTTAATATTTATTATCTGTATTTAATGAGAATAGTACATTTGGATGGGGGTGGTTTTAAACACCCCCGATTGTGTTGTCTGTTCTCTTGTAACTAAATTATTAATTTATTTTAAAACACTGCATATAATAAGTATTATCAGACATGCAAAAAACAACGTGGCATAGAATGACTAAAAAAAATTCACGCTTAAAAACTCGAAATGTAATATTTTTTGACTACAACCCGACCTGTGATTGTTAACTCGAATATTTCGCGGTTCAAACCGTTTAATGTGAATTATTAATTTCTTGCTTGTCTCATTATTTAATTTTTTCATCCATTACTAACTATTAACCAGTTATGACAAACGCCACCCAACATTGAACTCACCCTGTGGAGCGCCATAGCCGGGAGCACCATAGGCCGGGGGCGGAGCCCCATAAGCACCGTACGCTGGTGGCTCGGACTGAAAAATAAATCATTAAAACATATTAATGTACGTCTTCTCTATTATATATTGAGGGAAAAAATCCGTTTCAGGACATGTGCCTGATCTGGGGGCATGGGGGGCACATGTCTGTCACCGATTTTGTTACTGGCAAAAATCAACGTCGATGTTACTTTCCGACCGAAATATACAATCGTGGTCTCGAGATTCAAATCGAGTTACAGAGGCGGTGAATTTAGAGATATAGTACACATGTAATAAAACCCTTAATGGTTTGAAACGCAAAATTGATTAGTTCGAGACGACAGATCCTGAAAAGCAATGAAACAAAACCTCACAGATTAAAAATAATTAATGTAATGTTATGCGTTTTAAACTGTTAAATTAATTTTATAAACACATTCTCTTTCTGTCTAATACCATTAAACAGACTATAAACATGAGACACTTGACTATTAACATTTAAATATAAATACAAACAATATGAGGGTAGTCTAAAAAATATATCAATTTGACGAAGACATTATGCGGCCCCTTTGTTCCCCTAATCAATCTTTATTTTGTGTGCCCACCCAGGCCGCGACAGTCCAAATTTTCTTCATTCTAAGCTTTATCTTAAATTTATTGTCTTCAATAGCAAATGTGTCTTTTCTGTAAAATCACTCACCATATACATCTGGGACGGTGGGGGCTGCGCCCCCTCAAATCCGATGAAGTTCATCATCACGTCGCCATCTATCGTCAAGTGGGTGATGCGCTGGAAGGGCAGCCGGTGGGGGAACTCGCAGAAGTGGACGCCGTTCAGCGCGACCTGGAATCATTATGGAACGGAATCTATACTAATATTATAAAGCTGAATCCGGTCTGATCAAAAAAATTTCACGTTTAAAACCGTTAAGTCTTTTTATTTAAATGGCAATAAATCGCGTGAATTTTAAACAGTCACAGGGAGTCGTAGGTAAAAAATATATTAAGTTATGTACTATGCGTTTTAAGCCGTTCAGTATAATTAAATGTTACAGAAGAGATGACAATGTTCCCGCGTTTTTCTTTGATAAAAATATCTGATCAGAAGCCCCCCTTTACTCTCAGAGATCTCTTTTTTAAAGAGTGTGCCAGTAGCCCCGACGTCAGTACTGTTCCCAATCTTACCTTCAAAGACTGCGGCTCACAAAGCACGAGGGCTTCGAAGGACTCGCCCCTCACGAGGGGCATTCCCCCACTAGTCTCCTCCATGCCCCAATTCATGGCGGTCAAGTGGTTCCTCACTATGCACATCTCGACGAAGCGGAAGTTGAGATGCAACGCGATATCGTCTCTTGGATCGGTGTTGGGACCGCATTGGAAGTTGATAGCGAACCTAATATTAGAAATGAAAATGTATTGCACGAGACTCGAACCCACAGTGCTCCGTTGCGCAATATGTAAATGTTCAAGTTAATTACAAGATTCGTTCGCGGGTTCAAATCCCGCTCGAGTCATCAAATTATATAATATTAAAAGATTTTTTTTTTTAAGATAACTTGATGGAAGGTGACATACCCCAGACATATAACATCCAGACAAGATGCATTGTCAATTATTAAAAATTTTAAAAATTAAACTGATTTAAGTATCTAAATAAAACTGGTCGTGGCTTTGATTCCCACTAAGTACAATGTGTTTCCAAAAATCAATTTATAATTTTTCTAAAAAACTTTGATAAAGTCCACAGTACAGTTTCAACAAAGATAATGTTTCATGTATTTTCTCCTTCGTGTAAAAGTTAATTACATGTAAGAAGAGATAATATAATTAGCTTCCTTAAAGAAAATGTCGTAAAAGCCGATTTAAAGAATATTATATCTAAATAAAACCACTTTTAACGGTTTAAAACGCGAAACATTAACTTAGCATTTCAGTGCCCTGACCACAGCGGCTGCAAAGAATCCGAAACGTCGGGCCGTAGGTACAATACATTGTAAATAAGTTTAACTAATATTCCGCGTTTTAAACCGTTTAACGTGTTGTATTTAAATGTGTACTACTCGCGTAAACTACAGACAGTATTTAATTAACCAGAACGGAAGTTTAACTAATATATTTCACGTTTTAAATTGTTAATAGATTTATTTAAATGCTTTTTTAATCTTTATACATATAACAAACCTCTGTGCACCAGGCGGTATGTTACCCTGGAACCGGATCATGCGACCGGGGTACATCCCCCCGGCGATAGGCTGGACGCATGGTACAACCTGCAAACAGGACACTAAATTGTACAACTCTGATGGGGCTATTCCTGTCGTAGTTAAATATAGTCAACTAATATATTTCACGTTCTAAACCGTTAAGTTTCTTTTTAAAATCCTTTACAGTGACAGGAAAGTATTCTAAATATAAAATCTAATCTTGATAACTTAAGTAATGCATACCAAACTAATAATTTCAATATGAGGCCGCTAGAGACAGAGTAGCCTAACTGCAATTTTATGACTTGAGTTATTTATATTCCGACCGAGAAAATGTTAACATAATTCTTAGACAAATTATAGTCCAGATTCATTTTTGCTTAAGTTAATTGCGCATTTTAAAAAAGAATGTATTTTGTTATTAGGCCACTGTGCCTCTATATGTATTTCCTAATAAACTTATTCTGTACAATTTACAGGGAATCAAACCCAAACACATGCATAGCACACCATAGTTATTTAATTGACCCAAACATGATCGCAATTAATATTAATTGCATGACATCATACAATGTAGAAGTAGACAATTTGTCCATCCTAATTTTTTCAGTATTATCATGTAACTAATTCAAGTTGAGTACTTTACAATGTTCATATCATGGCAACACTGATGGTGTTATCACCTTTAAGCTAATACCATTTATTTCCATAAAACACTGTTTAAAACATGAAATATATTAGTATTTTTGCATGGTATAGGGGGCAAAGCAGCTTGCGAGGCATAGGTATAACCGAACTTTGACAGCATCAATGCAATTTGTTGCCAGTATTTTTTTAGCTATCTTAGTAGAGAAAATTATTTTCTACTACTGCTGTGTGAAGACATCAAAATTTAACTAATCAACACACTAGAGATTCAGCTTTAAAAAACTTATATTCAATGATTATTATTATTTTCTTTCGGGGACACCTGTGGTAGGACGGGTGATCAGTCCACGTCATCAGCCGACCATTTCACCCATTTCCCCATTTCCTCCTTGTAGAGGTTTTGGGACATCCAACTCTCCCCGTGTCCCCTTCAAACCTTCCGGTTTGCTTGCAGAATCTTATTATTTTTTCCATCTGTAATTCTTTGATCTCATCTTCGGTAACTTTGTCCGAACCCATATGTGTTTGTCTCAGTCTCGAGTATGCAGAGCATTCAGTGAGTAGATGGATGCTTGTTTCCTCACTTTCTCTGCACTCCGGACATAGGGGGGCGCTGCCTATTCCTATCATTGTAAGATGTCTGTTTAGACGGCAATGTCCTGTTATGATTTCTACGATGAGATATTCAATGATAAATCACTAATAAACAATAGAACACCGTGCACCAGCAAGCTGCATATCATTAACCAGCATCCACAGTAAACCATGCTGCTGCTCTAACCAATTGAGCGACCATTTTGTTTTTTCAGACTAAATATCAACAATAACTAAACAATGAGAACACAGATAGAGAAAATAGAATAGAAGTACACAGATCAAGATTTGAATTATAGCAAAGCATGCCACGTACATAGGCACATAAATAACAGACAATACTAAAGTCAGATATTTTCCTTCTGATGAGGTAAAGAACAAACAATAAGACATATAGAATTATATATATTTAATTTTTTTAACACCTTTAAATTTTCTCTTATTACATTTTCCTTGTGTATAGTTAAGCTATGTTTTTCTGCCCAGTGAGCTTCTATCAGTAAATTTCAAAGGAAATTATGTAAATATTTTCTTGGCTTGATTAAATATTTCTATTTTCATTATATTATTCAATCTTTAGAACCGTAGCGGAGACTCAGGCCTATGGCCAAATTTGCATATAGAATACCGATAAACGACATAGGCCTGAAAATAATATCTTCTCCACACCGTAAAGGACAACGATGGTGCGTTTTTCACAACCTCAAGCAGTAATTTTATTAAGAAGTACCATATATGGGTGTTGATAAGTGGTATTGCGTTATCAAAAACGTATTAACATGGCAAATACACAACAAAAGCCGCCGGTATCAATTCCGACGGCCTTGAAAACGACAAAAGGTGTATTCTAGACTGTTTTTCCCCCATTACAATCTAGATTAAACACGTAAGAAGTCTAGTATTCACTTACCGGATTGTAAATTGGTGGAACGGACATCTTCGCGCCCCGTAGATATAAAATCGAATTATTTAAACGATGTCCGCTTGGGTTTAGTTCGATCTACACTTGCTGCGTGAATACGCGAAGATAAATAAGATAACGTAACTTTAATAGAAAATAGGAAAACAATTTTACGGGCAGAATGATGCGTCATACGTCATATGACGCAATTTGCACACAACACCGGTGTTGCTATTTGGCAGAATTAATTTTAGACTAGTGTAGAATAATTGTGCTTTCTCAATTTTATTTAAACAAATATATGTTATATTTGTAATCATTTGGATACCATTTCAGTATTGCGGTTTTTATTTTAAGCATTGATTCCATATTTTGTAATATTAAATAATTTACGATGTGACAGATATATTTATTTGCCACGACTACCAAGCAAAGCTCCCTAGGATTGTAATTATTGTAAACAAAAACAAACGTTCGATTTTATTACTTTCAATATTAACGAAAATTTAATTGATTATATGAAAAAGTCTAAATGATTTATTTAAAACTTATATTTTAATTAAATAACTGCACTCTACATTTTCGAAGAATGTTGCCAACTTACAAGTACTATAACTCTGTAGTCTATGATTGTATTGCTCGTTTGTGATTGGCTGATTAGCGATTAGTTAATGTCAATATAATTTCTTTATTTCTGACGCAAATCGTAATGATCGGACGAAAATAAATTAAAATCACATTAATTCATAATTGAATAATTAAATTACGAGCCACTTCGAAGTTCACGTTTCGCCCGTGACGTGTCAAAATGACGTTCGAAGGGAATAAAGATGAGGCCGAGAGGTGCATTGAAATTGCGCAAAATGCCTTTGCTGCTGGTAATTATGAGAAGGCCGAGCGATTCCTGATGAAATCTGAACGTATGTATCCCACTGCGCGGGCCAAGGATCTCCTGACGGTGGTTAGAGCAGCCATACCGACTGGGTCTGCTCCGAAACGTACCCCGCCTAGCAGCCCATCTGAAGATGTCAGGCGCAGGAAGACTCCAGCCCCTCAGCCAGAGAAGAGAGAGTACTCCCCAGAACAGTTGGAAGCCGTGCGAAGAATCAACACGAAGTGCAAGGATTATTACGAAATATTAGGTACGATTTGAAGGTCATAATTTATGCTTAGTGTTGTTCAAATATGTATTAATTAACTCCGCAGTTAACAACCGCATTAAACAAACGGCATTAAAATAAAACACTTAACAATTGAATACGTGAAATATATTAGCCTCCGGGTCTCAGGTCCATCATGACTGTGACTGCTGCAAAGCATTGGTATTGTTTGCCCATAGTTATTTTTGTTAATTAATATAAATCGCGTTTTAAATCGTTAAAAGTGTTGCATTTCAATTATATAGTGTGATACTATATATCTTTCCTTTTCTAACCTTGCTTTTTAATAACCTTGATTGTTTTTTGTGACATTGTTTGCTTGCATTTGTGTATGCTTTGTATTTATTTTCCTTGGGCTATACTTTAAATATATATTGGAGGATTACTAAGAATAGAATCCCATTTGTGTGGGGTATGGGGCATATAATATATAACTTTATCAAGTAATTTATTAGACTACAGTGCATTGAATGAAATAACAAGAATATAAAAAACACAAGATCCTCCATGCGGGACCCATGCTATACCATGCCTACAGAAATCAAATGCATCTAGCCATAGAAACTATTATCCTATAATTATGTTAAAATCATGTTTCCACCCATTGGACAAATTTTTATGACTGTTTTACTCATTATTTTTTACAACTAGTTGTTGATCGGGCTTCTGTGTCTTGTTCAACGTAAACCAATAACTTAACAGTTATATTATTAAATAAATTTAAAATGTTATCAGCCAATAAAATTTTCAGGTGTTTCAAAAGAGGCAACAGACTCCGACATAAAGAAAGCGTACAAGAAGTTAGCTCTACAATTACATCCGGACAAGAACCATGCTCCTGGGGCAGCAGAAGCTTTCAAGGTATTCAATATAACAACAGCCCATAACAACAGCCACATTTATATATCTACAGAAAAGGATAATTTTATAAAGTTGTCTACATAAAACCTGTTTAGATTAAACAATGTTAATAGAGGGAGAACTTCAACCCACTATACCTATATATACTACCATACTATTGATTTCCATGACATTTTTAATAATTGAGCTGACGATGTCAGCTGTTGTGGAATTTGTGTGTGTGTAAGCGGTAGCTTAGTTAACAAGAATACTAGCTACACTACAGAACTCTGTAGAAGTTGTTTCGGTTCAAACGGATCTTGTCTGTATTTGAAATCAACCAGTGATATGTGCCAAATGCCACAAAGGAATAAATTTTTATTATTATTATTGATTATCCAATGGGCATTGGCATTATATTTTAACAGTGATTGAAGTAATAAAATGAGTAATTTAAAAATCGGAAATAAATTGGAAAAATTTTCGACTCGGTCAGGACTTGAACCGGCATCGTCAGCGTTCCGTGCTGTGTCGAAAATTTATTCAATTTATTTTCGATTTTTAAATTATATAGTGCCTTCATGTGCAATAACATGTAAAAATTAATAAAGTTTTCAAATAATAAAATGAGTTACAAATATATTTATTTGTCAATGCAGAGGATAAAACAGTTTTAACACTAGGAAGCACGGCGGTTTATAGCACTGCTTATAAGCAAGTGACGTCGTCGTAAACACGACCAATCAGGGGCGTTCTGTGTCACGTGATTAAAGAAGTTTAAAAAAGTTTTTTAATTAAATCAATTATTATTTTTAACTGTTTTACAATTTCTAAACGCATACTTAATACCAGTAACAGTAGTTGACGCTATTTTTTTACCATTGTTAAATTGAAAATCGATTTTAGGTTAATAAAATTTACGACACTTGTAAATTTGTACACTTGGTAATATACTTGAACCGGCATCTACAGTGTTCGGTGTTGCTCTAATCAATTGAGCCTCCGTGTCCTACACGGCCCATGTTATTGTTTCAGGCTATCGGCAACGCGGCCGGTGTCCTGACGGATCCTGAGAAGCGAAAGCAGTACGATGTTCGTGGGGAGGAGCCGGCCCACACGCCTCACACACATCATCAGTATTATGCTAGGGGCTTCGAGTCAGACCTCACCGCTGAGGAGCTCTTTAATATGTTCTTTGGTCATACAGGTAATGTCAGAAAATAGAATCTCTATTATAAAATAAATTTGACAGGCTTCTTCGTATAATGGTAGCAATATATAGTTAGAATCAGTCCACACTTGTTTTGTGTGGACTGATCACCCGGCCTGCTATGAGTGTCCCCAATAGTAATGGTTAATAATCGACAGGTGGGTTTGATCCCCACCAGGTCCAACATGTTAATATCAATTTTTAATTCTTCTGAAACATCTGGACAACTTAAAATAAAATAATATAAAAATAAACTTACTCTTAAAATTTTTATGTCAAAGCAAAGTTTGCCGTATCAGCTAGTATACATATAATAATCATTGCATGGATATATTTTAGGTAATTTCACAGCTTTCTCGGCCGGTGGCCCGACGGTCTACCGCCGGAGAGCCCGCGAGCCGGAACAGCGGGAGAACCACGCGGGTCTCATCCAGCTGCTGCCGATCGTGGTGCTGATACTCCTCTCGATGATGTCAGGGTTCTTCATCAGCGAGCCGGTGTACAGCCTCACGCCTAGCTCCAAGTATCCAGTGCCGCGGGAGACTGTTACACTCAAGGTGGGCGAGGAAAATCTTAAATAGTATTTTTAATGTTAGATTCAAAAAACTGTATTATTTGTTACTTTTGAAGCTTTAAAAGGTAAAATGTATCAGGTTTACTTATTTACAAATTAAAACAACGGATGTTTTGCAGCAGCCGTGGTTATGGGGGAATATGATGACTTTCGCGTTTTAAACCGTTATAATTGTTTTATTTGACTGTGTTCTACCAGCGTAAACTACAGACAATACTTGGTATATTGTTATAAATTATCTTATGTCCTTCTAGGTTCCATATTATGTGAAAGACAATTTCCACACCGACTATCAAGGGTCACTCCGGAGACTGGAGATGGCTATAGAAGAGGAATATATTGGTAAGTTCTTCAGTCTCATTGGGTTCGAGGGTACACACCCACCAGGCTTTTCCAGCGGAGATTAGTGGGCTTTTAAGAAGGCAGACAAGCATGTAGCCTCTGATGGGACCACAGTCAGTGTTGGGACTGAGTGGACTCCTCTTTGGTGGCATCGGTATATTTCATAATTTAAAATGTATTTAGTATATTAATATTTTATCTATAACTAGCGACCCGCCCCGGCTTCGCTCTGGTGCAATGCTAATGCTAAATACATTACATACAAACTGAATGTTGTATATAAAAACCTTCCTCTTGAATAACTCTATCCATTAAAAACCGCATCAGAATCCGTTGCGTAATTGTAGAGATTTAAGCGTACATAGGGACAGAAAAAGCTACTTTTATACTATGTCTTGTGTTATTTCTCAATATCTGTATTACTTATTAGTGAGTCTTCGCCACGCCTGTCAGCGCGAGCGCAACTACAGGGACAGTCTCGCGTGGAAGGCGCGAAACTTCGGCGACGCGTCGCAGTACGCCGAGGCTAATCGCATGCGCATGCCGAGTTGCGAGAAGTTAAACAAGTACCAACGATAGATGGCGCTGAACTCAAGCGGATGGGTTTGGAGAGCCGGTGGATATAGCACCAATTTTATTGACCACATTTGACAGGTGTCAGTATTTTTTATAACTGGAGCTTCATATGAGTCGATATCGGATTTTTTTAACATCCAAATTAGTGAGAACCTTCGAGTTTTCGTTGACTATTATTTACTTTACTATAAAGTCCAGTAAAATTTGAATTTAAATAATACTGGTATAAATGAACTGTGAAAAGTCCCCACAGTGCAATTTTTTTGTGTATTGATGGTGAAAGGTTAAACCAGCTAAACGGTGAGTTTTACAGCAATAGTTTAGACTTATCATCCGATTCCCTACAAAAAATGTATTTACATTTTTCCTATAATCGATATATAATTTTAACTTATAATGCCATTATGCGCAATGAAATGTAATAAAAAAATTATAAAATATAGTTTATAATTTATATAGCGACTCAAAAAAAAATTGTTGGCTGTAAATAAATGTCTCATGATGAAATCCACTCGTGATGGTGAAGCTAGAAAATCAAAAAAGCCTCTCTAATCTCCGCGAAATCCTTCAACTTCATACAAATTCTACAAAAATGGCTGTGTATTTGAAACACTAAACAGTATATATAATATTGTAGGACTTTTGACTTGTTACACAACAGTTAAATGTGGTTGGTTAAATTGGCCCAAATATTAAACCTTTATTATGCGTGATATATTCCTTGGTATTTAATTTATGACGATAGGTGGCGTTGTTATCAATGAAAATGTAACATGAAATATTTAGTAAAAATTACAAACAAGCTACAATTGCCTGTGAAGAAAATCGACAGACGCAAAATTGCGTTCATCCCATGGCCCAAACGGGGGCATTATGTACCTAGCATTTAATTATTCTGATTTTATTATCTGTGGGCTGATGAGAATTTTTAGTCTGTGGATTAACTAGCGACCAAATGTATCGTCCATTACAGAATGTTAGTAGTGTTTTTTAAATACACACATTCACACTACTTTGAAGATAAACACACATTATTTAGGCACATCACATCATCGTTTAATAAGTAGAGTGACAGCGGAAAAGAGTAAAGGATGCAGGGGTGAGGAACATTTTCTTTTTGCTTTTTTTCTTAAATGTGTGAAATGGTCAACAAAGTGGTCCCCAAAAGTAAAAAAAAAATATCTGTATTGGGCTTTGATGATCTTTAAATACTGTCTATAGTTTACGCGAGTAGAACACATTTAAATAAAACACTTTAACGGTTTAAAACGCGATATATTAGTTAAACTTATTTGAAAATGATTTTTAACTTGGACCCGACGTTTCGGATGCTTTGCAGCAGCCGTGGTCATGGGGAGACCGAAAGTCGGGCCGAAGTTAAAAATCATTTTCAAATAAGTTTACCTAATATATCGCGTTTTAAACCGTTTAAGTGTTTCATTTAAATTTGATGATCTTTGTTCACCAAATGTTGATAACTGGTCCAGACCCTTGTTTAATGTTTCTTACAATGACAGTAATTGTCTAAATCTGACGCGATTGTGTAAGCGAAATATGATTGAAATAATATTTGTCAACGAACTTAATACCGGTTTGATGGTAAAGGTTTTTAGTCCCGTTGGACATTTTAACTCCGAAACGTAAGAGATGGCGCTGTTATCAAATACAATCATATATTAAAAGATTTTTATTTATGTCATATATGGGCATATAAATTATGTTAAATGTAATCAGATCTCCATTTTAGTCGTAGGAACCTAATTCTAAAATTAACACTGGTGAGTGATGAAGTAAAGAAACAAACACGGTGGTTTTAAACAGAATTGGGGCCCTAAAACAAAAATACAATAATAAATCGTTGGGTTTTTATGTAAAATTAATATACAAGTTATTTATTGTCTGTAGTTAACGCGAGTAGTACACATTTAAATAAATCACTTTTAACGGTTTAAAACAGTCCCCCCTGTGACCACGGCCGAAACTTCGAGCCATAGTTAAAATAAATTGTAAATTAGCTAATTAATTTAATAAACATTTCACGTTTTAAACCGTTAAAAGTATGCAACTATGCCAAATTTTTGTTGTTATAAGAAGGATTGGTTGTTGTCTATATATATTTAAGCATTCGTTAATTTATTAAAAATTGTCCTTAATCTGTGTTTTATTTTCATTCTCAGAATATCGGCCACTGTCGCATGGTGAATCCGACTTTCAAGGGGTCCAAAATGTTTTTATTCAATTTATATTTTTTTCTAAAACATAACTTCGTCTGGAAATCTGGATATAAAATGCGGGTAGAAATATCGAAATTTCGTCCGGGTCACTAACTACCGTCCACTGATGAAAGGGCTCTACTAGGCTACTACAAGAGATATTATCTCTGCTCGAGTCGTACGACTCGAGTTATTTATAATCTACAAAAGCACAGTAACCGAGAATTGTTAACATAAGTCTTACACAAATAATAGTATCGTGTTTTTTGCTAATAGGCCACTCGACCTCAATTGTGCCCCGTTAAGAATCAAACTGTTGACCTCAAGGAAAAGTCAAGAGCACGCACCCAATTATATTTAAGCTTTAAAATTACATATTGCTTAAGCCCAGCTAGATTTAAATCCAGACTAAATTGAACATGCGTGGGAGTAGCGAAGACAAACTATTTTTGAATTGTTTACAAATAACATTTCGGTGGGGATTTTACGATTGTTAGCTTAAATAAAATATCAGGCGCAGCTGACAGAATGTTTTGGGAAGAACTGAGCTAGAGGTAGGGGGGGGGGAGACCAGGACAACCGATAAGTGGGGCAGCCCCATTTCTCATATTTTCAAACTGTGCTACGTGAATTAAAAATGGATTTTAGATTCCAAATGAATTACGACACTGGTAAGACTCGAACCGGCATCCACAGCGCTCCGTTCTGCTGCTCCACCCAATTGAGCTACCATGTCCTAGACGTCGAGTCGTATTTTTTGTCACGTGAATACTTTATGCGCGTTTTAAACCGTACTTAACACAGTCTTTTTACGGTCAAAGTTGATAAATTAGCTAGGAATATTGTAAAAAACTACTTTTGTGTTTGTTAGTAACAGTAACAGCAGCAAGAGAAATACATAGCGAAAAAGCCGTGACATGTAATCGCGTTTCGGTTTACAAATATCTGTAGGCACTTAGTAACTACAGCCTGACTCCGTTGGATGACTTGGTTTGGTTAATTCTGACATGTCATTGAAATATATTGTATTTGCACATGTGTGTGGCTATGTAGCACGATCACACACACATATAAATAGCATGTATAAATACCGTTGGTATTAAATTATTACATTTAGAATACGCAACGTGTACTTTCCTTTGCTGCATATCCAAAGCCAATAGGTCGATTTTGTTTAGATGTCCTAGAGGCCACTGATAGATTTTATTTATAAGTTATCAGACTGCTATGCCAACAGACAGGAATAGTATATCCTTTACCCTTGATTCGCACCTAAGACTTGTCGTCATTAACGCGACGTAATTAACCATTCAGCTATGAAGGCAGTCGTAACAGAGATCCATAATTTGGGCTGTTGTTATTATTACATCGATCAATCTATACTAATATAAAGCTGAAGAGTTTGTTTGTTTGAACACGCCAACATCAGGAACTACTAGTTCGATTATAAAAATATTTTGTTAGTACCTTTCATTAAGGAACGCTTTAGACTGTAAAACATCAGGCTGCGACCAACATCGATGACTTTATCCATCTTTGATGGATTCCGTTGATTTCGCTGCGAAACGGTAATAAAAAGAGTGTGTGTCCTTGTAAATGTTCGTGGGAACACTTCATATATAAAAACCTTCGGAGAAACCTAATTCGCAAGTCAACAAATCCAGACTTGACTATAGAGACAATCTAAAACTAGATTAGATTCCCAGCTGTGGGAATTGGGACAAGTAATACGCAAACAATTAAAGACTTGGGGTCTAAATTCTAGACAAATTTGTATAATTTCTATCGATTTTTCTAATAAACATTTTGTATCAACACAATATTTTGTCGATGGCAATAATATAAATCAAAACAAGATCGCCGGCAATGTATATACTGGCAACATTCCAAGTGATAAATTGAAACATATTCGCGCGTTTATTTCTTTATAAAATTAATGCCCGACACAAATTTAGTTTTTCAAAAAAGATAGAGGCGGGATTCGAACTTGCGACTTTGTATGGCACGTTCGTGTAATGGTAGCAATGTATGGCTAAAAATCAATAGGTCGTTTCGATTTAGTCTGTGTATTTTCATAATATCTATAGCCATCTTATACGTCTGCAAGCTTTTAAACAAACTTTACAAGATGTTTTGCCTTTGCCCAGGTGAGTGGGGGCAGGGGAGGTATGTCCCGTACCGTATCATGTAGACTTGTCTAGTGTACTTGTCTCTTGTATATACAAACTTGCTGTGCCCGCGACTTCGTCCGCGTGGAATAGTGACTTGGAGTAGAATTTTTACTATTTAGGCTGTTTATTAATTTATGTAAGGGCGCATTAAGGCGGCCAATATATGTTGTAAGTGCTCCTTTGCCGCAACACTCTCACCTCATATCACTTCCACTCTCATTCCTACACTCACTCCCACTCCTATTCCCAATAATAAATAAATTTGGATGTTTAAATAACACACTTTAACGGTTTAAAACGCGAGACTCTGCTTGTGTCTCTCTCTTGCCTCCCAGTAAACAGGGCTGTTCCAAAGCATCCGAAACGTCGGGCCGACGTTAAAAATTATTTTCAAATAAGTTTAACTAATATACATCGCGTTTGAAACCGTCAAAGTGTTTTATTTGAATGTGTAGTATTCGCGTAACATATATACAGTGTATAAAATTGGATGCTACTAATTTTATAAGTTGAGGTTCGCAAAGGTAAATTTGGATGCCCAAAATAATTATTCTACGCAGACGAAGCCGCTGACACAGCTAGTGTAATGTGTTTTGTGTCGTCACATAGAGGGCGTCTGTGTTATTTCATTCGTTTAATTCACATGCGCTGTTCGTCTCGAGTGTTATTGTAAATTATAGTTGAATCGATATTGTTTACTTTACGACGGCGTGAATCAGGCAAACATGTAATTAACTAGCTAAACGATTATCTACCAGCCAGTCTGGCTTGAGATTAAATCAAAATATACCTATATACTAGCTGTGTCAGCGACTTCGTCCGCGTTGTTCCAGACCTTTTTGTCTTTAGTGTCGCGGACCTTTTTTTTTAGATAATTTATAGAGTGATCGTTCAATTGTACTTATTTTGGGTATCTTGACCCGATGCGTAAGCTGCGAAAAGCCATAATTTGCCCCGATTAACCATTTCTCGCTGTTTCTTTGGTCCCATTAGTCACAGCGCTATAATTATATGCCTTCCTCGATAAATGCTCTCACAACACAAAAATAATTTTCAGTTCGAACAAGTAGTAGTTAAGATCAAAGTAAGTAGTTCCTGAGATTAGCGCGTTCAAACAAACAAACTCTTAAGCTATATAATATATATAACATATTATGTTGGTTTGCCATTTTTTTATTATTATTATGTTAATAATACTATAACAAATAATTGATTTAATTGAATTGCATTAATTATTAAAGTTTAACTGAATAATGCATGAATTTCGACCAAGATTGTTTACGATATTGGGAGGTAATTCTAAAAGGTAGACACATACTTTTATTCATTCGATAATTTTTTCAGAGTAAATACTATGTATAGGTTACGCGAGGAGTACACATTTAAATAAAACACTTTAACGGTTTAAAACGCGATATATTAGTTGAACTTATTTAAAATTGATTTTTAAGTTCGGCCCAACGTTAAAACTGACGTTTTATTTAAATTTAAAGAGTAATTATTAATTATTCTTTCATAAATACTGTTTGGTTTGTTAGACAATTTTCGCGAGGCAACACCTCAAAGATACGTAATTATATCCGTTTTTTTTTACATTCTCCACTGTTTCATACTCGGTAAATGCTCTAAGCAACACATTTTTTTAAATCTGTAGGTGTCGAGATTAGCGCGTTAATATATCGCAATAAGACTTATACGAAATGTGAAAAAAATGGGGAAGATTCATCTTTGACGGTTTCCGTTGCGTACGCTACGGAAACGGTTCAAGATACCCGAAAAATATGTACGAAAAAATAATTCTTCTTTTTAAATGATCTGAAAAAGTCTATCTTTTAATATTAAAATACAAATTTGGATACCCAAAATAACAATTCCACGGTAGAAGTCGCTGACACAGCTAGTATTTTTTAAGTATAGTACACGTACTTTAAATAAAACACTTTAACGGTTTAAAACGCGATATATTACTTAAGATTATTTAAAAATGATTTTTAACTTCGGCCCGACGTTTCGGATGCTTTGCAGCAGCCGTGGTCACGGGGAGAGAAGCATCCGAAACGTCGGGTCGAAGTTAAAAATCATTTTTAAATAAGTTTAACTAATATATCGCGTTTTAAACCGTTAAAGTATTTTATTTAAATGTGTACTACTCGCGTAAACTATAGACAGTATTTAGTACACGTAACTTTCTGTTTAAATATAAACTTAATAGACCGAACAGCGAACACGTAAAAATCGATAAAACCGCACGTTAAAACTGAAAATTTTACAGCAGCCCGTCTTAGATTTTATGGTTTCTATATATATTCGAATATTTATGCTAAAATTACATTACATCTACATAAGAAAAAATTGTGTTTTTTTTTTCTTTCTTCTTGAGAATAATTAAAAACACAATTTAATTTGTTACTCACATATACTCGTTCGTACAATACTAGCAATGTAATAATAATAATTAATCAACGGGTCGTGGGACACTGGAAATCTGGACGAAAGTCATGAAGTTTAAACGCGTTCCTACATCAACATTGTAATGCGAATAAGGCCTGCGCACTAAGGCGTTCGTACCATAGACTAAATTTATTTGCATTATTGTTTAAATAAAACACTTTAACGGTTTAAAACGCGATATATTAGTTAAACTCTGAGTCTCCCCGTGACCGCGGCTGCTGCAAAGCATCCGAAACGTCGGGCCGAAGTTAAAAATCATTTTCAAATAAGTTTAACTAATACATCGCGTTTTAAACCGTTAAAGTGTTTTATTTAAATGTGTACTACTCGTGTAAACTATAGACAGTATTTAATGATTCTTCTGTAAATGATTTAAAATAGTCCTCGAATTTTAAGATTAACTTGCAAAAACGACGGGAAGGGACGCGATCGACGTCGTGGCTGACATATTACAAAGATGAAGGGGTTTGCAAGAACTAATTTGGATGCCCAAAATAATCATTCTACGCGGACGAAGTCGCTGGCACAGCTAGTATTTTATATTTAGATGCTATTTTCACATATTCGGTACGGATCCGTAAAAAATAAAGAAATTCTCTACGACCTCTTCCCGCCAAAAGTGATACGTCAATAGTGACATAAGGCTCAGCGTTCGGAAACAGTTTGCGTTAATCACTGTTAACGAGCATACATTTGTAAATACGATCGACATTTTAATCGCCACCCACTGCTGATTTGTTAGGGCCGTATTTTTAGATGGAGTAAAGGGCAGCGCTCACTGAACATCGTATAAAAAATTATTCACTCTTAAAGTCACGGCGACACCTTGAATAAAAAATAAATAATCCGTGAAAAATGAGAGTGAAAAAATTTTACAATTAAATACAAAAAGTACAATTTTAACTTTGTGCTAAAAAACTACTAGACTCAGTTTATTTTCAGTCTGTGCCTGATCAGATAACAAGTAGTACCAAAATTGAAACAATGTGAAAAAGTGGGGCAAAGTTAAAAAATTATAATTATGACATATTTTAGTGGCGGCGCGATGTTATATCGCAAAAATTAGCGTTATATATTTTTTTTTACTTTGTAACGGTCAGGGGATAAATTTGCATGCATAATTTAATTATATATTATTACTATATAAAGGATAGTAATTACTATAAAAGTACTATTCTTTATATAGTAAAATACAACATTAATTTACAGCGCTATCATATAACAAACATGGTGACATATTGATAATGTCTGCTCTACCGTCTACGTCAGTCTTTCAATTTTTTCATGAATTACAAATAAAGTTTCTATCAATCACGAATGACTGGATTAAAGGCTTTTTTTATTCATTTTGACGTCAACCTCGGAAAATATAAGAAATTGGTTCAGTTTCATAATGGATGCAAAACTATATCTAATTATGGATTTGAATTTAATACAGATTGACGGAAAATATAAGAATGATAAGTATCTTATTACCCGCTTCACGGCGGACACAATAAAATGACCGCTCTAAGATTTTATTGCTATGTTAAGGCTAGAAACACACATCATTCACGAAGCTAGCTAGAGGTGTACGTCGTTCCTAACACGCGAATCGTTGTGTATTGGCGTATTTACGAAGCGAAAACTCGAATGTGTTATTCAAAGTTCAAAGCGAGCCGTAAATATTTAAGGTCATTTGTAAATAATGTTTGCGCCTTTGACGTTTCGAATTCTAGTACTCTACCTCGTAAAATACTAGATCTATAGACATTCTACAGTTTAGTCTGGACTTTTGAATGTTATCTGTGCTCTGTCGCGGTTCTGTGTCATATATTTTTATTGCAGTTGTTGTTAAAGTGATTTTTTATCCCAAGAAACTGAAATGGAACTGTAAAAAAAGGAATTTAATTCTATCCACATAATATATCCAAAAAAATGAATAATTAATCATTATGGATAAGTTTACCCTAAATAGAAACTGAAAATAAAAGTTAAATTAAAATAACTAAACCGAAACAAAGTTTACCCTCCATAATATCCTCACATCAAAAAATAATAGGTTTTTTTATTAACTCGTCCTTTGCCGATTTAATTGTGTAATTAAATAATTAAAAAACTTTACTTTACACGTAAAAAAAATGTCTATGCTCTATGATATGTCTATTATCTATATAAAAGCACGAGCACAAACAATACCGTTAATAACCGCGCATTCGATATTCAAATTCGACGTTTAAAAATAACAGCGTCTTGCTGTCTATGCCTGTTCCAGTTCTCTGGAGGCGTTCACCAAGAATTTGACGCGTCCCGCGCTTTTTACATTCTGACATTGCAAATTAATCGCCTTAGTCATTGTACAAATAAAATTGTCTCCTTTTTAATCTGTGTTATTAAAAATGGCGGCGAAATTGTCTGTGTTGTTAATTTTAACAATTTTATGTGTGATACAAGCTAAAAGTTCGGAGGAGCGAAGTCATGAAATTCGTAATCATGTGAAGGTAAGAGATAGAAATTAAATACATACTTATTTTAATATTAACTTAATTTAAATAAAACACTTTAACTCGAACGTTAACTCGTTTTATTTAAATTTGAAACAGATAAATGTGTTCTACTCGAGTAAACTACAGACAGTATTTATTGTTCAAAAGACTATTTCCCCATCGTGGGGCATGGGGACTATTTTCTGTGTTCGCTTAGCTGATTAGTTATTGAGTTTAATCTCGGTTTAAAGTAGAAAGTGATTCTTTCATAAATCTATATGACAATAAATGAAATCTAAAATTACATAGTTAACATGTTAGACTTTGTCTAAAAATTTAAATAACAGGTAGAAATATCGAAATTCCGTCCATGTCACAAATCACTGTCCACGGTTGAAAGAGTTTAATCTGTCTGGATTTCTAAATGTCTCAAGGCAAAATAGGTCGACAGGGCAACTTGTTGAGATATCTATCTAAGAACATCTACAGATGAAGAAGCCGTGGTGCTAAAATGTGTTTCAGCTTCAGTGTGTGGATTTCTGAATATCCAAAAGCCAAAATAGGCCGACAGCACATCTTGTGTAGATGTTATATGGCTGGGGTATTCCACATACCATCAAGGGTTCCCCATGCTGTCTTGTAATGTTTAGATGTTTTTTACTCGTAATTCAATTGCTTACGAGTATACTCTTTATAACAAAATAATCTTTATTACTTTAACGTTTTAATTACACCATCTAGGTCAAATTATCATCTGCCTACAATAAGTCGAGCATTTCAAAAAATAACTTTATTACGAAAAGAGGGCGTTAGTTACGCTTTTATGTTTCGTCGTAAATTCATGTAATACTGCATGACAAAAAATCAACGCACGCTACTGATGTACGGTGTGCAAAAACAATGTTAATATTATAATTAAGTTTGTCCTATATCTATGGGACAATAATATCGATGGTGATTTTATACAAATCAACTCCAATTTTTCCCTAGTGGAGCATGGGGCATATACATCCTATTTTGTTTACAGATCGATGTAAAAAAATTAAATAATAACTGAAAGCGTGGTAAGCCCACAAGACCATTAATAAGAATTCAATATAAGATTTTCCAAAGACACCAAAAGGTTTGAGGGTGTCCCCTTGAGAGTTGGATTACGCGAAAAGGGGGGGAATTGTCAGCATATGACGTGGACTGATCACCCGGCCTTCTATCAGTGTCCCTAAATAAAATAATACGTCGTCCGTAGTTTACGCGAGTAGTAAACATTTAAATAAAAACTTTAATGGTTTAAAAGCACGCCTGCTGCAGAGCATCCGAAACGTCGGGCCGTAGTTTAAATAATTCCTAATAAGTTTAACCCATATATGCCGCGTTATAAACCGTTGAAGTGTTTTTTTTTTAATAATACGTCGAATAAGTTGGTGGTTGGTATATAGATACATTTCTATAATTATGGATTTTTGTGTATTTTGAACTACCTGTGCCCGCGACTTTGTCCTCATAGAATAGTTTTTTAGGCGTCAAAATCTCTCATCTTTCGAAATTATAGCTCTTACCAACGACCTCGTCCGCGTCCTGTCCAGAAAAACTGAAAGATAGACATTGTCGCGGGCTTTTTTTAGTTCATTTAAAGACGGAATCATTCTTTTCCCCCTATTTTTTGGGTATCTTAAACCGTTTTCGCAGCACGCACGCGACTTCTGCGAAAAATGCTTTGAACAACATAAAAATAGTCTCCCAGTACCACTAACTAGTAGTTCCCGAGATATGCAACAAACAAACAAAAATTCTTCAGCTTTATAATATTAGTATAGATAATGTCTGTAGTTCACGCGAGTAGGACACATTTACATAAAACACTTCACGGTTTAAAACGCGATATATATTAGTTTTCAAACAAGATATTATATTAGATAGTAATTAGTATAGATGTTGTAAGTTTTTGGTATTCTACCCTACATCAAATACTTGTATACATATATAAAAAAAAAAAAACTATTTTTCCGACCGTACATAATCAAACGTGCCAAACGACAATCGCTTATGATTTTGTAGCGAAATATTATAAATCAGAACAATTTCGGTCTCCCGTCTCTCGGCTTTGCCAAGTGACGCACTTGGCTTATTTTTGACAATTCCCAAGGACACGAATTTATGCATCCTCTGCATTGTTATTGTATTGTCGAACAATAGCAGCTAGGCAAGCAACGAAGTCAAATAAAACCGTTTTAAACTGGTTGAAATGCCAATTATTCAAGTTAATTTTAGGCGAGTGATATATTGTTATTGTCTTTAGTTTAGGGTTAGGTAGTACATAATAAAATAAAACACTAACGGTTTAAAACGCGATATATATATATATTGCGATGATAACTTATTAAAAAAATAACTATGGCCCGACACTTCGGATGCTTTGCAGATGGCGCTAGCGTAGCAGTTTTTTACTTTGACGTCAGAGGCACCCTCCATCTTTAGTCTCCCCTTGAGCACGGCTGCTGCAAAGCACTCGCCTAAAAGAAACTCAAATAACTCGCGTTCTAAACCGTTAAAACGGTTTTATTCTAATGCTATATTCATGGACACCGACAATAATGGTGAAGCACTCGCTTAAAATAAACTTTAATAATTCTCGTTTCGAACCGTTTTAAAGGGTCTTATTTGACTTCGTTGCCGTTCGTTGTTGTCGACAGTATTTAACATGTTTTTTGTTATTAGGCCACTCTGCCTCTAGCACCCTCATATATTGTATGTGTCATCGTGTATTATAAGAACAATCATATCGTAATATCGAAAATTTGTTATTATAAGTATTGGCAAATGGCCAAAACCCATCGACCTGCATTGGGAATTGAGTGCGGTTATTTGCACTCAATTCAATATACTGGGTTATCGACATTCAGACACAAAATTGAGTACGAAAGATACACGAAAATGTGTCTGAACAATTGGTCAAGCCTTTAGAGAATTATTAGTTTAGTACAGAGTTTATTTAACAGACGGTTGTGTAAATAGTATCTGTAGTTTACGCGAGTGATAAGAATACAGTTTTTAACGGTTTAAAACACGGAATATATTTAATAAAAATCGATTTTAGATTGAAAAAAGTTTTCGACGCGGCCGGGTTCTGAGCTAGGATCCGCAGCGTTCCGCGCTGTTCTCTAACCGAACTACCGTGGTTTTAACTTTCTAAAATCGTGGTTTTAATTTTCCGTACCGTGGTTTTAATTTTCTAAAATCTTTGTTTAATTAATGTAATCTGATTGTGGGAAAATATTTTTATAAATAGTTTTTAAACGCGATATTTATAAGTTAATTGCTTTTTTTAAACACCGTTATTATGCGTAGTTAACGCGAACAGTGCACATTTAATTAAAACACTTTCAACGGCTTACAACGCGAAATATATTATTTAATCTATGTACAATTTATTTTTACTATTTCCTGACGTTTCGGATTCTTTTCAGTGGTTTTCAGCGACCGAAAAACAAAGCGTTCAGCTCGTAGATAACAATGTGTCAACTAATATGTTTCGCGTTTAAAACCGTTAAAATTATGTTTCTTTCAGAGCGACGCAACAGCATTAATATTTGCCGATGAATTTAAGCAGACGCTGGAGAAGTACCTCTTCGGAATTTGTCCACAACCCTATAAGGTACATACATACAAAACATAATAATTATTTTGTATACTAGCTTAGGTAGCTTTCTAAGAGAGGCTGGATTCGAATCCCGGGACACAGACATTAGAAATCAATTAGTGATATATGTACTTAAACTAGCTGTGTCCGCGTAGAATTGTTTTTTGTAAAAGGTTCGATTCCCACCGGCTCCAACATGTTTCTGAATTTAAATAAAACACTTTAACGGTTTAAAACGCGATATATTAGTTAAACTTATTTGAAAATGATTTTTAACTTCGGCCCGACGTTTCGGATGCTTTGCAGCAGCCGTGGTCACGGGGTCTCCCCGTGGTATAGCCCAGCCTATAGCATCTATTTAAATAAAACACTTTAACGATTTAAAACGCGATATATTAGTTGAACTAATTTGAAAATTTTGTTTAACTTCGGCCCGACGTTTCGGATGCTTTGCACACCGTTGAAAGTTCATTTCCAAATAAGTTCAACTAATATTGCGTTTTAAACCGTTAAAGTGTTTTATTTAAATTTACTACTCGCGTAAATATAGACAGTGTTTTCTGAATTTTCAATTTATAATTTTTCTAAAACATGTTGGATCGCCTAAACTAGATATAAAATGGGTGGTAGGAATGTAGAAAATTTCGTCCGGGGTACAACTACCGTCTACAGATGGAAACCATGAAGCTAATCGCGTTTCGGTCTGTGGATTTCCGAATATCCAAAGCCAAAAAAGGTCGACAGCATCTTGTTCAGATGCTATAGACACTGTCTATAGTTTACGCGAGTAGTACAATCTAAATACAACACTTTAACGGTTTAAAACGCGATATATTTGGTAAACTTATTTGAAAATGAACGTGGTCAGCGGCTGCTGCAAAGCATCCGAAACGTCGGGCCGAAGTTAAACAAAATTTTCAAATTAGTTCAACTAATATATCGCGTTTTAAACCGTTAAAGTGTTTTATTTAAATAGATGCTATAGGCTGGGCTATACCATCAAATGAACCCCGTTCTTATCTGTCCTCTATCTTAAAAAAAAAAATTGCGCATATTCGTGATAAAGTCGAAAATATAATTGTGTAGACGCGTTGGTTGCAGATGCCCCCTCGGGAATAAGACGAAAAACGGAACCACCTTCTCTTGCGACCTGGACATGGATCAGCAGGACCTAGCTGGAAGGTATATTTAGAATTGAAAATATAATATGAGGCTGCTAGAGGCAGAGTGGCCTAATAACAGAAATGATTTTCAATAAGGAGGAAAATAAAAGTGCACAACTAACTTAGGCGAGAATGGATTTGTACTATTATTCGTGTAAGAATTATGTTAACGATGTTCGGTCACTGTGCTCTTGTAGCTAAACAATTTTAGACTATGAAAATATAAATAAGTCAAGTCATAAAATTGCAGTTAGGCTACTCTGCCTCTACAGGCCTCATATGACTAGATATATACGATGTAAATATTACATGGAGGTTTCAGTTATGTTTCAAAACATATTATTTTTCGACTAAATAAGTTATTAATTCAGTGCCGGCGGGGGGGGGGGAATAGCCTACCCACACCCTCCACCCGTTTCGTTTATTTAGCATTTTTTAAAACCTCTCTTCAAATTTTAAACTGATGTAACAGCGTTGTAATACAACGCTTTGAGTTTTGACGCTTCCTGTTAGTACTAAAGTGAAGTAAACACGTTAAAAATGGATTTCCGTTTTGTAAATGAAAATCAATTTTCACGCTATTTTTCTAATTAAAGCATTACATTCAAAACATTCTTTTCGCTTTTGAAATGGTAGCAATGTATGGCTAACAGTCAACGATCCCCACCTGGTCCAACGACTCTTCTCTTTTCTGTCTACTCTTTTCTGAAAGATGTTGGACGTCGAGATGTTTGGATAATAAAATAGAAATATCGAAATTCCGTCCGGCTCACAAACTAACGTGCACAGGTGGAAAAGTCGTGAGTATAATCGCGTTACGGTCACAGTCTGTAAATTTCCGAATGTCCAAAGCCAAAATAGGCCGACAGCCCATCTTGTGAGAGTTATATGACTGGCTTGTATCTCCTTCCACCACACGAACCCCATACTTACACTTCACACGTTTAACTGCTACTGGTACTCTGAAGCAGACATAGTTCTGTGACTGTTTTAAACAACAAACGGGTGTTACACCTTTAACATAGCCGTTCTGGAAGTATAGTTAGACAATATTACAGACAGAACAGCAATTGATTAAATTATTTGTCCAAAAGACTCGCTACGCTGGCCTTAAGAGCTCATTCCGCGTCCCGTTCAGATTGCTTGAGGCTCGGCGCGGTGCTCGCGAACACGCTCGGCGAATTGGCGCGCACCGCTGCTACTAGAGAGATGTACCCTTCTGGTAAGTCCTTATATATTAAAAAAAATAACTGTTTAAAACGCGAAATGGATTAGTTAAAATTATTTAATAGGGCCCGACGTTTCAGATCAATCCATTCGCGTTTTAAACTGTTAGTGTTTTATTTAAGTGTGTTAATAATTAATATACACACATATAAATATATTTATGTCCTGTCTGTAGCTTCCGCGAATCGGGCCTGAAATAAAACCATTTTCAACGTTTTTTTTACCCACTGCCTAACATTTCGGATTCTTTGCAGTAGACGTGGTCACGGGGTGACACGACGGGTCACGGTTTATTTTTTATATATTTAATTAAGGTCAATTCTACGCATGCTTTTGAACTAAATAATCATTTTTAAAGAGGTAAAAATACAACGTCATACAAGCATAGTGGGTTGAGGCCTATTCCGCCATTGCAACTAGTCCCAGCTGTGGGAACTATTAAAAGCTGAATCATAACATATAATTCTTATTCACAGCTTCATCGAGCGAAACGAAAAAGAGGAAACTCTCAAAGAGCCAAAAGATGCAAATAAAAGCCAAACAGAGGACTGCTCTCGCTGTTAAGAAGAAGGCGGCGGCTGTTGCTGCTGCGGCTGCTGCTAAAACGACGTCATAACTTATATTTACCTCAACATCAACATTTCAGTTGAATTTGTTAATTTGAACGATCGTTAATTTAGTAATACTTTTTATTCTAGTCTGAACAAAGAACTCTACGATACTTCTTATTTGTGAGTAAAATGAAACGGGCAGGTACTGAACCCTGAACCCTATGTAACTTGTGATTTACTACTAGACGGCTCCAGTCTGTAGAATTTCGAACATACAAAGCTAAAATAGGTCGACGGCACATCAGATGTTACCATACATCATAAAAAAAAAACTATTAATCGACTTCTTGGATTAAGTATTTTTTAATACGTAATTATTATTTTTTTACCTAGTCAAATGCTAGATTTGTATATTATTAAGAATAAGATAATTAAAAAATAAAGTTTATTTTTTTATTTAATTTAACTACAAAAGAAAAGCCCATTTTCTTGGGGTGACGAAAATGTTATAGAACGAATTGTGGGTTCGATTCCCACCGGGTCTAACATGTCTGTACATAGATCTAACTAAACATGTAAAATGTGTCTGTAAACAGACTCCTTTTGGACAAAATGGAATGAGAGTCTAATTGCCTTACGAACAACCATCCACTAATTTAAAATAGCTTTAATCTGTGGATTCAAAAAAAAATAGGTAGATAGCGTAGGTAGATAAAATGCAGGCATTAGGCAGAGTGGCCTAATAACAAAAACTTAATTTTTAATAAGGAGGAAAGTAAAAACGCGCAATTAACTTTGAAAATGAATTGAACTATGATGTAAGAATTAATGTTAACAATCTCTTGTATATTTCCATTTTTAGACTGTGAAAATATATGAACTCGGGTCATAAAATAGCAGTTAGGCCACTCTGCCTCTAGCGGCCTAATATCATCCTCCATCTTCAGACCGTGCTCGTGTGTTATAAAAATATGTTTATGTACGGAGAGAAACAAACAGGTACTATAAAAATTGTATATTTACAAAATTTCTCTTCAAGGTACAATTCCATCTAAAAATACTGGATCATTTATACAAGTCTAGCAAATATTAGTGACGTAATAATCTGGCTAATATTTTTTTTTATGTTATTAAGAGATATTATTAATGTAACTAAAAAAATATATATAAATAAGCAAATAAAAATTTGCTTTCTTTCACTTGTCATGAAAAACACGATTTTTTTTATATTTTTAGCAATATATTTTATGGCAAAATTACTCGCTTCTCGGAATAATAAAACGATACCTTTTAAAATTGAACAAAACAATATAAACAGTTTAAAACGCAAAATATTATATTGATTTATAACCTCAAAACTTCCGATATTTCGTGAGCTTTCGTGAACGTGGTTACACAGTCCTCATCAACTATCAGTCATAGAACTAAGTAATATTTCGCGTTTTAAACGCGCAAAAGAGCATTTAAAATTACCAGATTAGAACGTCATATCTGTCCATTGCCATATTTCTTCAGAGTTGCCATAATTCTCACAAGAGTATTATTTAAACAAATTGCAAAAATATATATAAAAACTAAATACAGTAAGTAGGTGGTTTGAATTAACTATTATTAAGAAACTTAATAACTAAATAAGTTTAAAACATTATTAACACGATTTTACGAAACATACTGTATTGCCTTTAAATTAAAAAAAAAATTTCAAACAGCAAGTTGCTTTCGCGGCCATTTTGTTTTTAAGCTGTTCGACCGTCGTAATTGAGATAACGTCGAATTTGAGAAATGGTTCACGACGTTCCGCCATTACGAGACACGCTCGGCGAAACGTCGAGAACCATTTCTCAAATATGACGGTCGGAAAAACAATCCTACTAGCATGTGTTAACAACACAGAGAATTGTAATATAATCTCCACCAACGAAAAAATCGATTCCAATAAAAAAAGTATAAAACAATAATTAAATTAATGATTTTTTTATTACGTGACTTAAGATTAAACTTATCTAAAATTAAGAAACATTAAAATTATTATTGTTCTAGGGGCTGCCGAGTAAATGCGTATAAAATACCCGTTCGTTAAATTGATTTGTATTAGAAAATGCACTGTTCTAAATAGGACATCCTGTATATTGATCATACACTAAAACTAAAGGAAACTTAAAGGAATAATACTGAATTATTTTGGTTCAATGTGATGACAATGATGGTTATTTACAAACGCTTTAAGACATAGAAACGTGTTTAAATAAAACACTTTAACGGTTTAAAACGCGATATATTAGTTAAACTTATTTGAAAATGATTTTTAACTTTGGCCCGACGTTTCGGAAGCTTTGCAGCAGCCGTGGTCACGTTTTAAACCGTTAAAGTGTTTTATTTAAATGTGTACTACTCGCGTAAACTATAGACAGTACATATAAACGTGTCTAAAGAGGGGGGGTTTGAAGGGGGGGGGGTCTTAAGAAATTTTAAAATTTCGCACAGGTCGAGATTTTCGTGTGACATAAACGCTTTTGTACCGGATTCACGACCCGCCTGTGTCATAGATTAAAGCATTTTGTATGCTAAGTGAGTGTGCTGTCGAAGCTGCTTTTTGCGAATGTGTGCTTACGCTAATAAATGCTTTTAAATTCTTACAAAAATACTGATATTTTGTACCTTAGCATATATTTACATACTTATACATACGAGGACACGTTTTGAGTATTCGCTGCTATTTCACAGCAATGTAACTTCTGTTTGTAATGTAACATGTAATGTAACTCGTTCCTTAATGCGACCGACGTATTCCGTTATGTAATAAAAAAAACTTTGACGCTTTCGAACATGATATATATTCGTTAACCTAATTTTTAAATGACTCGACATCTGTAATCGTGGCCCGACACGTTCAAACGTCGGATTGTAAAAATTAATTAAATGTCAATATTTCGCGTTTAAACCCGTTATACGTGTTTTTCTTTGTATGTGTAGTATTCACGAAAATACAGACGATACTCAGTTATTTATCTCACTAAGCATGAATGGTCCCGGGCTCAAATACCAGGAAAACAATAATTTATTTCGATCGAGTTGGGCACAGACTTCTGAATAACTACCACAAATTGACCACGAATATAACCCAGATATGTGTTATAAAAAAATAAAGCCTCAAAATTTTGTAATCTATAGCTGCTGGTGAGAAGCTTATTTTCGAGAATCGAACCCAGAGTAGCATGTATTATATTTTAAAATATTTTTAGTACTTAATAGATAGTTCAATTACATAAATACACTTTTCTATTCGATTGTACTTAACCCTTGTGACCTCAATTTCGTCACATTACATGTTACATTTCACATCTAAATAAAAATCAAAGCTTTCACAACACAATTTAGTAATTTTCATCAATGTCTAGTACAATGTTCGACATTTTTATCACACACCCAAGAATTAACCTCCAGAGGACATTCACACCGGAACTACACTTTATTGGAATGTTCAAGGCACGATCGCTATTTGATTTGATAAAACTCCTCAAAAATATATGTACAACTACTATTCTACCATTTTAGCATTCTGTTGGCAACACTGAATACAAACTATCATAAGTACTAAGGCTTTCGAAGGTACAGATGTGTTTCCGGTATTTCCTACAAATGAGCTATTCGACTGACAAAAAAATTATGTTAGATCATTGCTATATAAGACTATTTAATGTGGGGAAGTATTATTTTTTCTTAAAAGGTGGTGGGAGGGAGTCTCAGGTTCTTACGTAAGACCACAAATGCGTAATGTTAAAATAATTATTATTGGGTAAGTTTCTGAGCCCCTGGACTAAAATAAAAAAAATTTGTGTGTGATTTTTTTTCTTTTAGGTTTTTACGTAATAAATATTCAACCCTTAATAATTCAAATGGGAGGTGGGGACTATGGGTCTATTCTTAATTATTTCTTATGATATATGATAGATCTTGGAAACATGATATGAAGTCACATTCTTCATAACCAACAATGACATGTTGTCAAGTTGCCGAAATATATTAAAAATCTATTTTTTATTTAAGTTTCTTGTATAAAATATCGTATGTTTGAAATGTTGGGGACATTTTATATAGAATTAAATGGTAGTACTATTTCTTCTATTGGTAACACCGATTGAAGACCAAACAATACACAAACTACTGTCCGTCACGATTCCCCAGAGGTTTTCCAACCCCCCAATTTGATGGTTATTTATAAAATGTCGAATAGCTAATCGAAACAAGGAAACAACACAAGTGGTTTTTACACACTGGCCTAAAAAATACACCTAAAAATACACTTTTAGCATTCTATATTCTACCATTTTTATCGAGCGATTTCTCAACTGAGGTTTACTAAGCGTAGTTGTTATAGACTAATCTACCAAACATCGTTGGCGTAAAAATAATTTCTACTAGAGATGCGCCGAGTACCGAGTACCGAGTAACGAGTTTTACTCGGCTCATATTCGCTTCAATCGAATTCCACTTGCTTGAGAATTAGCTTGCTATTTAAAAGGAAATTCATTGCTAAAAACGAATCCCTTCGAGTGGTGGGCAGAGCACCAACCAAGGTATCCATAGCTGGTACGTTTAGCAAGAGTATTTGTGTATAGGCCGGTAACATCTACGAAGAAAAGAGGAATAGGCTGTTATCAGAACGTGCAGAGCCCTGTGTTCCCCCATCATAACTTACCTTTATTAAATTTCAAATATTAATTATTTTATTACTGTTCTCGTAATTTTGTCTCACTGAATTTCATTTATCGAGATTAACACTGTTGTTTCAATTATATATACCTACATAGTATATTGGTTTTCTTAAAGTATACTCGTTATCAAATAACAAAGTATAAGCAAGTTATTTGGTTGAGTACGAATATCATAAAACCCGCTAAGTACCCAGAGTACTCGGCCCATCTCTAATTTCTACTATTATTCGATTATTTGGGTTCGAAATGATCTATTCTATACTGACGATGTTATAACTAATGAAAACAAATTTACACATCAGTCGTTTCTACCACATTTCTACCATAATTGTACCATTTAGTAAAACTTAGCTGTTCGGCTGGTAGTCGGCCCAGGTGCTGAACCAATTGTAGTTGAACATGGCCGCGTAAGGGTGTTTCCGTTTCTTGTGAAGCCTGAGAGACTCCTCGGAAGCGTACCAGTATTGAGGGTACTTGTCAATTGGGTACTTTGCAGACTCCTTGACGTATGGCTCGGATGTGTCGTCTGGAAGAATAGAAGAGAATAGAAATGCATTAATACAGAAGGGACCCAAGATTGTAACAAACACTGAGTATAATAAGTTAAATTTATAGTCTATACCAAAAGTTGGACCGGATGGAGATCGAGCCCAAACCCTGACGATTATTGCTACCATAGTAGTAGTTAAACAAATTGAAAGCTAACATTTCAAAAAAAAATAGAAAATAAATTGAAAAAATTTTCGACTCGGGCAGGACTTGAACCGGCATCGTCAGCTTTCCGTGCTGTTGCTCTACCAATTGAGTACCAATTGACTCGGTAGCTCAATTGGTAGAGCAACAGCACGGAAAGCTGACGATGTCGGTTCAAGTCCTGCTTGAGTCGAAAATTTTTTCAATTTATTTTCGATTTTTAAATTATATAGTGCCTTCATGTGCAATAACATGTGAAAAATATTAATGTTTTCAAAAGCTAACATTTCGCTCTTTAAACCGTTAAAATTTAAAAGACGAACAGTTAAGTATAAAACTAGAGAGTTGGTTTAACCCGAAATCCTCCACAAAGGGAAGAAGGGGCAATGGGTAGAATGTTCAGCAAATGATGTGGAGCAGCCTCCTATCGGTGTCCCCAAAAGAAAGTATTAAATTACCACAAAGTACTCCAAATACTCACTCGGTGGTAAACAGTAGAGGCAGAATATCCGATGCTTTCTGCTTGCATGTGCCTCTAGATGCTTCTTGTGTTGTTTCCGACGAAGGGAGACGTGGGGGCAACAGGGGCACGGTATCGCCAGCTCCTTGGGCACTGATCCGTGTCGCTCAGCCGCGTGACTGATAAGCGTGGATGCGACACGGTAGCCCTGGAAAATAAAGTTAGAATTTTGACCATACTGATGCAAAGTTTCGCCAAGACCGTCTCCGACGGAACGGACGGCGCTAGCGTAGCAGTTTTTACTTTGACACTAGACACGCCCCTCGTAACCACGGCAGCTGCAAAGCGCTCGAAACGTCGGCCGTAGTTCAAAATAAACAACAATTTTTACTAATAGTCTTCGCGTTTTAAACTGTTTTATTTAATTACGTACTGCTCTTGATAACATGTACTGTAGAAAGTGAAATAACCAACATTTATAACACTTAGGATGTGCTGTCACTTATTTTGGCTACGCTTGGATATGTATATTCTATGCTCTCATGTTGTAAGTATAATGTTATCTACCAAGGATGCTATTTACCAAACCAGGATTCGAAGCCTGGACTTCGTTATCGTCTTTGAGTACAGAAATTAGTGAACTTTAATATTTTATTGCACATCGATTTTTAACCTACAATGCATAAACTTGTTTCAATCTATACCAACAACAAGGCAATTAAAAGTGCATCTTACAATATTAAAAGTACCTTAAAGCAATGTTCACATCTGTACGGAAAGTTCTTCCACTTGGGGTTCTTTTTTCGGCTGAACGTCATACGGTAGGGCTCCGCTGGGAACCAGTCTTCAGGGTCCAGTTCCAGTTCTACCAGTTCGACGCCTGAGAAAGAAATTATATATTGTGAAAGTCTTCCAGCAAAATCATGTACAGTACAAATTTCATCGATACTGATAGAAAAGTACTTATATTATGCTTTGTAGCAGCCTCGTGTCTCCCCGTGACCACGGCTGCTACAAAGCATCCGAAACGTCGGGCCGTAGTTCAAAATCATTTTCAAAAAAGTTTAACAAAAATATATCGCGTTTTAAACCGTTAAAGTGTTTTATTTACATGTGTACTACTCGCGTAAACTACTGACAGTATATATCAGTTCTTACATATACTAATGTTATAAAACTGAAGAGTTTGTTCATTTGCACTTGGTAATTTTAGGTACTACTGGTTCGAAAAGAAAAATTATTGTTGCGTTGCATAAACCATAAATGAACTGGGAAAGATTTAGTCTATAGAACATCAGGCTGCGGATATGGAACGATCTCGTTAGGATGTACACAAAGATTTTGTTCCACAACTGCGGACCTAACCTCTTAACTTCCAAAGCCCGTTGCTGGTCAATGCTAGGTAGTTGACAAAGTGTTTATACGTACCTGGTGGCAGTTTAATGGGTTCGCTTGGTGGCGGCTGAACAACCTCCAGTGTAGTTTCGATGGCTGTCAACGTTGTGTTGTTGGTTGCTAAGAGACTTGTCAAAATCTTATTCTGTGTCTGAAATTGTGTTTAAGAAAATCAGTACATATTTAATTTAACAACTACATAAAAATATATAAATTATTTAAAATATCAGATGAAAATAAAATAGCTTAAAAGTCATATGTTGTGTTCAGTGGCGTAGCTATCATAGAGCCAGGTGGTTCATTGCAACCGGGCCCCGGAACTTAGGGGCCCTCTTATCTTTTCTTTGAGAAGATATAAGCATAGAAGAAAAGGATTTTTAAATGTTCTTGTTGCTATTTTTATATTTTGGAGGTTCATTTAATTCAAGCTATGCTAAAAGAGGGGACGAACACCCGATTCTTTCTTGAGCCTTAGATTTAGACTTAGGCCCTTGGAGGACAGACCTTTTGTGTTTATTTCATGTTTTGTTCTTTTATTGGCTAATAGTTGTATAGAGTGCTGTGCTCTGATTAACTTGTAACCCAAGACTTCTCCCGCTTAATGCAATGCAACAAATTTAACCATTTGACAGCAGAGATACTACGTATTTGTTAGTAAGTAAGCATTTTAAATTAAGCTTAGTGTACCTGTAAAACAGCTCCGTTGGTGAAACTCTGTGATAAGTCCTTAGGCTTCCTCTTATATCCTTTCGGTGGGCCTCGTTTCTTAGCTATTTCACCATTCTTCTTATATCTTATTACCTCTCCGTCTGTTTTAGTTACTGGTGTAATCATTAATTTTGCTGGTAACGAATACCTGCTTTGCAATGATTTCACTACATTGTTAACATTATTGACTAAATTTAATGGATTTGCCAAGTTTAACGGATTATTTATGAATTTCGGTAGTGGGTGAGATGGCACGGGATAAATTGATAAAGAACTCGGTGTGTTGTACGTTGGTATTTGGTAAACTTTAAGATTCAATTCGGAGTCATATTTGAGTCGTTTCGATGATGGTTCTTCATCACTAGAGTCTGAGAGTGTGTGACTTTCGAGTGGGTCTTTTTCAGTGAATGGATCTGAACGGAGATCCTTTTCTTGTAGACAAAACATCTGTAACATGAAACATCATCTTCAATAAGTAATGCAAGGCAAGAAGATGCTAGCTAACTTAATTTGTCAATGAACTTTTACCCAAAGTAGTTTATCTATAATCTTAATTGTTCTAAATGAAGTATTTTTTGTTTGTTTGTTACCTATTTATTTTGTTTAATTACTAGTAACATAGCCTTTCCAAGAACAATTTAAACTCAAATAAACAGATTGAAATTTGAGATTTCAACTGTATTTCTAGCATATAATATTAGAAGAAATATGACACAAGTTTCCTTTATCAACAAATTAGAAAGTTATAATATGTAAAGGTCCAACAAATGGCTTTATATAATTATTAATATATATATATATATTTATATATATATATATATATAAATGGAACTAAAGAGTTTGTACATATGTAAAAAAAGTGATTATAATCACACAAAGTTTAGTTATACATATAAATTATTACAACAATACAGTTCTTTATTGAAATTTAGAAAATGCTAAAGCCAATACAGTACTCATACCTTTAAAATATGTCAGTTTTATCATGCTATTCAATCAAATACCGACATTTTATCGCGAAAGTACATAAAATAACTGTTATTTGTGAGTCAAACTTTCATCGTACGAGTTACAAGGCGACTAACAACTTATAATAACAATAGATAATATCTAGGACGTTTACACGAAATTACAGTTAATATCGTAATTGTGTTATTTACGTGCCGCCGAATCTTTGTAGAAAACAATAAATTATTATAGATACGTTGACAAAATGGCGTTTTTATTAAAAGAGTCCTATATTTAACTCTTGAATCAGCACATGCTAATAAAACTTGTACAATAGGTAACTGAACTTAATTAAATCTATGTTGTTATTTATGACAGAAATGCGTACCTTTGTCGATGTTGTTTCGCGTTTTCGTGGTAAGAATCCGAAAGTTCACAATGTTTAGAGCGAATTCATGGGTTTTTCACGTTACTTAAATGAAATTAAAGCGAAACATAAAGGTTATACGATATAATAATAACAAAAGTACCCCATTATTCTTTCGCGATTTTGATTTTTGACGCTAGCTGTGATACCATAGTCAAAACCCCCAAAATTACACAGATATGTGTGTGGAACACTCTGAAAATGTGTCAATTGTCAAAGCCACTTTGAAATTACACGAGCATAAAAAATGGAATATAAAACAAATAAACACTCTATTTATATCTTCAAAGACGTGCAGATTATTTGTAATATATTCAACTTATTAGTAACGCTTTGTTTAACGAGAAAAGTACAATATAAACTTTATATTTCCACATTTTTGACATGTTATTCTAAAGTGGCAACATTGAAGACGCTCTTTTTTAAAGGTTTTAACTAGTGCTAGAATAAACGATCAATCATCGATTCAAGGTCGATAGTTCATTCGATATTATTATAATTATCAGTCGCAGAATATTTTGGTTATAGATAATAACACAAAAATATCCTTGGAAGAAGCTTACAAAGCAATTAAATTTATTTAAGAAGAATTAGCACGCAATATAATATAGTATACTTTTATTTTAAAGCATATTCTACTATATTAAATACATTTAAGACAATAGTTGATAAAGAAAATTATATAAGAAATTAAGTTATGAAAAATATAATTCAATACTGTCTATAGTTTACGCGAGTAGTACACATTTAAATAAAACACCTTAACGGTTAAAAACGCGATATATTAGTTAAACTTATTTGGAAATGATTTTTAACTTCGGCCCGATGTTTCGGATGCTTTGCAGCAGCCGTGGTCACGGGGAGACTGATATATCGCGTTTTAAACCGTTAAGGTGTTTTATTTAAATCTAATTCATTTCTACGTGACCTACTTTTGAAGCCGACATAAAAATAAGAAGTTCTCAATTCTAACGTACAAATGTTTATTACGAAATCGAAAATAAATTGAAAAATTTACTTTCGATTTGGGCACGACTTGAACTGGCATCGTCAGGGTTCCGTGCTGTTGCTTTAATCGATTGAATATTTTTTTTCTCAATTTATTTTCAACTAGCTGTGCGCGCGACTTCGTCCGCGTGAAATAGGGTCTTGGAGTAGAACTTTAATAATTAAATTTTTTATTAATTTATGTAAGAGCGCATTTAATGCAGCCCATCTATGTTGTTAGTGCTACTTTGCCGTAACACTCTCACCTCACATCTCTAACTCCCACTCTCATTCCTAAACTCACTCCCACTTCCTCTCCTATTCTCAAAAAACCTATGTGTGTAACAAATTTCATTTAAATCAGTTCCGTAGTTTCGGAGCTAAAGCCGGACAGACAGACAGACAGAGTTACTTTCGCATTTATAATATTAGTATAGATATTTAATTTAGGTAGTACCATCGTCTCCATAACATGTGAACAATTTTGAAGTTTTCAAACGTATATGTTTTTAACTCGCAAACATACATAAAATCGTAGGTGTCTCTAGTGCTATATTTTTAATTTTTTTATGCACTACAACTTAATTAAGGTATGGAGTAAATACCGAAAAAATAACTCAACTTTCACAGCAGCTACCTTGTGGTTGAACTTGGTTAATTGGTATCGATAAGAACTTTACACCTCGATAGGTTATCACTGTCATTAAGGGTCTGATGATGAAGGTCAAAAACTTCTCGTCAATTTTATGGGGAGAGCTGAGCTGAGGCTCCAGTTTCTATACCCTCAAACTGTATTGCATTGTGTGCAAATTGTTAATAAAATAAAATTCTTTGAATCTCTACTTGATCCTTTTCCATATATTTATTTTATTACAATTGTACACAGCTATTTAATGAACCAACAAACAGGAAAAAAACAAAACACATATTTTGATAACCATTTTATTTGTAAACTTAATCTAAACGCCAACATCGAAATCAAATGAATTTTAATTGAAAGAGAAAATAAATTACTAACGACTAGATGACAACTATACAGTGACCTTGATTAAAAATCTTAAAAAAACAAAAATAAAACAAAACTTATATCACAAAACTATGCTGGTACATGTCCGATTTGTATTATACGGTCAAAAGTATAAAGAACTAATAAGCTTAGTTCTATCGTGTTTTGCTGTACTATTAAACCCCATATACAATATGTACCAACAGAGATAAATGTAAGATTTGGCTTCGCAATCCGGTTTACTGGTCACACTATTTTGGTATAAAAATTCACCAGAATACAACCTCTTCGAGAAATTCACCAGACGTTATAACAAGTAGATTCAATCAAAGAGGCTTTATTCAATTCTCAACAATTAGAAATTAAAAAATGTATAAAACTATTACTGACCTAAAACTATTAAAATAAATATGTCCTTAAATACAGATATCAAATCATATTATAATTATCAAATGTAATCAAGTCAAATATATTTATTAATTAAATAAAAAAAAGGTGAGAATTATCGAAAAGAACTGGCCGCTTCAATTGGGTGAATCATATTTAGGAACAATAAGAATAAAATGGAGAATATATCAACTGAACACAGATAAGTCCAAATATTAAAACGAAATTATTGATAATTGTAACATCCTGTCTCGTCTAGGATGGACAGAATTATTTGTTTGCAGCTATAATTATCATTTTCATATCTGGTCACACACGTCAAGCGTTCTTTTAAAGATAAAAAGATATGTAAGAATGTGCAGTCATAGAATGATATGCTTAAAAAAAGTTGAGCAAAAAGGAATGGTAGACAGGTATGAGTATCAATTCCGGAACTTTATAATCTATGGACAAAAGTTAACAATCGATTTTCCAACAGTCGAAGGCATTCGCAGCCGCTGAAAAATCGATTATTTAACAATTAAATTCTTCTTTGCGATTTTAACTCTATTTCAATTTATGTAATTAAAACAATCAAAGTTCTGATAATTCCACACGACTCGATCATATTTAGCGTTTGCAACACAGTGGCCAAACCCAAGGCTAATTATTAGATCGCGTTTAAAAATTATCAGAAAATCGATTGGACGTCACAGCGCCGCCACATTTTATCCAAAACACGACAAAATTATTAATTAATATTAAACATTTGTTTTATTGATATTATCGTTATAATAAGCGCGCGAATGGTAATGTCAATTTTGACAATTCCAAACCAAGTGACCATAGACGAAAAAAGTTTGAACGAAGAAGGATCTATATGCCTTATAAAATGTATTCGAGCTGTGACGCAAGGAACTCTTACGATAACGTGAAGTAGAAAATCGTATAATAAATGCAATATACCTATCACGGATGAGGACGTCGATGTTGCAGCCTAAGTTGCTCCTACGTTTAGTACATCTAGGAACCCTAACGTCAAATGCCTAGCATTACTAACGGTTATTCAGAAGTTCATAACCTCAGGCGTAGTTTATTTCTTATATATACCTAACTAGTATAATTATAGCAGTGGAATTTAATGTTTTCACTACGAAAACTCCGGCTGTATCCGATTATAACTGTGTCTTTAATTCTGTTTAAGTCAATAAATGGGGTTACTTTAAAATCGGTGTCATACATTCTACGTTATAATTTAAAAAATCATGTCTGTTCACTATCATAATAATACTCAAATATTTTCATCTGTTACATCCAACGAAGCCTTCCGGATAGAGAGATTATAATTACGCGAATATATTACAATATCTATAGTCATATACCGTCATGGATGTCTAGCTAAACATATATCTTAACACTAAAACTTGTATATACACCGCCTAAACAAATATATTAATCGTCATATCAAAATCGTTATATCGCGTTTTTGGCATATTTTCAAATTGACACTGACAGCCGCATCTTTACAGATAAGGCAACGGGGACTGGCAGCTGTCAGCTGTCAAAACCGCGACGCCATCTCGACTCACGACTTGTAAGTGCGTATGACGTCCTTGATTTGCGCCCTGCAGAGGGGGCACTGGCCGCCCCCCTTGCCCCTCCACTGCTGCACTGCGCATCTGTAGCACATGCACATGTGTCCGCACATATATAACACACTATCTATTGGGTTCTCGTAGCAGATGGTGCATTCTGTACCCGTTAAGCCTTCCCCGATGACAGAATAGATGGGTTGGTGCGACGTGGAAGGCCGGCTGGTAGAGGGGCCGTTGGGGAACCTGTCGATCCTCATCTCGGCGTGGCCGTTCGGAATGAGTACCTGCTCATTGGAATTGTTCTGGCTGGTAGAGCAGACGTCCCGGGGACGTTCCCGTTGGTAGGGGACGGGGGCGCACGTTTGAGACTGAGACGCCATCGGTAAACTTGTAAGACATACTTGTGAAGACGATTGGATTGGCTGTAAAGAAAAATATATAATTTAAACAACAATATAATAACACAAAAAAACCAAGGTTAAAAGTATGTGGCCAAAACAAAGAAGCTTTAAGTCTAGTTTTGAAAAGAAGATGAATCAAAGCAGCAACTCACCTCAATATAATGTGCGCTGGCCAACGTAAGCCCCTGCTGATGGTTCGCTGCATTCTGCGCACCGTTCTGCGGCGGAAGACTGACGACCAGCACCGTCCCTCCGTTGCCTGCAGCTATCGGCGCCGCGGATCCCGTTATGACGCGCAGCTGCTGCGGCGGCGTCTGCGCTTGCACCGCCTGTGACGTCAGCATTCTCACTTTCTGTGTCGCCCCATAGATATCAACGAAGGCCCACAACCTCAGCGTGTGGTCAACGTGCATAACGGTCATGGGGGTGGAACCGTTCCTACTAACGCGCACCTCCCCATCCAATGTCAGCGTGACGGCCAGCTCGTCCCCCCTTCTCAAGCCGTTGGCGGCGTCCCGTCTCACTACCCAGTATTCCGGTCGGTCCAATAACTGTTCCGCGTCGTCTGGTAAATCGCAGGGTCTTAGTGTAGCTGGGTCGCACGAGGTTAGACCGATGGCTAAACTACCCGAGTACGCCGGCTCCGTAGCTAAGATCTGGACGACTATCGTCTGTCCCGGGCGCATGGGGCGCGCCGTGAACACGTATCCTTGGCAGAACTCCGCTTCAATCCTGGCGGCGACGCCCCTCTCGTTCACGAATTGGACATTCCTGCCGGTCATCCTATGCAAGTTTAGGGGTACTAGCGGGTTCTTGTATCTCGGAGCGGGGAGTGGTTCGTCCACTGATAGTGACCGCATGCCTCCAATAAGTCTATCTTCAACTATCGGCGACGGCTGCCGGTTCTGATGCAGCATTCTCGGGTCCACGAATTGCACGGCTGTGCAGTTCCCGTACACGTCCACTAGGGCCCAGAGGGGGCTTCTGACGTCCACGTTCGAAAAGAAGCAGCCTTTGTCCTCCCCGTTAATGCCAAAGTGTACATCTCCATTGGAATTGACGTAGTAGTGTAGAAGATTGTCCTTGTCGTAGAAGCGTTCGCCGAGGGCTTTGGCCCAACTGCCTGGCTTGTTGGTGAGATCTGGACAAGCGTATTTGGGCAACGGATGTGGCAGGGTCTCGGGGTTGTGCGAGGTGAAGCCGAACCTGATGACGCCACTCCAACTGTCTGATACCTCGACGAAGCGGATGCAAATCTGCAAAGGAGAAACAAAAAATTAAAAACCATTTCTGGTAAAGTTTAGTACTCATACATTAAATAGTTACATTATCTGTGTTAACTTTATCGGAATTTACATCCTGCATACTTAGATTTTTCATACCTCTTACAAGTGAAGTTTTCAGGGTTTAAAAGCAGAAAAAATAAAATTAAACACTTTAATCCCTCGTAGCGACTATTTTGGCTTTAAATTATTAAGTCCCTACCATGCCGTAGTCTAAAATCCTATAAAGGATACTTACTGCAAAACGTGCGAAACGTCAAGTAGTAAATAAAAATAAATAAATCGGTTAAACGGACACAGAAATGTATTATTAGCCCCATACCCCCAGTGGAAAAAGATCTCATTATGTTTAATAATAATAATAAGTCAAGAAATTCGTACCTTTTCATTGACGCGGACCGGCCTCGCGCTAAACGCGACCCCCTTGCAAAAGCTCTCGACCCTCCGAGCGGTGCTCCCATCTCGCGAGATACGAACATTCTCGCCGTGGACAGAGTGGAAGGTCAGCGGGGGGAGATTGTTCGGTGTGCCGCCCGTGCAGGAAGTACGGGGCGCTGAAACAATAGAAAAACTTATAAATAAAGATGGAAAGACATGAGACCAGAAAATCTTTTAATTCTATTCAAGTTCTCTAACTTAATATCCAAAGCCAAAATAAGTCGACAACTCATCTTGTTTTTATGTGAGATATATATTTCTGATTTCTTATAATAAAAATAAATTTAGAACGAATGTGTTTTATTAAATATTAAATAAATTTTAGGATCATTTAACTGTGTTTTAAAGGCAGCGTGATTATTCCTTTAATTGTAGTTTGGTGTCACTATTGCGTTTATTTTTATATTATATAAGCTCCCCCAGCTACTTGCGTTTGCGCAAGTGTGTCTTACAAACATAGATAAAGTGGGTAAGTGAACTATTCCCCCAAGTTAAATTCAAGATGTCTGCCACCTGCGCGGCAGATGCGCTGCCAGCTTGCGTTTGCCGCCATTTTAATTATTATATTCTTAAATCGGTTTAGTTATATGATTTTTAGATATAATTAAAACCCAGAATTATTAAAAGCGGCAATACATTTATATTTAGGCTATACGAGAATATATTATGACAGAAAATTAAAACTTTTTTATCAGTTCAAATAATTATCAAGGCGTTTAAATGATAAAAACTTTTTTTGATTGATGATTTATTGGTGCAAATTGCAAAGACATAATTATTTTTAAGTCAACAACGGGTATAGAGATACAATAATTGTAAACAAAACTACTTTTTTTAAGGAATTCAAATAAAACATGGCAATTGACAAAGTGACAGCTGTCATGTCGCGAACTACACTTGAACAAGATGGCGTCGATTGTCAAGATAACCTAAGACTTAAGTAATACTTCCTGATCGATTGTCCTCGGCAAATAGGGGAGGAAACGACACGTGCGACGACAATGCCCAACAGGGCTTATGCGGGGTGAAAATCGTAAGTACTTCCCTCTTCCGTGCGACTTGCAGTTAGCAAATGTTGCCACTTCATAAATATGAATTGCCGCGCGTACTAATTACACAATACACATACAGTTAAAAAATAAGCTACAGACGAATACAAAACAGTAGTCTATATGCCCATATCTGTTGTTACTTTTTTATTTATTAATAAACTTAATGTTTACTATTCGTGTGTTGTGTACAATGGCTGTATATTTCTATTTTAAGTAAAACATTTTTAACTGTTTAAAACTCTAAATATTTTTGTTAACTTATTTTTACTATGAACCTATGTTATATATATGCTTTGTATCAACCATCAAATTATAATTGTAATAAAAACTACTATTACCACCGATAATAAAATATATAGCCTAATTGTAATCAACGAATACAGATAATAATTTCAGACCTTTGTTTAAATAATTTAGAGAATCTTCACATAAGGGGAAGTCCCACCTGGTGAAAGAGGGTGGGATTCACTTCCGACGGAAGTTGATCCGTAGATTTAGAATTTCGACCCCAAAATAAACCGGATGCAATAAGATACCTTAAGTACATCATTTTGATAATGGATGAGAAGATACACACCGTGGTTTTACAAAATAAAATTTAAATGTACAACCTATAAATAAACCACTTTAACGGTTTATTACGCGATATATATTAATCAAACTTATTTCAAAATAATTTTAAAGGGTTTTATTTAAATATGTACTACTCGCGTAAACTACAGACAAATTATTCGTTCAATATGCAAATGTACATATTTAAAAAAAAAGCATTATAAGTGGCCAGCGTTTATTATCTCTTATGATTTGAACGGAATTTTAGGATATTCTACCTACCTATTTAACATTCAAATTTTGTACAACGTAATCGAACCCAGGATCTATTGGTTATCACAAGCCGTACATTGCTTCGCATAACACGCGCCTCCACCCCTGTCCATTTACCCCATGCAAGAACCCAAATTAACGCAAATTAATTTCGGTGTTGCTATATTTAAACGCTTGTCAATTTGGCCACGTGCCCATCCTTAATTTAGATATATTGCAACACTGGCAGCTGATAGTGTAGTTATTTTTAAAACAATTGTACTGCGGTTAACAGAACTTAACTTAAAATACTGTCTCTAGTTTATGAGACTAGTACACATAACTTAAACTGGTTAAAACGCGATATATATTAGTTAAACTTGTTTAAAAATTATTTTAACTGCAGCCCAACGTTTCGGATGCTTCGCAGCGCGCCGCGGTCACGGGGAGACCCGGTGTATATCGCATTTTAAACTGTTAAAGTGTTTTATTTTAATAGAACTTAACTTTTCATATGTTGAACTAAGGTTTGTTGTTGAGTGGACTGTCCTACATATTCAAGTGTCTAGTTCAAACTCTTAGACCAGAACAAGCAACTTGAAATGTTATACAACATAGGTATATATATTAGACTAAATATTTATACTTATTTTATGATAGAGAAGAAAAGAAAAGTGGAAAACCACTTGACGAAACTCAGCCATATAAAGTTCAAACACAAAGCGCTGTCTACCTATTTAAGTTGTTTGCTACTGCTAAATATCCAAAAACTTGCATCATTACTAGAGATATGTTAACTGAAATATTTCGCGTTTTAAACCGTTTAAAGTGCCACTTAAATTTAGGTCCAAACAAAATAAAGTGTCAATGAACTATAAATCGATTTTTGATTGAAAAAAATTTACACCCGGGCCGGACTTGTACCGGGCATCGACAGCGTTCCGTGCTGTTGCTCTAACCAATTGAGCTGCCGTGTCAATCAATTTTGTATATGGCAATTCCACTCGTCATCTGCCAATAGAATCTGGGCGCCGCATGCGCAGGTGGTTATATCGACAGATGCGTCTATTACGAGATCTAGAACGGGATTGACGTCAAATGCGCGACGCACTAACTATAGGCTGCACCAGGAAGGCGCTATGACGTCAGACGCGACATTTAGACACTGTTTGTTTTGTGACAGACGTATAATATATATAAGCCGACAGCGCATCGTTCTTATACATTAAAAGCAGTATCTTATTGCATCTTCTCAATTGTGTGTCTTCATTTACTATTAGATTTAAGATTGAACGAGCTGATGATCAACGGGTTCGATCCCCAGCAGGTACAAGGTTTATAATTTCAAACACTTGCGCATTCAAATTCCACCTCTGATGCTTTGCAGCTTAAGTAATGAGAAAAATATTAAAGTTATAAAAATCAATATACAACATTATTTACCCATCCGAACGTAAACCACGCGAACCGTAACTGAACTACGGAAACTAGAGGCGCGCATACAACACTCCAATGAACACCCCACAACAATTAGTGAGATTTCCTTAATGTCAGGATGCGCGTGCGCCGAGCCGTGGCTCCTCTTATAGTAGCTGACGCAATGATTTAGTTGAATAGCCACACGTTAAGAAACTGTTGTACATGGATGGGCTATCGACAATGGTCGTAACGGCTTATAATCCACGGGTCGTAGCTTCGATCCCCAACAGGTCTAACTTGTTACTGATCAATCTATAATTTAAATAAAACACATGAACGGTTTAAAACGCGATATATTAACACTTATTTGAAAATGATTTTTAACTTCGGCCCGACGTTTCGGATGCTTTGCAGCAGCCGTGGTCACGGGGAGAAACCATTTTCAAATAAGTTTAACTAATATATCGCGTTTTAAACCGTTAAAGTGTTTTATTTAAATGTATATATAGCGATGTTATTTGTCCTGTGCAAAATAATTGATTCGAACCGTTTCCAAGCGACAAAATCTATAAAAACACGTTTATTGAAACCCAGAATCAAACTTCCGACCTTTCAAATTGAATGCTCTAAAGTCCTAACAATAGTTTCAAGATGAGACCCCCCCTTCGAACATTTTATCACATTAATAAGTTAGGGTCCTACGCCCGGCGAGGGGTCGTAATCGCTTTAAATGTAAGAATCTACATTATAGTTATTTGTTACTCGTTACGCAGATCTAAATTCCATGACACTTGACGAAAAACAAAATGGCTACAGACTAGTGCTTCGACAAAAAATTTGTTTACCATAAAAACGGTTCTAAACCTTAAAAAAATAGACATATACAGTCGCGCATGCTTAAATCACTTAAAAAGGACTCATTCCTTTGTATACATATATTTTTGGATATCGTGAACCGAACCCTCAAAGATTACAGAATAATTTTCTCCGTTGGTTCCGCATAACTAATATTTCTTCGCTCCTATCGATCGCAGCTCTTATTGGAAGGCTTTAGATAACACAAAAAGACATATTCAATTTGATCCAGTGCGCGTTCAAACACACAAACAAACTCTTCAGCTATATATATTAGTATAGATAGTGTTTACGAATTTTTAACAGGCGTTATTTGATACATGCTTTCAAAATTTTATGTGTTTGTTTATGTTACGTAATATTCGGGTATTCTTAGATGCAGTTCATCAACCCGCTCTATCTAGCTTCTAATTTAAGCTATTAAATACGATACAAAACTTGCTGCATACTGCTGCTTGCTGATAGAATAAGCTGTATCATGTTTCGAAAAAACATTTGTGTCTTGAGGTAAAAACTCTACTGGGCCAAACAATAAACCTATATATAAATTGTGGGGTAAACGAACAAATATATACAATATACCAAACAATAGTAATAGTCTGTCCGTGAACCAAGCAAATACAAAAAAATAATTTGTAACAAGTGATCTTTTAACGGTTTAAAACGCGAAATGTATTTGTTAATTTATTTTTAACGACGCCTGACGGTTCGGATGCTTTACAACAGCAATTTTTAGACAATACTTGAATGAACACAATAATTTTCAAAATTACCAACTGTAAGAAAAAAGCTAACTACCCACTGTACTAAGAAAAATATGCCTGTTAAATAACACTTTAACGGTCTAAAACGCGATATATTAGGTCCGAAACGAAAATCCGATCCGAAACGTCGGGCCGAAGTTAAAAATCATTTCCAAATAAGTTTAACTAATATTTACGCGTTTTAAACCGTTAAAGTGTTGTATTTAAATGTGTACTACTCGCGTAAACTATAGACAGTATTTAAAAATATGCCTACCTATGCTTACAGGCGAAATTAGCTAGTAAATATTATTACATACTTATATAAATACACTTTATAAGGATTACAGTAATCCAAATTTTATCCAATTTATTCGGACCCAGATAGTCATCGTGGCGAAAAATGAGCGAGAATTCGCCATCTGTGACGAATTTAAGAATCTTCCCTTGGGGTAGGGGTGGCCTAGATGCAATTTCGTCGGGCGATTTTATAAATAGTAAATTCAAGGTTATGAGGGGATGGGGTTTTCTGTAGGTCAATGTTGTGATGTATGTATGTATACTAAATATACTTACTTACTATAAAGATTTCGTTAAGCAGTGTCGAAATGAGTACGAAAAAACACGAAAAAAGTATGTACTTAGGCCGAAATTAACTTACGATTTTCAAATTTAGAATT